AGAAAAGGGAAATAACTCTGATGGTCTTATGGCTATTAATTTGTCTGCTTTCAATCATATAAATTTTTATTATGGTAATTTATTTTGAAAACAATTATGTATACCAAAACATGACCAATATAATATTTAATCATAAAACTTTACATTGAATTTGTTTACATTTAATCTCAAATTTTACTAGTTAAAAAATTGGATGTTCTATCCCATTTTGTTTGCACAAGTCTAAACAGCCTACACACAATCACAGCCTTTTCTATGTTAATTGTCTGCGATATCACCTCGGTGGAAGCGGACGTAAAATACAACTAACTCATCATCAACTTTTCAATATTACCTTGGTTTCTTCTCATATATCGAGTAAATCTTTCGCCTTTTACTAAAGATTTCCGTGGGGAGGAACAATTTAATGAGTCTATAGACAATTTTTTCAACCCTACTTACTAGGGTAATTAATCCAAATAAATAGAAGTCAATTTTGTTGAACTCTGCTGGATGGGTTTTGCCTGGAGGTTGTCCTAAGTTCATAGCCGACAATTATTTATTTTTATACGCCCACATTGAAATGTGGTCGAATATTGTCGTCGCCCCCATCCATCCATCTGTCTGGCGTCCACAGTGTTTTAAGGTCATGAGACGAAGAAGCCTATTGATTTCCAGCGATTTCCGATAATTACTGTCAGGGTTATGGCCCTTGATCACTTCAAAAAATCTTGTGGACGCTCTAGAGGCCAAAGTTTATATCCGATTGACTGCAGATTGATACTCAGGCCTTGAGACGAACAAGTATATTGATTTTCAATGAAATTTGATAACTTCCAACAGCTAAATCCATGATATTAAATGTTTCGTATACTAAATGTTAGCATGGGGCAGAACTTTATAAAAATCAAACAAATTCTAATGATTTTCTGATAATTACTTAATGAGTTGTTACTCTAAATCAGATTTTAGTATATTATAAATGTTACATTACCGAAAAAAGTAATAATATGCAACAACTCTTGTTGACTTGCTGGACGATTTAGCTGCTGTGGGCATATGTTTCGTTGCATGGCAACCTATCTTCAATTAAGTTCATGGTTCAAATAGGTTATGCAATTCGGTTCCTGGTGTCTAATCGGTTGGAGCGCGTAGTAATACCACTTGAGGCTTTGGTATAACTAACGCTTCAACCGATTGGATACCGGAAGCTCTTTGTGTATCAAATTGGTAATGATACTCCAAAATCCGAGGTCTGTCACATGGACTATATGTTCTTTTCATTCATCAGTAACTAGGTTAATTGAAGGATTAAATTGACCAGATGTTGGGTTAAAACACAAACACCTTTCAGAAAAGGGAAATAACTCTGATGGTCTTACAGCTATTAATTTGTCTGATTTCAATCAAATATATTTTTATTATGGTAATTTATTTTGAAAACAATTATGTATACCAAAACATGACCAATATAATATTTATTCATAAAACTTTACATTGAATTTGCTTACATTTAATCCCAAATTTTACAAGTTAAAAAATTAGATGCTGTTTCCCATTTCGTTTGTACACGTCTAATTAGCCTACACACAATCACAGCTCTTGTAGGATTACTCTGGTTTCTCCTCATATATCGAGTAAATCTTTCGCCTTTTACTAAAGATTTCCGTGGGGAGGAACAATTTAATGAGTCTAGAGACAATTTTTTCAACCCTACTTAGTAGGGTAAATAATCCAAATGAAATTAGAAAAAAATAAAAAATTAGTTGTGTTGTACTCTGCTGGTTGTGTTTTGCCTGGAAGTTGTCCTATACCCAATAGTTTTGGTTTCAGAAATCCATATCCAAACTGTAACTAGTGATGGGTGTTCTATAATAGGCAGGATATGCTTACTTCCTCTTTGTAGAACAAAAATTTGTTGTAATTCCAAATACAGTAGAATCTGTATTAAGCAGCCACTCAATGGAATTTTCATGACTTGCGGCTTAATAAATGACCGCTTAATAAATTCTGCTGACATCAAGTAAATTTTACGCTTGGATGCATTGGGAGCAAACATCAGTACTTGCATCAGTAAAATTTGGCCAGCGCTGAAACTTGCTTGGGACGAAATTATTTGACACAAATCTCCGATATATCTTCTGTAAACGTGTCATTTTGTACCAACATTGATACTACTGCCTACCACTGTGATGTATTCGATATTGTTTATCCATTTTTGTAAAGAAAATTCATGAATTAATTTTATTGTATCAAAAAGCACATGTCCAAAAAAAACACCGCTGAATTTGTCACCTATTTTTAGGGGAAGTAACTCTGTAATATAGGAGGCGCTAAAACTTCTGTTTAGCAACAAAGTGGAAAATAGATACTAAATGATCGCGCCAAAACTCAGCTTTGATGGTACTATTAGTTTATTCAATCAGTATCTAATAATGTTTCAATATGTGTGAAACTAATGATCAGGGTTTGTCATTTAATAAAACAAAAGATTAATTAACAGGTAATCCCGAGTTTATTTTTATTTTCACAGTTCGTTTTACCTGATCGGTGGGGGAATAGATAATTAACTATTAATCACGTGATTAGCGGAGGGGCTGCGAAGTACGACATTGAAGTATCATTCAACAATGGCCTTTGAATAAGCGCTATTTTGCTAAATTTATTAGTAAAATAGTGACCGCTGGCCGCGTTAGAGGAGTGGCCGTTGATTAAAGAGATGAAACAATAGAATTTCTACGGGGCGAATTTATTGTGACCGCTTACAAGGAGATGTCGCTGAATAGGAGTGGCTGCTTGTACAGATTCTACTGTAATTGTATTCATTACAGCATGGCGTATATCCATGGCTCGAAATGTTCGCCTGTCTACTTGTCGCCGACAGGCCATTTTTATGTCTGATAGGTAGCAAGTAATTAAAACGCAACCCTAAGTCATCTGAAATAATTCTACTGTAACGACCTCACAGTAAATACTGTGGTGGCTGGAATGGAAATGCACACGGCCCATTGCCTGGTGTATTTAATCAATTAAAAAGTTTAAAACAATTTCCATAAAGGCTATGAATAATTTATAAGAAAATTTGACAAAATCAAATAATTAGGTCGTAAAAATATTTCATATATAAATATAATTTGTAGCGTAAGCATAGACAGGATATGTGAGAAAGGAATTCCAGGGGGCGTTACCTGTCCTCCGTACGCGGTACATGTAAATACAGTGCCATGCACAGGTGTGATTCATGTTTCAATATTCAATTTATTACGGATATTTTAGAATCTGAATTGTACACCTCAACAATGAAGTATTCAAGTTAGCATGCAAGTTTGGTACCATGATACTTAGCGGAATTCACGTGGATACGGATAATAGAATTACACGAATCTTTGAGTCGCTGAGCCAAAGCAGATTCGCGGACTTTCAAGAATTTTTAGGCATTCCGATGTCGAAGAAATAAAAACGTTTCCTATTACGATATTTATATGGAGCAATGAACGTAAAGACCTAAACAATTTAAGAGTGTTTGTGTACCTACATGTATGGATATGTGTGATATGATTAGTCTTTGATAATTGAGAGTGACAGGTTAGTTACTGAAACAAAATTTTGAGGCCTGGTATATCCCATCTTCTTTATAGCCCAGATCGTTGCAGAGAATAGTAGGATGTAAACCCCATTTCATTTCCAATTAGCTTGCTGTCAGTCATGTTGGGTGTCTTGCATGAAGCAAGGTATGCTTAGTTGTTCTAGAACACTTGATACCACTTCTCATTTATTTCTGAAGGTTTTGTTGTAATTTTGTGTTTCAAATATTTCTTGCTGTCGGTTGAAGTTTACTAAAATTATGAAAACCATTTCATGAATTAAATATATATTTACTTTTATCTAATTAAATAAATATTTTTTTTGAAGACCATTTTCATTAAAGAGTCGGGGCTTTGGAGCAATTTTAGGGGTGTTCAGTTCATATTGTGTGCACAATTTGGGACAAATGTACCATGCCATTGCTGAGATATTTGATAAATGTGGATCAATGGGAAAAGTCCTCTAAAGATGAACGATCTAGCCAGAACAACCAAGGGATTAATATTAAGCTTTAGCTAGAAGGAATGTTTCTGTATTGTTTGCTGTGTCTGTGTTTTATTGTGCAGTTAATCCAATATTGTTTGATATAGAAGACTTTTCAATCATTAGTTACTAGGTTATTTGAAGGATTAAATGGACCAGATAGTGGGTTGAAAAGCAAATCCCTTTCAGAAAAGGGAAATAACTCCAATTTTCTTACGGCTATTAATTTTTCTGCTTTCAATCAAATTTTTATTATGGTAATTTATTTTGGAATAAAACATGTATACCAAAATATGACCAATATAATATTTAATCATAAAACTTGATATTGAATTTGTTTATTTTTAATCCCTAATTGTACTAGTTAAGAAATTGGATGTGGTATCCCATTTTGTTTGTACAAGTCTAAACAGCCTACACACAATCACAGCCCTTGTAGGATTACTCTGGTTTCTCCTCATATATCGAGTAAATCTTTCGCCTTTTACTAAAGATTTCCGTGGGGAGGAACAATTTAATGAGTCTATAGACAATTTTTTCAACCCTACTTAGTAGGGTAAATAATTAAAATTAAAAGAGATGTTCATGGTTGCTTTTGCAGTAAAGGGCATTAGGGACCCAAACCTACACAATCACTCAGGTCCTATGTGCAGAACAGTCGGAATTTGATTTATAACAGTTGGCCGTAGCGTCGCTGTGAGGGCAAAAGTTACCTCAGCAGAACCGTAGGACATTAAAGCCTATTTCATTTCATATTCAAGGCCCATTGTTTGAAGATTACCTAACATAATATTGAACTTAAAGAAGACGGATCAAAAGAAATGAAATGGGGTTTTTACGTCCTACTGTACTGCTCCTAGAAGAAACAAAACAAGGACGGTACAAACAATAAAAAAATGACCCAACACAGAAAAATTAAATGTATATTTTTTAAATTAACAATTGTTTTGCAGGTTATCGTGGAAGAAGGTTGGAGGAAGTAATTATGAATTTGGATATATGTTATTGGTGGCCATGTTAGGATGGTTGTTTGAGGTTTGTTACAAATGTATCTATCTTTTTATGCATGTAATATTTATTACTTGAAGACCTGGGGTTCTGCTTTGTTTGTTGTAACTTGGACTAAGTAAAATATTTTAAAAGGGGTCTCTCTGTTCCACAATTCAGTATCATAATATTACTTTATACAATTCAGTATCATAATATTACTTTATGAAAGTATTGTTTATAAAAGAAACGAGAAATATAAAATTTGTATTTTTGTTTCTAGAGTCCTGTCATGCCTCAAGGTATATTTTTGATGGAATTATCAAATGATATAACCCAATATAAAACTGCAGAATCCACTTTGATGCCTCTTGTAAGTATAGACACAGTGTAAAACAAGATGTTCAGGGGACGGTTGTTCAAAACTCAGCTATTTTAAATGCTTGTGGACGCCCTGGAGAAAGAATCCTGTTGATTTTCAACAATTTCCGACAATTACTACCTGGATATTAAATGGCTTGTATACTAGACGTTCGTATATGGCAGAACTAGCAGCTAAATGAATTCTATTGATTGCTGATAATTACTTAATGAGTTGTTACTTGTAATCAGATTTTAGTGTGTTGTATATGTTTTCATTATTGACAAAAGAAAAAATATGCTTTAACCCTTGTTGATTGCCTGGACGACTTAGTATGCTTTATTGTAAGACTATTGTTTATCGTGTGTAGTGTGAAAGCCTATATTAGTTTGGAATATTGTGCCTTTAATGATTCCCTTTAAAACAATAAAATAATCCGCACTGATTGATTAGATTTTAATCATAATATCCTCAAAACTTCTCTGTATACATTTTTATTAACGATATTAATTTGTTATTTTCTTTTTTTGTAGGATAATTTAGAATTGGTGAATCGAGAACTTTTATATACAGTCTGTCCATATATAGGTATTGTAATCTTTTACAGGGAATGTTTTATATCAGCATCACCTGTTGTCCATTCCAATTCTTTACTGAATAAAATAGTGTTATATCATTTTTGAATTCACAGAGAGATGAAGAAGAGATGGAAAAATTAGCAATTTATCTGAAAGTTATCTTATGTAATAATTAGAAATTAACGAATAAATGAGGGCGGGGGATGGAGTGTTGGGTGGCCGAATGGTTAACAAGTGCACATTGCATCATAAGGTCTGTCATTTAGTCAAGTGGTGTGGTTTCGATTCCCTGCTTGTATATGTGACAAGGAATGGGGTCACTGTCCAAACTTGTGGATTTTCTCTAGTTCCTTCGGTTTCCTCCCACCGCTAAAGACACCTAAGCACAAGCGAATTATTGAAATAAAATTGAACCATATGTCAGTCCTGAAATGACCTTTATGTTAAGTGGATGTTACCTCATTTCTCTTTTTCTCTTAAAGAATAATATATGTTTGATTTATCTAGGTGAAATGAGAACATTATTAGTCGAGTTTGCTGTAGGGGCTAGTAGTCGACCTACAATACGTAAAATAACACCTGTAGCAGCTGATGATTTACCTGAACCTGATACATCTACAAACATACAGGTACAATATTACTGTACACTTTTCATTTATCATTATAAAAGGCATGCTCTATAGATCACAAGGTCTGTCATTGAGTCTTCGTGTGATGTGACGAGGAATAAGGTCGCCTGCCCAAACTTGTGACTTTTCTTTTGAGTCTTTCTCCCTCTGCTGAAGTCCCCACGTGCAAGCAGATTATTGAAATAAACCTGTACCATGATAGTCCCTTTATAACCTAGTTAAGTGTCAAGTGGATTTTAAACTCTTTATTCTAATCATTATAAAAGATGTGTTGAGTTAAAAAAAAAAAAGAAAAAAACATACACATGCTCTAGTCACACCAATTTGATATTTAATTTTTCACCATCTGCTGCTCTTTGTTTGTTATTTGACAAAGATTGAAAATAGAAAAGACAACTTGGAGTGGTATCTTTGCTATTCAGATTGTGGGTTTGAATTCAATCTAAATGATAATACAACAAGTTTTTGATCAGTCTAATTTTTCATGGCAAATCCATGCATGCTAAAATGTAGTCGCATGGAGTATACAGGCCACAATGCTATGGAATACAATTACTGCTTATTATTGAGCGACGTTTTCCATAGAATTGTGACATGTTACTCCAGTTCAATTACTAAATGACATTGAAACAATTTAGTCTCCTGGAGTATTTAAAGAAAACAAAACCAAAATATAGATAATCACCTAGATTAAAAGAGGCCCATTCAAAAATTGTTGTGAAGATGGCGATGACTTTTGACCAGATCCTGTTTATGTCTTCTGCAGAGGATTCTGAATGTTGACAAAGTTTCAGTTCATCATATCTTGATATCTCCTTTCAGACTTTTCAATTTTACATTATTGTAGTTTGCAAGTGATTTCCCCATGCCTCAAATCACCATTGAACAAAAAAAAATTCATCTCATTTTTTTTTTTTTTTCAGACCCAACTTGAAGAAAACTTTTTTCACAATCACCCGTCATCATTAAAGAGAACGGTTGAGTTTGTATCTGAAAGAACAGCTTCGAATTTTATCAAACATTTTCGAGCTACGGATCTTCCTGTTTCTATCGAGGAATCTAAGTCAAGGCTGAATAAACTCTTGATCTTATCTAGTGGAACGTCTCCAGCTACTAAATTAAAAGTGAGAAGTTATTGAAATAATTTCTTTGTTGGGCTAATCCTATTACTTGATTTTATTCCGCCATCTTGTTTTTCTCTAGGATTATTAGCCAACGCCTGAACAATAGTTGACACCTTCTTTTGTTTTGATCATTAAGATTTATTCTCTAAAGAAGGCTGTTAAGTCTTAACTTTTAAATTTAAAAAGGAAAATAATTATTGGACTTCTAGTGTTTGTTCATTTCGAATCTGTATCACGGAATAGGTCTATGAGCGACATCACATCATACGGCCTTGATATCACATGCATAGTTTTCATCAGACGTACAAATGTAGTAGCACAAACTAATATTTTTTATTCAGATATACTTCTAACACATTTATTTTATTTTTTTCTTTCTTAATAAATTTCAAATTGTTTTAGAATAAAATTTGCAGATGAAAGTCAATATTGACAGCTAATTAACTCGCCGCGATGTCATCCCTTTCAGTCATTGTAACAGTCAAGCAGATATTCACTGGTGATCAGTTGGGTTCATTTCATCTGTTACACTGGCATCTCAGTAATGTTTTATTAAGATACCAATGTTTTATTGTAAATATTTTAGGATAGATCACAGATAGAATATAAGAAATTAGCCCAGACTATTTGTGAAGAAATTAGAAAGAAAGTTTCAGATTCAAAGAGAGAGTAAGTATATTTTGATAAAACCATTAGAAACTAATTGACTACTACACTTACTCTTAGATTCTTCTTCTTTTTCTTTAGTTTCTTTCCTTTCTCAATGCAACATACTGCTTTCCCTATAGATTTAAATCAATTAAAAAATGCTATTTTGCTATCTCATACACAGAATTTTCTAGAGACAAATGTTGTATTCAGGGCCCTAGCATATTTTTCTGTCTGGCAACGTATTTATGTAAAGGAGGAAGTTAGTGCTGGCACAATATATCGTTGAGTCGATGTATCACGATTCATGTTCTCACAATTTGCGTATTGAATTGCCAGAGGCTAAATCGATGTATCATAATTTTATTTAATTTTTGTTGCTTTAGAAAGTAACACGTCAATCTTAATTATCTCTGTCACACAAACAGTTTTATTTCTTTGACAGCTACATGACTAAAATATTAATTATTTATTTATCCTGTGGTTTTCTTGGTTAGTAATCGTAACGTAGCACCTGAATCGCAGTACGTATAGTATCATGACATGATCATGCGAGTGAATTTTGACAATGGCGACCAGATATTTATAAATGCTAGGTTTCTGGCGAGTGAACATATATCTTGAAGTCCCCAATTAACACTATAGCTATCTGAACTTTTCTCCGTAAAGATAACGTAATCGGCAATGATCCCGGTCAACTGTCACTCTTGTTTCTTTCCTGGTTTGAAATTGGGTCAATCTCATTGTCTTTTGTGAGGAAATTCTCATTGCGCATGCGCTGTATTTATCGGAAGTTTACGAGACAGCTAACAGCATGGCTAGCAGACGAATCAAACCTATATCGTCTTACTTTACTAGTAAAGTAACTTCGTCTCGCAGTGAGTCTCAGTTGGGGAAAAATGATGATAGTCATGCTACTGACGCTACACCACCCAAACAAGCAAAATTACAAGCTTCGCTGTCTTCGTCTCGCAGTGAGTCCCAGTCGGAAAAAAATGTTTAAAACATCTTTTATTATTATTATAGGACGACAAGTTGAAGAGTTATGTATGTTCACAATATAATTTAGCTATATCATACGACAAATTATTCTAATCTTCAGACTTGGCAACTGAAAATTTTGTTTGGCTAGTGGTTTTGAAAATTTACTTATGTTTGCACAAGTAAGTTCAAAATGCTGTGTAGAGCCTTGCACTAGAGGAAGTATGCTAAGGAAATACACAATTGAACGTTTCAGAATTGAATTCTCTTAGTCCTCCTAAAGGTGTCAGTCGAGTTGAGTCATCACAAGAATTTCGTCTGACAAGGCACGCACCAACTGAAAACAATACTGTCGCGACTAAATCTGTTTTCGGGACTGGTAGAACTGTGACAGAACTAAATTGATTGTAATTCTGTTAATTTTAAACATTTCTGGACAATCAAGCGTCGTCTATAGTATCCCTATTTTGATTATAGATATTGTTTGAATCGTGTCAAGGCAGCTCTACAGTTACTTCTACCTGATGAACAGACTCCGGCTGTTGTTACCATGGCAGCTAATATATCTTGTAGAATGACAGAAGAACGAATTAAACATTGGATGAATAATCACATTACAACAAGTAAGAATCATAGACCACATTCTGCAGTCCTTACATTCTGCGATGATCATTTGATCCTCTGTCAATCATTGGCCTATCTTTGTAATTTATGTATGTAAAATTGGCAGTCTGGAGGTCCCTGGTTTGATACAGATGTGGGCCAAAAATCTTCCCTGAGATGTTCCAGTGTGGCTTCCCCTTGTCAGGGATACATGAGGGAAGGGCTTGGCAAGGAACAGTGTCAAGTCATTTGGATGGGACGAAAAAAACAGTCACGTGCAGGTAAAAGAACCCTTAGCAGTTGAAATTCGATGGATAGTATGGCATGTGTCAGTCTTCATTAGCCCAGTTGGTGCAGAAAAGTAGGATGTTAAACCTCATTTCATTTCATTTATATCCCTACAACACAGAATAAAAGTGTATTATTTTCAGGTATGTATTTGAAAGAAGTAAATGCGGAAGCTGATCGATTATACAAAAAAGAACTATTAAATAAATCACCTAACAAACAGGCATCGCAGAATGAAGATGGCAGCACAGTATTGGTTCCAACACCAGGAGTGGTACTGTCATCACCTAGCTCTACCATTGTCTCTGAACATAGAGAAGACATCATGCCATTATCAGAATTATTGGTACATTTTATGGTAAATATTTCTTTTTATCAACCCCTCCCGCTAAATAAGGTTGACATTTGTCCTTATGTACCGAGTTTGTTTTCAGTTTCGGCTTTTCTAATTGGTGTCAAATTTATGTTATAGCCATCACATTAATGGTGTTGAGACTTGGTACTCACAATGCTATTTACTATGGAGGGAATCTATCGAAATTAGTGATGAAAAATGTAGAGTAATACGTGAAGGCCTTGATAAGATGTACACAGTTAAAGTGAGATGAAGCCTTCTATTGAAGATGATGCAAGTCATGGCCCCTGGTCGCCTTACCATAGCTGCGAAAATTTTATGTCCCCTTTTTTATAGAACTAATTTTGAAACCCATTTAATACTGGGCACTTGGCGGCAGCCCAGTCAGCCCCCTCTTAATCTGGCCCTTTAATATTGGGCCTATGGCTGCAGCTCAGTCATCCCCCTCTTAATCCGGCCCTGATTGTTATTCCATGATGGCCGGGGATCATATTGTTTTTGTGTGTTATAGGGTATAGATAGAGAGTTAACAGTACATGGTAATTGTAATATAGATAGTACCAGATTATTGATGTTATTAAATACAGCTCATCTTATTGTATTATATAAAGAGGTACGTTCGATAGTTTATTATACAATTTAAGATATTACATTAAAGCCCATTATTAATTGCCAGAATAAAAGTCAGGGTTTTATACCAGTGGTCCCCAACATTTTTGCGCTTGAAAACCCTTTGAAACATTTTTTAAATCTTTGATAAACCCCCACATCTTCATTTGTCCCTTTCTGACCAAAAAACGTGATACATTAACCCACATAAAGATGATTGCAATTCATCTGATATCAGCTACTGAAATTCATTGTCCAGATACCAACAATTACATTGAGCACCCTTTTGACTTTTCAGATCCCCATATTTGTTTCATGTCACATTTATTCTTAAAAACATATTGGTCCATTGATTCGAATTAGGTTAGATCTCTGTTAGCTATGTGCATTGTGCCCTCCTAATGTACAACATGCTAGAATTGCATAAGCTCAAATAAATTTTGTAGTGTACCATTGTAAACAGTGTTAGTCAATTATGCAAACAATTGACATTATTGTATTGCATATTTGTGAACTGCCATAATAAGCCCGGGGTAGTCATAATTTATTTGTTGTTTTTCAGGACACCCTTCCCCAGTCAATTAAATCATTAGCTCAAATTGTTTTAGATTTGTGTCTAACTGTAGGTGAGTGTTTCTTAACAATATAACAATAATATTAATCCTCTCTTTATATTACCATAATACTGAAACAGAAGTTTCTATTGTGCTTTTTCAAGTTTTCTCTATTGAGCTTTAAATGCATAAAAGGAGAGGGGGGGAGGATGGCCGAATAGTTAGGATGTACGCGCTGTATCGTAAGGCCTGTCATTGAGTCAACTGGTGTGGTTTCGAATCCCCGGTTGTATGTGACAAGGAGTAGGGTCGCATGTCCAACCTCGGGGTTTTTCTCTGGGTCCTCCGGTTTCCTCCCACTGCTAAAGACCCCTACGCGCAAGCGAATTATTGAAATAAAATTAAACTGTATGTTAGTCCCGAAATGACCTAGTTTGTGTTAAGTGGACGTTAAACCCCATCTCTCTCTCTCTCTCTCTCTCTCTCTCTCTCTCTCTCTCTCTCTCTCTCGCATAGGTCAATGGTTCTAATGTTGTGTTATAGATTTCTCAAACTGTTCTTGTCTCTCTGTCTGTTGAACAGATATTATGTATGATGGCTTTCTGTTAGAGATGAAAGATGCAAATGAAATGAAAACAATTTGAATTGATATTTACCAGAATTGACCTCATTTAACAAAATTGATTCTGGGTATAATTTACTCTGCTCAGAGAGAAATGTGTTTAAATAACTTAGATGTGAAGAGGCAGGAAAATGACACAGCCATTAGCAAGATAGACAACATGGTTGCATGTCAGAATACCAGACTGGGTGTCAAATCCTTGAATGACATTTCATCCATACACTGATAGATGGTTGGTTGTTGAGGCCTTAGATCGTAAGGTCTGCCATGAGTTATGGTTTCGATTTGTCGCTTATATGTGACAAGGGGAAGGCTTGCCTTTCCAACCTTGTGAGTTTGCTCCAAATCTTCTGGATTTCGTCCACTGCGAAAGTGAATTATTGAGAAAAATTTGAACCATATGTTAGTCCCAAAATGACCTAATTTGTGTTGAATGGATGTTAAACCCTATTTCTCTCTCTCGGTCTCCTTAAGGCCTGTTATTTATTCAAGTCATGAGTTTTTGATTTCAGGTTTGTACTTGTCAAGGATTACAATTGCCTGACTAACCGTATGGTTTACTCGGCTCTGTAAAACCTATATATGTGTGTTTTTATAAAAAATAAAAATTACCATATTTTAGTCCGAAAATGACTTTGCTCCGCATTCGTCCATTCTCCCATTTCTCTATTTATTTGTAATTTGGTTGTCAAGGTTTGTTTGTGACATTGGCTTATTATATTCTATGTTAAATCTGCATATTAAAGTTGTGTGTTATATTGTCTTCCTCCTATCTGTATATTACAGTTTGTTGTAAGCCAGATTTATTTACCAGTGATTATATTGATGTATGTAAATTATTGTGGACAACAGATTTAAAACATCAAACTATATTCTCTACAGTATCTTCTATAAGATGGCATTATATGTTATACAATAGTTCAAATAAACAGGTTGGTATTTATCTTTTACACACACCCAGGGGATCACGGTGGCTAAGTGGGTAAAACGCTGGCTCGCTAGCCTGGAGGTTGGGTATTCGATCCCTGCATTGGCCGAGAAAGTGCATCCAGATTTTCCGGTGTGGTTCTCCCTTGTCAGTGATGCAGGATGGAGGGCCTGATAAGGACAGCTGTCTAGTCGTTTGGATGGGACGAAAAACTGAGGTCCTGTGTACACATTGGCGGGCACGTAAAAGATCCCTTGACATTTGAAATTCGATATAAGAGTAGGCTGTAGTGCCGATCTCAGACACAGTCAATAGCCATGATATCCATATCACGTGATCTACACATCACAGGTCATGACATTGACGTCAATGGGTCATGAGGTCAACATTGTAAACAATAGGTTTATCTTAAGCATTGTGTCCGTTGCACCCATAAAGACTATATAATTCGTACAGTCCCAACATGTTCTCTCTTCGATTGATTTTTCACAAAAATAACATCTACAACTCATAGAATTGACGTTGTCTTCAATGACAGCGTCTGCGAGGGTTGTTCATAGAGGCCGCCATATTGCACTATTTTGTGCGTCGGTCAGGTCTATTTCAGATAAACACAATCAATTCTGTTGATGTTTTTAGCGTTGGGATTGACTAATAGTTAATGTGTTTCAGTTCTAAAACAAATATTTTAAACTTTAACGCAAGTTTAGAAAATAGCCAAATTCTGGCTGGGATTATTGAGCAAAATGGCCATTCACTGTATACGTGCGAAAAAAAAGCTAGCCACCAATTAATTTTTGTATGTTAGTTACCTATGGTCGCTGTCCGGGCAAAATTTCACTCATAGCACACTGTATGGCGTATGCCTGTCTTCATTAGCCCAGTTCGAAGCAGAACAGTAGGACGTTAAACCCCATTTCATTTTACACACATCCAACTTATATCTTCAACTATTGATGTTTTAAGGTGGTTATTCCCTGTATCAAACTTCTGTGTGGCTATTTCCCATATTAACCTCCATTAATCACATGCACAAAGAAAGCAGTGATTGATATTGTTTAAAGATACATTATGGGAGATTTGATAAAAGAGTTGACAGTTCTCACTATAATAGTTACAAACTAGATAATGTAAAGGCAATTTGCTGAAAATTTCAGTCAAATTGATCCACTCTGAACCAAAATTTTAGCGATTGAATTTTCAGCCTAGTCTCGATCATCAATACTAAAGTCGATACGATAAAAAACATAGTCTCGATTATCCATTTCATGATTAAATCATGAAACAGCAACCCAGAACCTAATCCAGTAAACATCGCAGGCTAGCAATGACATTGAGATTTGATTATGGTCTGGATAAGTTAATTAATGTCTAATTAATAATTTAGATAACATTTCAGGCCTAAAGAAAGACTCGCAATAGGCAGATTTAGCCCTTGCATAATGTATGTTTAAGAATTACTCACAAGCGATGATCTCTATAAGTTTGTGTCGATGCGTTAGTGAGATAACAACCTATTTCCATAGTTGTTATTCGAAATAAAATCACAGTGTTTACAAAAAAATAATATCTCGTAAATGCTATTTTTATGAATTACGATTACCTCTTAAATACTTTTGAAATGTTGATGATCTAACCCTAAAACCCTAACCCTAGATCATTGAAGCTACCTAACCTTGAACCTAAGTTACCTCTTCCATATTGTAATTATTTAAAAGACAAGTGCCTAAATATATACTATTCAAAAAAAGTAGGGGATATTTGATTTTTAAGTGTTATTAAAGTCACCTAATGAAACTGACGAAGAAACAAATGACAAAATGAAATGAAGTTCACATTCATCGATTTATTCCAAATGATCGTTAGACTAAGTAAGGCACAGACTGACCATTATAAGGGTAAAATGATACCCGGGGTCAAACAGCAAAGTTACCATAGCATCACAACCAAGTCAGTAACGGGTAAATCCTCCTCTGTTTGCCAAACAAGCATTGATCCGACGTGGCATACTCCTAATGAGACGTCTAAGGTCATTTTAGTCCAGATTGTCCCATTCCTGTTGTAACGCAGCAGCAAGTTCTTGGACATTGGCAGGACGTTGTTGACGTTGACGTAACCTCTGTCCAAGCATGTCCCAGACATGCCCGATGGGGGAGAGGTCGGGACTCAGTGCTGGCCAAGGTAATGTGGTGATGTTCTGTTGTTGGAGGTAACCTGTAACGATCCTGGCCCTGTGACATCTTGCGTTGTCATCCTGGAAGATGAAACGGCGGCCATGACGTCGTGCGAACGGCACAACATGGACTGCCAAGATGTTGTCCCGGTAGTACTGGCCTGTAACACGCCCTGCAACAACATGTAAAGCCGTTCTTCCAGCAACAGTGATGCCTCCCCACACCATAAGAGAACCACCCCCAAATCGATCATGTCTGATGACGTTAACGTCTTGGAAGCGCTCGTTTCGACGACGCCACACCCTCCTACGTCTGTCCAAAAAATCAACAGTGAACCTTGACTCATCTGAAAACATCACATTGCTCCAGCGTCGATTATCCCAGTGTTGACGATCCCTACACCAACGACGTCTTGCCTGAATGTGATGATCTCTCAAACAAGGGATCACGCGAGGACGTCGGGCGCGAAGGTGACCCCTATGCAGTCGATTCCGAATCGTCTGGCCACTCACTCTCACACCAGTGTCTGTTTGAAGACGAGCGCTGATCTGATTTGCTGTGATGACACGATTTCTCAAGGCCAAGGTACGGATAAATCGATCCTGGGCTTGAGTTGTCGCCCTTGGTCGACCTGAGCGTGGTCTGTCCTGTACAGATTGTGTATCACGGTATCTGGACCATAGCCTGCTTATGACAGACTGAGAAACATTCATCGTCCGCGCCACAACCGCCTGTGTTGTGCCGATCTGTAGCATGCCAAGGGCACGTAACCTTTCATTTTGGGTAAGCCGACGCATATCAAAATTTGTTTTCTGGTCACTAAAACAATTAAACTGATGTTTCCACCCTGGAATTCAATGCCACAATGACTGTAACATTCAAAGTCAGAGTCGTGCAAATCTTGGGTTGGACCCCCATGATGATCCCAAGCATCACCTGCATTCCATGCGGTAGCTATTGGTGCGTTTGGGCGTCACATGTAACTGGAAATGTTTCTTCTGTTAGGTTCTATAGTGACTTTTTTCGTAGTCATTTGCATATTTTAGTATTATGCCCCCAAAATCAAATATCCCCTACTTTTTTTTAATAGTATATAACCACCAATTAGAAAATTAAATTCAAACTATTGAGTGAATTTATTGTCGATTTTGTTGTTGGTCGAGGAACTTCCTTGGGGTTTTCTAGGATGGTTTTCTAGTTGTTTGGATAGGATATAAAACAAAGGTCTCTTTTAGTTGTAAATTGAAATAAGAGAGGCCCAGTGGGTGCAAACCGAGCTCCTGATTTGAACTATCAGTCGTTTGTCCATAAGGCTTCAACAAGAAAACTTAATCAGTTTACATTACCTGCTTAAAGATGCATGCTGGGATTTCAAAGTACAAGGAAGCGAATAGAAAATTAAATGTCACATATTTTTTGAAAATTAAATGTCACATATCAATTTTTGAAAATTAAATGTCACATTTCAATTTTTGAAAATTAAATGTCACATATCTATTTTTGAAAATAGAATGTTACATATCAATTTTTGAAAATTAAATGTCAAACTCCCTTTAAGAAGAATAATTCTAGTTGATGTACATTATAAGAATCCTAAAATCAGATTGATAAGTTACTTACAGGTTCTGAAGTTTGATGAATAATATCCAGTTAAAGAAAAATATCTATTGTCTTATGATTCTTGTTATTAATCTTTTCAGATTTCCAGGAAGAAATATATTTTATTTATCATTATGTTATTAGAAGACGAATTGATATCTCCACAAGTATATGAAAATGGTTGTTTAAAAGTGCTGAAAAGTTCATCTGTAAGTCTTTAATCCATTGAGGGGGGGGAGGGGGTGTATAGTGGTTTAACGCATGCACGTGAAATCATAAGGTCTGTCATTGAGTCAAGTGACGTGGTTTCGATAGTCTGTCCAGCCTCGTGGGTTTTCTCTGGGTCCTTCGGTTTACTCCCACTGCTAAAAGACCCTTATGTGCAAGCGAATTATTGAATAAAATTGAACCATGTTAGTCCTGAAATGACCTAGTTTGTGTTGAGTGCATGTTAAACCCCATTTCTCTCTCTTAGGATAATCCATTTGTTTTAAGTTAAATATTCATGTGCTCATGAGTACAAAAACTCGAACTTAAAGTCACTGACATATAAGGTGTTGTTGAAAGAGTAAGCATACCTGCCTCGTGCAAGACACTTGTCACATGTTTCTATAAACCCAAAAGTTCACTTTGAACCAGGAACCAAGCATGATATTATTGCTGCCATCTTGGAATCATGATGTCATATAAAATATCAAAGTCATCGATCCACAATTGTCCAAGGAACAAGCATGCCATATTTTTCGTACTTGAATCGGCAGAGGGCTGTAGACTTTTTTCCAAAAACGTCGCCCCTTTAAAGATACATTCCCGGGTACAAACTGGGTGATTTGATAATATATTTGGACTAAAAACATATTCAAACTAATTAATTTATCATAATTTTGCTTCAATTCCTTCTCAAAGTGTTGCAATTGTCGGGGAATACCCTGGCTATAAAAAATCGATCAAAAGAGGTCATGTTTGTGTCACATGACTTACCTCTTCTGGTACCTAGCAACGCAAGCGAAGTCGAAGGAGAATTCATTACATACATAAGACAATGTTGTCTTTAATCGCTGACTATTTATTACAAATATCGAAGCCTAATTAAATTTTCGAATTATCCACTGCCCGCGATTTTTATCTCAGAAAGTGTTGTACGTCTAATTCTTCATAAAGTTTATCAAAATGTACATCAAGCGCTCAATCTCCGCGTGCAACCTTCGACGTCACGCGTGCAGACACTCCTAATTGTCGGCCTGTCGATTTGGGAAACCCTTACATTTTTGTCCTTAAACTTCTACAAGTTTGTCTCCTCCACAGATTTTACACGGCAATATAATGATTGTTTTAATTTATATATTTCAGATATATCATGACTATATAGAGGAAAATCTCTGTGATATTGTGCATTATTTTAAATCAAGTTCTGAGAAGAAATTAAATGTTGACTTTACCGAGACATTAGAATGGATAAAATTAAATAACAGTGATAAACTTTGTGTGAATAATAAACTCTCGAATCTGATCATTGAAAGCTGATACAGCGACAGTGTAATTGTAAAATAGATCTAATATGTGGCCAGTAAATTTATATTATTAAATTCAGAACCAGTTGTTGTCTTTCTTCCATGGCAACTAAAAGATATATAAACTGATGATTATTTACAATGATGCATCGAAATTGATTCTCTATTATACCAAAATGAGACCCTGTTATGCTTTGGACCATGGCTTTCCCTTCAATATTTTACCAAGCAGTCAGTTATTGAAGTATTTGTTTACCTCAGATTCACAACTGGGGCAATGAAGACGGGTATTTCCTTTACATTATGCTGGCTATAAGGGAAATTTTGCCCGAACAACAGCCTGGAGATAAGGCACATGTCACAGACAAATTATCGAACATTTATATTATAATATGTAGGTTGTGTGATGATTTGCATCTGACAAAATCTGTGACAGGTGCCTTATATCCAGTCTTGCCTAACAATGAGGCTGACCTTAAAAATATCTTTGTTTCACCAAACCCGACCCACAATCGAGGAGAAGGGTCGGTAGGTCAATTTTTTTTTCAGATTTTTTTTTTAAAGTTAGAGAAATCAATACAGAAAACTTATTAGCTGTATACTACAGATTCATTAATTTTGTTTAATGAATTTGGGGTCTGACGTAAAAAGTAACGAACTGAAAGTTTTTTTTATTAAACTTAAGAGCTAATTTGACAGCTTAATAATTTTCCGGGTGGAAACATTCGTCTTCTTTATTCAATTGGCAAAAAAATCAATGAGTGAATGACATTGGGAATTTTTCGTGATGCCCGACTCGCACACGATTTGCCACGAACTTGAAGTGTGAAACTCCTTCAACACGTTTTTAACGATACTGCGGGTTGTGTCTTCATTTTTCTCGAAAACAGATATTGAAAATATCGTCGTCATGTTTAAAACTACGCACCACAGACATAGAAGCAGAATCATTTCGTGGGAATGGACGTGTATTCGTCTGCAACCATTTTGTTGAGAAGCGACACCTATGACGCTTTCGTCTTGATCAACCAGTTTCAATAATGAATCAAACCATAGCCATAGTAAAGGGAAATAACTCTCGTGATATATTTCAGGTTGACACACAAAATAAAATAAAAAGATCGTGGAAAAGTGCAATAAAATAATTTAAGTCGGGGGTGGTTTTAGTTAGTCGGTCGCGTTAGGCGAAACAAAGATATTTTTAAGGTCAGCCTGATGCTATAGTGTACTCTTATTTCAACTTCTCACAATCAGGGGATCTTCAACATGGTGCCAATGTACACAAGACCTCTGTATTTTGCCCCATCTGAATGAATAGATACTTTCCATACCAGGCCCTGTGTCCTGCACTCAAGACTTGGGCGTGGGGGGGGGGGGGATAGGCTGGAATATCCAGAGTAACTTTAACGGCCAACACCTGGATTGAATTGGGACCTTCTGGTTAGTTAGTCGGCATCCAGTTTCAGCGTGGTATCCAGTTTCATAACAATATCCTATAGTGCATCGAGTCTCAAGTCAATCAAATGCTGAGTTTTGCCATGACTACAATAAAAGGTACCTGAGTAATACCAAGGGTGGCTTAAGACTAGGGGCAATGCCACGGTGAAATTTTTATTAAATTTTATTTTATTAGATAAATTACAACCAATTAAATGTCTACAAGTGTTACATCATTGTTAAACAAATGATCAGAACTTTTAGTGGCTGTTTGACTATCAATTTGTCTGGATAAATTTAGTTTAGATGAGATGTCATCATTTTTCTTGATGCTGTATTTTTTCATGGAATAGCCTTTTATGAGAAGCATTTTAACAGCAAACTCTTCCGAGGAGCTGGAATTCACAACCTGAAATAATTCACTGATATTGACATCTGGAAATAATAATTGTAAACGGGAGATAGCAATCACTGGACTAATCGTCTCTTTGTTTAATTCGACCTCCAAAATTTTGTCATTAAATTGTTGAGATAGGATTTGAATCTGTTCCTTGAAATATTGAACATGGGTATCTGCGCCTTGGCATATTGATAATAGTTTGCCATAACGACAAGCCTCCGTATCGATGTCAATATGTCGTATCTTCTGATAAGTTGCTCGATATATTCCCCCAGTTAATATTAATAAAAAAAACACCATTAGTATATAATACCAAAAATTCTCAAACCAGTACCAAATATCCTTTATGTTCTGATCACTGAATATTAGTTTCATTCTAGAATGAATGCTGTCTTCTTCATCAGATACACAGACGTTATTGTCACAAAACCCGTTAAAATTATTACACGGTTCACCTCTTTTTTTGGTAAGTATATCGCCATTCACTTGAGTTAAACCATATTGAGAAGCAGGAAGACATTCGCAATTGGTGATATTATCATTTTTACAACAAACCTGACAAAGATGTTCATCATTGTTGATGCACTGGCATTCAATTAAACCTTTCTTTTTACAAATACTTGATGAACACTGTCCTTTGAGACAGGTTTTACGTCCTCCATTACATAACAAACCATCTGGCATAAACTCGGGAGAAGGACAGTTTGAGAATGTGCCATTGCAATACGAAGCCATGGAACATTCTGTTGGGAGTTTACACACTTGATGTTTAGCTTGCTGAATTAATTGACAGGATTTGTCACAGCAAGGCGATGATACTGGTGAGCAAACTTTACCTTCTGATCGTCGGATTGTACAAGCCTTGTCTGTACTACCAATAGGAGGGTCGACTGGAGTGCAACAATCATCGTTGTAAGAACATGTTCCTGCTGTTCCACAATCACACTCTTCATTTCCTTCCATCACACTATTTCCACAGATTGGTCCAGAATACGTCTTTAGACAGTAACCTTTTCTTACAACAACTGGGTATATACTGTTAACACTACATAATGAAAATTTTCTATGATTGGGTTTTTCACCAGAGTTAGTGTAGGGATCCATGATATAACTTCCATACAGACCACCAGGAGAGCAAGTTGGATTACTAGATGGATCATGGGAACTGCCAAAACTATGACCCAGTTCATGTGTTAGAGTAAGAGCAGATTTTTGAGATGGAATCACTGATCCATAATTTAAATATGTAACCAAAGCAGTGTTATAACTTCTATATTTATTTTGTGATATCTTGACTTTTCCTTGACATATCCCACCAACAGGACCATATCTACTTGAGCTTGCCACCCATGCCAGTCCAACAACTCCCTTGCTAAACTCCCTACATGTGAACCCAATACCCAAACAGTATTGACTCAGGTCGTATTCTGTCATTAGATCCAAGTATTCGTATACATTGATCGAGTCAGAAAATTTATTCCCGGGGTCACTTTCACTTGAATAGATTGTGATATTGCCGACAACAAAACCAATGTTATCCCCTTGACCATTCCCACTAAAATCTGTTCCACGAAATATGACATCAGCTTCCATCACACTGGCAACCATTTCACTGACCGTGACAGCGATATTTTCTCCTCCAATATGTTTATAAAAAGTGTGATCGGCCATTAAGTGTAAAACGCAAGTTATTGAGTTGACGCTACGCTTTTTGCGCCTTTCTTGGCTCTTGTGAATAAACTGCCTATTCAAGATGGTAGCCTTATTTTGCATGTGAACGTGTATAGGGTTTTGAGATCCACAATCATTTGACTGTGATTGTAACATTTTAATCTTTTCTTCAACATCTTCATCTTGAATTACTAGGCAGATATATTTTAATTGTGTTGATCTCTGTTTTCTTAAGTTTTTATCATGAATACAATTGAAGAAAGAAATTTGTCGGCCATGATAAAATGTTCCATTGAAGTAGCGATCATGAAGCCGTCCTAAAAAAGATGTTTTATTTTCACTTGGTTTACCATTTCCAAAATAAAACTTTGGCATGTCATCCAATTGATTCTCTTTTAGTGTATTGTCATTTATTTGAATGTTCATTGTTGGGTGAAATAAGAAATATTCCCGTAATTGGATTTCTTGCATCTGGTGATGAATCCTAAATTTCACAAGTTGTGTAAAAAGAAAATCATTTTTAAACACCCAAATTTCTTCAAAAGTTATGGCTATCAATTTTCCTTTATTTTCCCACCCTCTATCTTTATCATGGGTTTCAACATTTTGGAAGAGTTCATGAAAAGTGAGAATTGTAAAAATATGTTTTAAAACTGTGTTCATTTTAGATAATATTTTAAAAGAGCAGCAGATTGCTATCTAACATGTTCATATTTCGCGGTTTTTAATATTTTGACATATACCGGAAGTAAGAAACATTAAAGACAGGTAACTCTTACCAAAGTTCTTTTATAATAAAGATTGAATTGGTGTGCGAACGTTCGTCGCACTAAAACAATATTTGTCTTTTTAATGCCGTTCTATTAATATTTACACCTATTTATTGTTCCTATTTCCGTTAGAATATAGTCTTCGAAAGAAAACTACAATATAACATTTCCTGCTTGCGAATTCATAGTAGTTAGAGACTTAGTTTGAAGTGGTCCAAAACGTCCCTGAAAGTGAAATATTCCGGGACCGAAGCAAATTCATCATCATCGACTTTAGTCTCAGAACGGAACGCCAATCGCCAGAAGACCGAGACGGGAGCTGAATCAGAAGTATCAGTTACTTTCAACAAAGTTATCATGGGTTGCTTTTACATCTATGGATCGGGGCGAGGATTTGTAGATAATGTCAAAAGTAAAGAAGAATTGTTGGAGTTACTGTTTGACTTAGAAGTAAGTAGATAATATGTAACAGGCATTGCCTGAGTAGAGCGAAGCTGATTATTGTCAAATACAAAACCTTAATAATTAATTTTCTCAAGTGATACAAAAAATGTTAAATAATTTAGTTTTTCAAAATTGATTTTTATTTAGATCTAAATTTTATACATTAATTTTGTTTTTAAAAAGAAAGAACAAAAAAGTGTGAGAATTATTTTCATTGACGTAAAAAATATGTGACGTCATTGATTAGACGCATGATAGAAATAGTTCTATGAGGCGCGTAATCTCGGTTGGACAAGATTTGGTAAGTTGACATGCGCATTGCCTGTTTTCTCCAGTGTATCCGGTTCCGGTCTGAATTTTTTCTTAATCAACAGTCTGTGGGTGACATTTTCAATTACGCTCGTGTGTTATCGGAAAAGAGCTTTGGCGCTTTAGAGCATCGCTCTATAATAAACCTTACCTCTCAACCCTCTGTGTTTCGAGATAAGAGATGATGCTATTAACATCAACGTTGCACATGCGGGAGTGATTCACACCCGGCATTTGTAAACAAAATTGACAATATTTTTAATCAAAACAACGACTGATTATTGTTATTGTCCCCCGCCTTTCGAAGAAAGCAGGGGACTATTAAAATGGGTTCGTCCGTCTGTCCGTCTGTCTGTCCGTCTGTCTGTCCGTCCGTCTGTCTGTCCGTCACACTTTTTGGGACACAATAACTCTCTTCCTAATTGAGCTAGAATGTTCAAACTTGGTGTATGTGTTTATTAGGTCAATGCCTTGATGGAGTTCGAAGATGAGCATTTTCCGCTTAGGGTAAGCAGAGATAAGCAATTTGATTGGTTGATGCTTTGGGACACGATAACTCTCTTCCTAATTGGGCTAGAATGTTCAAACTTGGTGTATGTGTTGATTAGGTCAATGCCTTGATGGAGTTCGAAGATGAGCATTTTCCGCTTAGGGTAAGCAGAGATAAGCAATTTGATTGGTTGATGCTTTGGGACACGATAACTTTTAATTGAGCTAGAATGTTCAAACTTGGTGTATGTGTTTATTAGGTCAATGCCTTGATGGAGTTCGAAGATGAGCATTTTCCGCTTAGGGTAAGCAGAGATAAGCAATTTGATTGGTTGATACTTTGGGGCACGATAACTCTCTTCCTAATTGAGCTAGAATGTTCAAACTTGGTGTATGTGTTGATTAGGTCAATGCCTTGATGGAGTTCGAAGATGAGCATTTTCCGCTTAGGGTAAGCAGAGATAAGCAATTTGATTGGTTGATGCTTTGGGACACGATAACTTTAGTTCTAATTAAGTGAGATTGATGAAACTTGGTGTATAGATTTATTATATGAATACCTTAACTAAGTTCGATAATGAACATTTTTTGCTGAGGGTAAGCAGAGTGATAAGCAATTTGATTGGTAGAAACTTTGGAACACAATAACTCTCCTTCTAATTGAGGTAGAATGTTCAAACTTGGCATAGGTGTCTATTAGGTGAATGTTTAAACTTGATGTATATGTAGATGTTCATTAGGTGAATGTCTTGACTGAGTTCAATAATTAACATTTCGAGCTGAAGCTAAGCAGAGCTAATCGATTTCATTTGTCGATGGTTTGGGACAAGATAATCTTGATTCTATCTGATAGAGAGTGATGAAACTTAGTGAAAAAAATAAATGTGCGATTAATTAATATGTGTCATCTATTTATTTTGCAATTTCGGCGGGGGACATCAGCCTCACTGTTGGCTTGTTTATAATATTTCTGCCACACCCAACTACAATTAACTTATTTAGCATATAATCTTACCTGAAACGGGTACAAATCGTCGTATTTAAAATCGAGGCGTTAAGCCGCTACTAAGACCGCCATCTTTTAAACAGGATACGTTTGCCGCTGCCATCATGAAGGCGGGACTAAATATAAGGCTTTTATAACGGCCAATCAAAAAAGCAACACGTTTCATTAGGAGTCGTAGACATTTTGGCATTGTAGAATAACAAAGCAAAATATAGACTCCGCCAATTTTCCAAATATGGTAAAAGGGGTGTGTAGTGTTGGGGCATGTCTAAAGCACGGTAACTATGAATGGATTTCGATGGCGGTGAATGTCCGACAAAAACAACACTTCATTAATTTAAATGCGAATATTTGGAAAAAGGCGATAGTTGTGTTACTATATTGGCCCCTGTAAGTTTAATTAGTCATAATAGTATAAAATTATTTTATTTATAAGATGTTACATGTATTAATAAAAAAATTGAGTTTGCCACGTTAAACTGAAGGTTGCCAATCGTAGCTAAAGAAACACATCAGTATATATCTCAACGTTTTTAGCTACGTTCTCGTAGCTAAGAAGTAAGTAGGTTGTACAGTTGTAGGATTGTTACTTAATGTAATATGGCAATTTCAACAATTTTGGATATGCAGTTACCACTTATCAGGATTCTGGGAAGGTAGCCATTATTGTTTAAAGAGTGGAAAGCCCAAGTTAAAACATTTCATAGGCAGGGATAATTGAAATGTGGCTAGCAAATATGTCAAATGATGGCGAGTCACATACACCAGTGAAAAGTACAGCCTGACTTTTGTAACTGATAGTGTGAATGATTTTCACGACGAATTAATATTCTTGTAGCTAGAACTGTTTGGGCTTTAATTAGGAAAGCAACTGAAATACTGGCCCACAACATGGATTAAAAAACACAATTTTAACTGTGTTCTTTAGTATGTGAGGTCAGAGAATTGTAATGTAAGCTTATATTGTGTAATTATAAATCTGTTGATTGATTTAATGAAAATATAATAGATCGAGAGACTTTGTTGGTTTAATGTTAGTTATATTATTCATTTTAGAATTTTCACATCTGTTTTGCAGAAATTTAACAGTTATGAAATATAAGGATAAAAAAATTAATCCCCACCCGCCCAATTTTTTAATCAATAGACATAGAATTAATTGTTTATTTTGATTTTTTTTATGTTTGCAGGTAGTAGAGACTAGAGATGTTTATGTTACCGGAAATGGAAAGATTTTGTCTGATGGAGAAGGCCTGGTACAGAATTACATATATCATATTGTACCACGTCTTGTGGGTGGGAAAGGAGGTATGGTACTTGAAACAAGAATTTTACAAAATTAAGCAACATGCCAGAAATGATTAGATGTCTTATAACCCGAAATGTTATGATGAATAAACATCTGTCTATTTAACTGAAAATCTGTTATGTACTACTACTGTTGAGCAGGGATTTTTAAATTATTCAATTTTGTCTACTATCTCCACATGCACCACTGTTTTATCCAGCAGCTACACAGATCTACCGGCCTGTCCAGCTTCTGCTACTTTTTAAAGGCAGTGTTGCCGTTCCTCCTCCCCGCTTCTCTTATTTTTATGTTAATAAGTCATTTTTTCATTTCAGGTTTTGGATCTATGTTAAGAGCTATAGGAGCTCAGATTGAAAAGACAACAAGTCGGGAAGCTTGTCGAGATCTGAGTGGCAGAAGAATGAGAGATGTCAATAATGAAAAAAAGTAAATGAAATTGTACAATTTGTATGGATAATAAAGTTACAAGAAAAATTTTATTACTGCTTTTAGTCATGGTCATTAAAAAATGCAGTTCTCAACCACATAAATGCCCCTGTTCACAGTAACCAAGACATCACAGTTATGATTCAACATTTTTGCAACAGTTGTAATGTAATTCAGATTTGAAAAAGAATAGAAATTGTAACTTATGGTCTATTTCTGTCAAGTTGTGAAGAATAGGTGTTTATGAGAGGCCATGCCCCTGAATAATCCTTTTTTGATTAGTGTTGGCATTCTCAGCTTCACTCTGGTGTTATTTAATCATATTATATATTTTGCAGATTGAAAGATTGGCTGTCAAAACAGTCTGATAGAGAAAGAGAAAAAGAAGAAAAGAGGAAAGAACGAATGGAAAGAAGACGCTATAGACCACAACATAAATTTGATGATCCCACATATGTAGAGCAGAAAAATAAAGTTGTTGAAGATTTAGAAGATGCTTTACAGAGAGGTATGAATACTAACCTCATTAACTATAACATATGAATTTATGATCTTGTTTTATTTGGCTACTTGAAAACTTTAAATGGAATACATATCAAATATTTTTAGCATTTGAAACTATGGAAATTAAAAAAAATGTCCTAAAATTCAGCAATTCAAATATTGTTTCCTCAAACCCAAAGGGTGTGGGCGTTCAGTGCCCTGCAGATGTTAATTCAATTAAAGGGACAATAACACTCTTGCTGGCTTGAAAGCTCCAGAAAATAAATAATATCTCTATCTAAGTACTATATGTTTAAGTGTCCTATCTGTTGTGTAAATTAACCATTACCTCCTATTTTACTTGTCCAGAGGTTTCGAAAATATTTTTAAATCAAAGTTTCATTTGAAAAGGTTTATGTTAGACGTTTCAAACCATTATGTTGAATTTTTCAAAATTTCTAAATAAGGTGTGTTAAGATGAAATTTGTATCATCAATTAATTGAAATATTCTAAAGTAGCACAATTTGTTGACCAGAATAAAGATTGGGACATATTATTCAGTTACAACAAGAGTGGTATTGAGCCTTTAAATAACTTTAGTTTGACTCAACTAATTGCTTTCAGATAAGTATAATGGGTAGGATTGGGGAAAACATACATCTCTTTGACACATTTTAAAACATTTTTAGTCATTAGCCAGAAGTAAAACCACTGGCACATTTATTTGTTGAATAATTTTGATATTAATATTCTTTTGGATGAATAATTAATATTACACGTAGTCCTTTTCCCAGTTTCATCAAATTTATTTGATTCTACTTTTGTTTTGTATTTTTAAACCAATAGGATTAAAGAAAGCTAAGACCACATCAGCTACAGTGACATCAGAAACAGCTGGTTGTTCAGGTGTAACTACAAAAAGGAAAGCTACAGATAATGGTTCATCACATAAAGCGAAGAAAACTAAGGAATGGTAAGTTAATTGAGAAGTAGTTTAGTGAAAAGACTTGACAATTCTATGACAAACAACATTTATCTAAGTCCTGTGGAACTATCTGTAGCTCTGTGATGTGTGTTTCGTTAGCAGTTCTTTTACTCCTGGCATGTTTTTGTCTGGATCAAAGATTTTGTGAACCAATAGAGATAGACAGGACACAATTCTAAGCAATTCTATTACTGTTTATTACTGAATGAGGTTTCTCTAGTGTTCATCATTGCTTGATAAAGACTAGAGAATCATAGTGAACAAAATCACCTGTAATAAGGGACATAGCAAAAAATTATTCTGGTTTTCAGACAATCCTTAACAAAAATCTGATACAGGAGGGAGTTTTTTTTAATTTGTCAAAGAATCACTACTTGGTTAAATGACTTTCATCATATTGTTGTTTATAGGAATGTATGATTATCAAGTCTAATTTATGATTGTCATTAATATTTATCAAGGTTTGTGTTCTTCATAATTGAACCTATGAATTCATTAAATATTTTAGTGTGGTAATTAATGAGCCTGTGTTTATTTTTTGAAATAAAAAAAAAGTCATGTGGAAGGTCGTTTTAAAGTGACACACAGGATTATCTGAGAACCAGAATATTTTTTTTTTTATTTGGCCAAATGGTAGAAATGTTTTTCGTAGAATTGTGTCCATTATATTTCCAGTGTAATTGAAATAATGAACCATGAGAGGGTTTCACAAGACCTTTTCAGAGTGAGGGATTGGGTGGCCAAATGGTTAGCATGCGTGCACTGTATCATAAGGTCTGTCACTGAGTCAACTGGTGGGATTTCGATTCCCCAGTTGTACATGACAAGAGTAGGGTCCGCCTGTCCAACCTTGCGTGTTTTCTCACGGTCCTCCAGTTTCCTCCTACTGCTAAAGACCCCGATGCGCAAACAAATTATTGAAATAAAATTGAAAGGACCTAGTTTGTGTCAAGTGGACGTTAACTAACATTTCTCTCTCTGTTTCAGAGTACTTTTGTTCTTATATCATCACACAACAAAATAGAATGTACCAAGAGGTTGTCTATTTTCCGTTTTCTCATATTCAATTAGGAAAGGTACTTGGTGGTTGTGTTTTTTAAGTTCACACAATGGCGGAGAGTTACCTGTTACTTTATTTTGATAACCATTTTTGATAGACTTTAATTTCTTTATTTGCTATATTCACATCTGTTTCAGGCTTGGTATAGATCCCAGTCTTGATTTGAGTGACCTGGATACAAGTGATGAAGAGAATGGGAATACACAATCGTCCAGTGATTCAAATATTTCTCCCGACGAAACTACGCAAGAAAAAGCTCCAGAAGAATCTACTCCAGTACAAAATCCTGAAGTTGATTCCAATGATAAAACTATGAGTGATAAAAAACCAGACTTGGTGACAAGTTGCAAGACCAGTCCAGACAAAAAACATTCTCTTTTAGCTGCATTACCTCCCCCTAATAGTGAAGTAACCACTGAAGAAAAAGAGGTAAGTTTTGAATTTTAAAATTGGTATTTTTTATTGACTAATACTGTAATTTTCTACAGCTTATTGTAGTTTTTTAAAGAGTTAATAGTGTTGGATTCACATTTAAATACATGTAGTTCATTATTTTGACATTACTTGTATTATCTTCATGGCATATGATATTTATTGTTGGTAACATTACTTCTTATGGTCCCAACACAGCCTAATATCATCTGGTAACTGGATGATCACATTGATGTTATTTGACATCAAATGACTATTGACGAAGTTAGCCAATCAAAGTTTCAGTTAAAGTAGTTAGTATCATCCAAAATCTTCGACATCGAAAACACGAATTATTTCTCAATTTAAATCAACATTGGTGTTGTTATCGTATTTTGAAAAGATGGGCTTCTGATATCCAATATTTAACACAAAATAAACATTTTACCATTGGTACACGAATCGTGTACCATGATGTGTTTCAGCGCAATTTGTAATAACGGACTCGAAGAACGAGGCTAGACATATTCCACAAGTCATGTCAAATGGTGAAGCCATATTCTTATCTGGAGAGCATGCGCAACAAATACTATCGGCGTAGACTGGAATAACCAGACGCTAGAGATAGCCATTGGATTGACACTTCTGGCGTATTTTGCCGAACATAACTGATTTGAACTTAAAGTAAAAACGGAAACTATTGAATATAAATCAGTTTATATACATGTATATTACATTATTATATGCATTGCGACCCATTTGTGTCAATTTTGAGGTCCCAAATATTAGCGATTTAGCCCCTTTAAATCACACCACCCAGTGTTAATGAGGTGATTTAGGTCATGTTATAATAATGTTAAAAACCATGGTTAAATCAGAGAGGTACTTATCACCATTTTCTATGGTTGTGATTAACACATTAATTACAACGAAAAGTATAGATTTTTTAAAGGGACAATAACACTCTTGCTGGCTTGACAGCTCCATATAATAAATAATAGCCTTATTCTAAGTATTAGATGTTTAATTGTCCTACCTGTTGTGTAAATTATCCATTAAATCCTATTTTACTTGTTCAAAGGGTTCGAAAATATTTTAAAATCCAAGTCACAGTTGAAAAAGTTTACGTTAGGCTTTTCAAATCATTGAGCCTTTAAGGATACTAACTATTAGTGTTAACTAAGCATGGCTTTAAGTTTTCATAAATAAGGTAGCATGATCATGACTTGCCAATAGATGTGCTGAATTAATTCTTTTAAGTTTCAGCCACAGAATATTTCTTTTAACCCAATCTAGTTAAATCCTACTAGCACGAGTCAACACCCCTTCTCTTCAGTTGTTATCATACATTTCACATTGGCAAGCACATAAAAGAACCCTTCAAAGATAGAATTTAAAGAAAGTAGACAGAAATGATGCCTGTACAGTCAAAATTTTCCTTCCAAACAAAATTGTCTCAAAAGGGCCGAAGTATTGTATCCTTTCTTTTGTTCTGTATTGATTAAATGAATTATCATTTTTCAGCCTTTAAAGCCTATTAATTTGGAAGAATTTAACTCAGTTGAAGATTTGGAAAAAGCTGGACTTGATAGTTTGAAAGCTGCTTTAATGGAACGTGGATTAAAATGTGGTGGAACTCTGACACAAAGAGCCGAAAGACTTTTCTCGGTCAAGGGCTTAAATGCAGATCAGATTGACTCATCTTTAAAGGCTAAACCTTCCAAAAAGAAGTGAGCTGGAAATAATTGTGAATTACTGTGTACATACATGAATATATGTAAATATTTGACGGTCATCTTATTTTAAATAAAATTTATTTTGATGGAGGAAGAATTGTTACAGTTTTAAAGATATATTTCTTCAACAGTCGCAATCCTAAATACATATCCATTGACTGAAAAATATACTGAATGAAAAACATTACAAGATATTTTAAAAATTGTATCATGGTATCCATTGTGATACAAGTAGATGGGAATGCTTGTTCATTAGTAGGTGCCACGGTGGCTCAATGCACAAGTTGCTTCATCACTAACCTGTAGGCCCCGTGTTCGATCCCGATGTTGACAAAGAAAGCTCCTCAGATGTGGTTTCCCCCCCCCCCCCATGTCAGTTGTGCAGGATGGTGGGTCTGGCAAGGGATCTAGTGGTTTGGATGGGACAAAAAATTAGGTCCTGTGTATACACTGACATTTGATTTGCAAGTAGGCTGTAGTGCCACAGAAAATATCCTTCCCAGCAAACTGCATCTTTTATTAGCCCAGATGAAATGAAAGGACTATTAAAATGAGTTTGTCTCTCTGTAAGTCACATCTTTTGGGACACCTGCTCAGGTTAAACAGAGTGATAAGCAATTTGATTGCTAAATGCTTATGAAAAGATAAATGTGCATAAAATTAATGAGTGTCATCTACTTACGGAATTGAGTTTGGGGATATCAGCTATTGGCTTGTTTATAATTAAACTGTCACATTGTGGTTAAGCGGTGGACACACTAGCCGAATGATTCGGCCGAATCAATCGGCGTCGAAATTCGCCTAGTGTGTCCACTGTCATTCGGCCGAATGATTTGCCCGAATCAAACAGGTTTGATATATTCGGCCGAATTATATTCGCCTGGTGTGTCCGCTTCGCCGAAGCATTCGGCCGAATATAGAATTCATTAGCCAATCACCACTCATACCGAGAAGTCAAGTGATAGATTGAAGACATAGACGCCGCCATGTTTAATCATGTGACGTGAAAGGTGATGCAATCGACAGGTTGAATCGGGCAAAGCATTCGGCTAGTGTGTCCACCCATTCGGCCGAATAAAAATCGGCGCCGATTGGTTCGGCTAATGTGTCCACTGCTTTAGCAGCGGCCACCATGAAGATGCAGATTTAGGCTTAGATCTAAAAATTATGGCCAACTGCAGATTATCAAAGGTCACGAAATGTAAACCGGGCTTGAAAAAATCCGCAGTTAACCTTATTTTTTGGACTACACTGATTTAGTATTCTTAACCTCCACTTGATACAAAGAAGTCATTTTGGGACAAACATGTGGTGCAATTTTATTTCAATAATTCGCTTGTATGTAGGGGGTCTTTAGATGTGGGAGGACATAAAACCCACAAGGTTGAGCACACAACCCCCTACTCCTCTTCACATGGACTCAATAACAACCATATGATCTAAAATGCATAAGTTAGACCACTCTTATCAACCGATATCGCCTGATAGTTTGCCTCAAAAACAAGCAATTGCAGACATGTTCTCATCTTTTGGAAGATTATACCAACTTACCCAGTTCTTGTGTTCAATATCTGAATACCATAACTATTATAAAAGAGTTTAATTACCAGTATTTTCTATAAATAATTAGTAAAAGGCTGAAACAATATTTCTAAAAATGTACAAAAACCTGTATTTTTTAAAAGACATGATACTATTTAAATGGTTAAAAATTATGATTGACCCCGATTCATATCTAAAACAATGGTTAACAAACAAGAATAATAATGCCATAAATGAATGTACAACAATTTTTATAATTTCACAGGGCCATAAATAAAATGTCTGTTTCCTGTATTCAACAGACACCATCGAATATCTCTCCTTACAGTCTTTGAACTTTTCAATGCCAGTTTCAAAGATTTAGGGTTTTGTATATATACAAGTCACTTTGTAATTAAAAATAAATAATGAATATTAAACTGTGCAGATTATCCAAAATCAACCAAAACATTTAAATCTTAAAAATAGACTTGACTGGTGAGCTCATAAACCCAAATATCCATGCACCTAAAACAGGTTGTCACTAAGGAAACAAACATTTTTTTAATGGATGACATAAATTACTGGTGACTATCATTTATTGATCAGTAATTGGATTAAAAGGTAAGTTAAAACTATAGAGATCATTGAAAAACGATCCATCATTATCCCCACCACCAAATACCAGTATTTCATCCTCTTGTTGATTTTCATGTGAATATGGTAAACATAGTGCTACATGACCTGCTCTGGCAGACGGAGATGATTCTAATTTTATACAGGTCCATGTTAATGTATCTGAAATAAAGAGATTCAATATTAAAATAAAGAGCAGGGGGGTTCCCCAAGATATTACATTCAACTAAGACCAATGTTGTCCATTATAAAAATTTTCATGAGCAAATAACTAACGGCCCCCAAGGTATTACATTAAAGACTAATATTGTCCATTATTAAAATTCTCATGGGCAAATAACTAACGTTCCCCAAGATATTACATTCAAGACTAATATTGTCTTATTAAAATTTTGATGAGCAAATAACTACTTACCCAAATTAAAAATACTGGAATCATCTAAGGCATCATTACCATCATATCCACCATGTATTAATATACGATTTCCACAACTTAAAGCACAAGAACTATGCCAGCTAAAATATAAAATTATATCATATATTTATTTTATTTTAGCATTATCCAGAATTTAATATTAAGTTTTAAGTGTATTTACATATGAAAGTATAATATTATATTGTGCTGTTTTTTAGATGTAATTCTATGAAAATCTAATATCAAGGCATGTAAAACTGACCAGCCGATAAGTTCTGCTGCCAGCCTGTTAAGACTGGAAATATGACTGAAATGCAAATGTACATGGAAACCTTTTAACCACTTTACATTCCAGCTCCTGAGACATCCTTTTGAAACCATATAAGACAGTTCTGCTGAACAGAAGTCTATCCAAATTCAGTCATGTTTATATTTATTAAAGCTGTTGAGGAATTCATTTAAAACTTTGAAACAATCAATAGTGAAAATATTTATAATGGGCTCAGGCCACTCTTCACTGTCATGTTATCTAACTTTTTATTCAATAAAAAGTTGCCAGTACAAATACTAAAGTCCATATTTACCAATTATTCTTTTAAGCTTACCTGCGAGGCTTTGGTGATTTACCTTTGACATCTGGTTTTGACCAATCACAAGTAGCTAAAATAGAAAAATATATTTAATGTATATATGTTCATATATAATAGCAAGTTACTATATAAGGAAATGTTAAGTTATGAAGGTTTATTTTGTTCAGATGTGAGAAACTTTAACCAAACTAGCACTGAACCAAACAAATTTTTACCGAAGTTTATTTTAATCAAAAATTGAATTGTCAATAGGGATTTCTCAGAACATTTTGTTTTAATGGTATGGATTGAATGTAACAGAAATGATATATAAACTATTAAATATTTAAATTACTTACTCATATCAAGAATATGTAAATCATTAAATACAATTGGATAATCCCAGCCACCAAATACGACCAACTGATCTTTTAATAATGTAGCTGAATGGCTAAAACACAACATAAATAAATTATATACATCTACATATAACTGAATTAGTTGTATATACTCCTGATCAATTTATAATATACAGTGCACTCTGTCACATCCGACCTCTGATCACTCCAGCACTCTGTTACATCCGACACCATTTTCATGTCCCGATTTATTTCCTTATTACTTCAACCCAAAAATCTCTGGGTAATTCAACCTCTGTACGTTCCGGATTACGACATCAATCAGCCGTCCCGTGATACGATTTCCATTGAATCGACACTGTATAATCCGGCCTTCAATCGGTGGGTGTGAAGCAAACACTTACCGATCAATTATCCGTGAGATTAAAACTGGATGGGTGTGAAGCCACAAAAGATTAACAAGCAATCACCAATCAATTATCTGTGAGATTAAAACTCGCTACCGTGGGTCTTTGGTGACTACTTTGATAATTTTAATCTTTTGTACGACAGTTGTGACAAATACTCAAGAATATCCTCGAATTTTCCCCCGAATTCACAGTCGTAAAAATATTCCTAGCACCTGTTGGAAACATTCGTTGCGCATGCCGATTGAACCTGAATAACCTATAAGTTTGGTCACCCTACGGATCTCTTCGAACCGTGTGACGACAACCTGGGATGCTCGAGTCACAGTCCAGAACGTCCCGAATTGCAATCGAGTGACACGGAATTCAGTCCTGTCACAGTTCTGTCAGTCCTGACGGAGGTGGTGTGAGTAGAATTGTGACGTAAGTAAACACGACGAACAGGTTTCGGCTGCATGCTTGGATGAGATATTTATATATCCAGTCGACGCATGCGTTGTAGCCCGAAGTACCCATGTTCACTCGATTGTCACTATTTTTGAGATTGAGAGAATTCAATGCCGGAACGTTCAATCGAGTACACCCATTATCAATGAACACGTCATTGCAAAGACAAGAGTGCGATCAACTGAAGACGGCGAATAAGATAAATTAACGACAGACTTGACCTATTCAAAATGCCTATGCATGTTAAATGAAATAAAAATTAATGTAAACAAGCCAACAGTGAGGCTGATGTCCCCCGCCGAAATTGCAAAATAAATAGATGACACATATTAATTAATCGCACATTTATTTTTTTCACTAAGTTTCATCACTCTCTATCAGATAGAATCAAGATTATCTTGTCCCAAACCATCGACAAATGAAATCGATTAGCTCTGCTTAGCTTCAGCTCGAAATGTTAATTATTGAACTCAGTCAAGACATTCACCTAATGAACATCTACATATACATCAAGTTTAAACATTCACCTAATAGACACCTATGCCAAGTTTGAACATTCTACCTCAATTAGAAGGAGAGTTATTGTGTTCCAAAGTTTCTACCAATCAAATTGCTTATCACTCTGCTTACCCTCAGCAAAAAATGTTCATTATCGAACTTAGTTAAGGTATTCATATAATAAATCTATACACCAAGTTTCATCAATCTCACTTAATTAGAACTAAAGTTATCGTGTCCCAAAGCATCAACCAATCAAATTGCTTATCTCTGCTTACCCTAAGCGGAAAATGCTCATCTTCGAACTCCATCAAGGCATTGACCTAATCAACACATACACCAAGTTTGAACATTCTAGCTCAATTAGGAAGAGAGTTATCGTGCCCCAAAGTATCAACCAATCAAATTGCTTATCTCTGCTTACCCTAAGCGGAAAATGCTCATCTTCGAACTCCATCAAGGCATTGACCTAATAAACACATACACCAAGTTTGAACATTCTAGCTCAATTAAAAGTTATCGTGTCCCAAAGCATCAACCAATCAAATTGCTTATCTCTGCTTACCCTAAGCGGAAAATGCTCATCTTCGAACTCCATCAAGGCATTGACCTAATCAACACATACACCAAGTTTGAACATTCTAGCCCAATTAGGAAGAGAGTTATCGTGTCCCAAAGCATCAACCAATCAAATTGCTTATCTCTGCTTACCCGAAGCGGAAAATGCTCATCTTCGAACTCCATCAAGGCATTGACCTAATAAACACATACACCAAGTTTGAACATTCTAGCTCAATTAGGAAGAGAGTTATTGTGTCCCAAAAAGTGTGACGGACAGACAGACGGACGGACAGACAGACAGACGGACAGACAGACAGACGGACGAACCCATTTTAATAGTCCCCTGCTTTCTTCGAAAGGCGGGGGACAAAAAATTTTGAATGTACAGAAAGGTTTATCATTTTTAAAGGGAATAACATTCTGGTTATGCGAAGTTCTATGTTCAAAGCTACATTATAATAATACTTCCTGGTTTTCGAAGTACCAAAAATCTGGTTTTGAGAAAACTGGGTATTCTGTGTAATGCTACATATTGTAACGATCCCATGCGATGTCGGATGTGACAGAGTGAACTGTACATCTACATATAACTAAATTAGTTGTATATACTCCTGGTCAATTTATAATATACCATAACAGAATAAGTTGTATATACTAATAATCAACATTAAACCAAATATTCTACTATCATGTTACTATGTCATAGCAATAAAATTTATCAGATAGTATGCCAACTTGGCACAGAATTATCTTCAGCGCCCATGAGCAACAACTTGGTCGGAATTCCAGCATAATAATATGATTATTAGGTATTATAATTATTTTAACAACAGAGCGATATTTAACATGCACTGCTAGTGCTAACACGTACATTAGACCTAGAGTTTTCAGGACAGTCTAAAGGACTACACACAAGCCATATGAAGAGGTTACATCGACCAAGTCAGAAACACTAGTCTTTATTCCTATTCAAATTTATATATTTATAATTTAGGATATTTGGAACTTCCGAAGCATGAATGGTATGATGGTTTGATACAAGTAAAAGACATGATTTCGATTAAATTTTTAATTTCAATTCTAAACTTCTTTATCTGATTTTTTTTAAAAATTACACTATAAAAACGTACCCTGATCTTGGAGCTGGTTTAGTTCCTGTGATTAAAGGTGCATACCAATTCTCCATTACTGGACTAAATATATGTACATCATTACTACAGCCGTCAGGATTAGGATCAGGTCGTGGATAAACACCACCAAATATCCACACTTCATGTCGATATAATGTTGCACTGTGATATGCTCGCGTTGGTGCTTTACCGTTTGCCTGCAATATACATTTATAGTTATATATATATATATATAATGGTTCCACAGATTGGAGGGAGAGATATATAAACTAGGTCATTTTGGGACTAACATATTATGCTAAAGACCCCTATGCACAAGCAATTATTGGAATAAACCATTCGCCCCTGGGACTCGTATGTGTTCAATTAATGTGACAACTGATGTCAGTCAAGCTTTCCCCGAAGCCTTATTCACGAAACATCAAACTAAAATATTTTAAGGATACATCCTTTTTATGGGTTAAGAGCTGAAATACTGGTGCAAATTCTAGCTCTTAGCCACAGCCTCAAACCATATTAGCGTGAATAATACCTTAACTAACTGCCATTTCCATTCATCAACATCTAACGAATGAACATCTTTAAACCATTTCAGATTTTTCGAACCACCATAGATATAAATACATCGAACCATTGGATCATAGATAGCAGAATGACCCATTCTATATTCTGGTTTCTGATTATCAGACTTCAGATCTTCTTCATTCCATTTTCTTGTATCTGATAAAAAAAAATCAACCCCACATTAAATTTAAGGGGATGGCCGAGTGCTTCAGATCATAAGGTCTGTCATTGAGTCAAGTGGAGTGGTTTTGATCCCAAGGTTTTATGTTACAAAGAGTAGGTTTGCCTGTATAACATTGTGGGTTTCATCCAAGCCCAATGGTTTCCTCGTACTGCTAAAGAACCCTACGGGCAAGTGTATTATTGAAATAAAATTCAACCAGAAGTTAGACCCGAAATACCCATGTTTGTTGAGAACACATTAAACCCTATTTCTCTCTCTCCCTATTAAATTTAATGACCAGGGAAATCAATTTTATCTGGTTTTCATCATTTATACATAAGGTTGTTTTATAAAAGTCTTAAAGGAATCTGGAAGAATAAAAAAAATCGCTGAATATGAAGTTTATCATCAAAAGAATGGTGTAAAGTATCTAACCCTTCTCTTGGACGACTACAACCCATGGTGATTACCCAAGTAACATTACAACTTTAAAATATTCATATTTAATTTAGAGCTTCTATTTTTTTTTTAAATAATTGAACTTTCTAGAATAATAAACGGCCAGATTTCAACGTCTATATATCCAGCTCTCTGATTGGTCATATCACATTGATTACAGTATTAGAATAGTGACCTTGACATACTTGGTGAAATTGACATACAAAATATTTTTAAGAGAAATTTTTTTACTTACCTGGTGAAAGTGACCACACAGAATCTCTACTCAGTTGTTGTTTGTCACCCTGTCCACCAATCAAAATAGCTTTATTATTATGAACCATACACATAGTATGTCCCCATCTATTGGTGGGATTTTCACCTAAAACATTATCAATATATTAGGCTACACAAAATAAATGTCTTGTTTCTCGGGCAACTGACAGCTGAAACTGTAGGGAGGGAGGGCGGTTTATTTTTTTTTTTTACCTCATTTCTGGCTAGAGGATGGTGCAAAATAAAATTTGGCTATTGTTGAAAATTGTTGGGGCGGGAGGGCGGCCTTGTATTTTTTTTTTTTTTTTAATGAGAAAGTCATTACTTTTCTACAGTTTTGCTTTCAGTTATATATTATACATACTTAGAACATAAACCCAAAAATCAAGTCTACTCAAACACTGAACACTGACTGTAAGGAAAATAATTTTCCATATTTAATTCACGTAATGTAGCTTACTAATGGTAATGGTGACAACCATAATTGAAATTGGTTTAAAATAAAATTCCGTACGACTATTAATAGCCGTCCATAATAACGACAATATTTTAAAGGGTAAGCCTCTGTCAGCATGTGTATCAAAAATAATCATCACGGTAAACGACACTTCGATCTAAATCTAGTATCGCTGGTTTATAATGATTGACCTAATTCCAACCAATGCATGTCACGTGTCATCGGGATTCGGGAAATGACTGTTTCTCAGGATATTCGGTGTGTTTCTCAGGATATTCGGTGTTCTATCTGGGGTTTATATCGAATGACTATTTAAATTTAACTAACAACTGGTCAGTAAAACCATCAAATGTGTAATCCAATTATTATTTTCCGGATTATCAAAACTACCGTTAAATGTGCTATTGACCCAGATTCTGACTAAGGTATGGTGACTATCATCGTATCGTATTCGTAGCCACAAGTTATAATAATTAACCTGTTCTACGATTCATTGTTTTATAAGTAGGATTTTTTCAAACATGGACCGACTGAAGCCGGCAATAATGAGCCGATTAAGATCGAATGATTGAAATACAATGCATTGTTGTCAATGACTTTCGGTGTTTAACACGAATCAAATTCTAGTTCACAAGGGGAGGTAATTAAAATCATGTGATACAAAAATGGAGGTTCTTTCGATATCTAGAAAAATGACCCGTAAATGAGCGTTTACATCTGAATCAGTTTAATACATTTGAATGGATATTCACGTATGGGGCATGTAGATACATGCGGCATATTCTTTTTATGACTTGCTTATCGATGTTCGGGCGGGCGTTACATATTTTTTTATTTTTCATCAAGACTAATAAATAGGCCGCACGCGCAACCAATTTTGCGTGCGGGCGGTGCCCGAGAAACAACTTATTTTATTTGTGTTGCCTTAACATTATTTTATCTTTCTTGATTCAAACCAGAGCTGCACATCAACACAATATCATCCACTCACAATCGTGCGGTTAGGTATAGATCATCATCACCTCATCAAAACATAAGATCGCATTAAATTATGAGCATATAAAAAGGTCAAAACTATGGATGATAATTTATGACAATCATTTTAAAGGCAACCAGTAGACAAAGACAGACTTAAAGGCAATAAATCAAAATAAAGATAGTTGCCAGACAACGAAACATATGCCCATGCCCATGCCCATTCAGTCAACAAGGGTTATCACATATTTTTTTCTTTTGTTGGTAATGAAAGCATTTACAAGGCACTAAGAATTCTATAAAGAGAGAAACAACCTATAAAGCAATTATCAGAAATCTGGCAACAAGTTTTTGGAAATCATTGAAAATCAATAGGTTTCTTTGTATCATGACCTTAAACAATGCGTATGAATTTAAAGTCAGTTAATATTAATGGAAAGGGGTGACTACAATACATAACTACATTTCAGTGTGGGCGTACAAAAACTATATGATTGACTTACATCGACTTGTTACATCTTTACAATACGATAATCTTTGACCTGAACTCGAGTTTTCTTCATTAGCACTTTCAGTTAAAACCTTTTTAGGGGTTTTACTTTTCTTTGGGGTTTTACTGAGTGTTTTAAATTCTTTTTTCAATGCCCTCATTCTTGTTGTAGATTTAGATTTCTGTGGTGTGGGACCGTTGGGTGTTTTTTCTGTACCATCTCTGTTTCGTTTTCTTTGTTTACCTTTTTTAGGAAGAGGAGATGGAGTGTCTAACAACTGAAAACATAAATCATTTCTATTAATATTACCGAATTCAATGAAAAATTGATAATTATAAGCCTTTAAGCAGTGGCGGCGCCAGCCGTCGGTGGTTGGAGGGGCAAAGCTGGGGCAAAGTCCAAGGTTAAGGGGGCAAAGGCACGAGTTTTAACTAGGGGTGGGGTGGGGGGCTCCCCAGAAAATTTTGTTTTGAAAGCAGAAATTAAGCACCAACTAGCCATCAAGCTGGGGTTCCTATTGAACTCTTCCAAGATATTTATATTGATAGCATACTCCAAGGCCTGATTGATTGGGCTGTTGTTCATATGCATCCTTTGTTAATTTAGAAAACTGAATAACCAAGTGTGAACCCACAAGGTTAGGCAGGTATGTGACACCACATACAACTGTAGGATTAAAACACTTGACCACCAACCCACTTACACAGCAAAGTTAAAGATTACATGACATTTTTAACTGTCATATTTTACAGGGTATAAGTCAATGTTGGGTATAAGTCGAATTGTCATATTTTACTGTTTTTCCAACCTCCCTCCATATACATGTATAAGTCGAAGCATTATATAAGACAAATGTTTTTCAAATCCACGGTAGCAATCTATTACCGTATCGAGCGACGGTTAGTGAAGAAATTTTTTCTTCAAGATGTTACTTTTTTTTTTTACTTTCATCCGTATATAAGTCTGAAGTGGAGTATAAGACGAAGGTCGGACTTCAGCGGAAAAAAGTATCGACTCATACCCCGAAAAATACCGTATACAAGGTATGTATAATATTATATGAAATTCTGCTTGTAGTACCTGTGGAGTATTTTCCATTTCTGCTTGTATATTGTCAAATTCTTCTTCAGTTTGCTCCATTTCTGATATTTCTTCTATGACTGGTACGTTATACGTTAACTGTGGTGTATCAACAACTAGTCTAGCTAGTTTACCACTTTTACTTGTTGACAATTCAATACCATCACGTTTCTCCCAAATAATACACCTGAAATTCAATTATTATAATATATAAATTCTGTCAAAGAAAATGCTGTCAAAGATTTACAGGGTTTTTTTTAATTTAAAGCCCAGTCAAAAAAAATTGGTCAATGCAGGACAAAGTTCAGAATAATTTTTAAATCTAATTAAAATTTGATTCAAAATTTATTAAGCAATTTTTGCTCTGCTTACACTATCAGTTCTCTTTGAAGTCTAATGGTAGCCGGAAAGGTTGGGTAAATTGAACTCACAGATTTAAAAATATTGTTAGACTTAACTGTTATCTACATGTAAAAGTAGAAAATATAAAGGAACGAAAAAGAATCAAAAGCAAATTGATATTTTGTCATGAGACCTGGAAGTAATGATTTTACATGATCCTGACAAACTGTTGTACTTCACATCTTGAACATTTTATCAAAAAATGTCAATATCAAATCTCCAAATTGACAATATGACATGCACCAGAGGAACTGTGTCTGACAACACCTGAATTAGTGCCTGACATTGTCTGTGAAAGATGACTTATTTCCAAGCTTTTTGTTATATACAACAGTTCATATCTTAATTTTGACAGCCAAACTGTGTTTTAATTACTTCGTAAATAGGAATTTAAAATGGTATTGTTGAAAATAGAAATTAATTAAAAGTGAATCTACCTATTGTTTTCCGAGATTGAACCTAACAACAAATTAATTTCCTCTTCAACAGAAACAGAAACTTCAAAAGGTTTATCACAGACTTCTGGCCATTTTCCTAGAGCAAATAATAATATCTGTTCTGTTGGCAAGTTGATGTCAGTAGAAAAACTGCTTCCATCATCAGCACTGAAAGATCAAAGATAACATTAAATTGATGAGAAAACTCTGGGATTTAATTTGATATTACATGTAATAAATAACCAATAAATAATGGATGGGGAATGTGGCTCTAGTGTATGCTGAACGGAGCTGTCAGAGCTTAACTGCACAATAACTAGACATTTTCAATGTTGTTGCGCACTTTTGCTGGTTAAATGCCAGTTTAAGTAGAATTCATACAGAGAAGTGGGGGTGTGTTTTCTGTGCAATAACAACAAGCATGTTGAGCCGGTGTCAATGTTACAAGCATTAATACTAATAACACTAATAGCCTGCTTTATTCATGAAAAGGTTTAACACCTTGGCCTCATGGCCGGGGTGGTTAAACTTGTTAACTCATGAAAGCTGTTCTATAAATATAACTTGTATCTGAGTGGCTCTCCATTATATGCCTACAAAAAGGGTGCAACTGCCAATAGTCATAGGCTATTAAAAGCTCGAGCATCTGAAATTACTGAAATGGAAAAAAGTAACATGTGTAATAATAATACTTCAAAATACCTGGTCAACTCCCAGTTGGTGATCACATACCAGTATGGTTAAACAATTCCAGTATGAGTATTAGCCCAGTTTAGGAGCAGTTCAGTAGGGCGTTAAACCCCATTTCATTTCATTTCGTACCTGTGTTGACTGGTATATATCGATACACCAAATTGATCAGCAATATATTCAATAAGTACAGCTCATCCAAAGTACACGACTTACCAAGTCAAACATTTACATAGATTGGGGTTTCGCCCCAATTCCCACAACTGAAGTGAAAGGTCGTTCTTAATCTAATTTGACTTTGTACATATTTACTTCAAGAAAAAGACAAGAGCATATTGATTTGATAGTCATATCCTTAAAAATCTACAAATCATTTGACATTTGTGAGAAAAAAAATATCAGTACGATTCGGTAAGCAAAACCACGAAAAATCCCATAAAATTTGAATAAGGCAATAAGGTTACAAAAATGTAAAATTTCAAAAATAAGACTCACGCTGATAATTCCACCGGTTTCTCTGATATATCACCTAAATAAAAGAGTCGGAATTCTGCCATGACGGCGTCTTAATCCCCAACCAATTTCGGTTTGAATAATACTCAGTATGGAGTTGGTCCCTTGATTGTTTACTATGCGCCCTCTTTGTAGAATCACATTCAGCGCGTTTAAACTCCCGCCAAATATATTTATTTAAGAGTTATTTCCCTTGGATCACAATTTGCGATGCATATTTGGAACCAGACCACCAAATATCACCAAAAATTAACTGTGTAGTCAATTGCGTGGTTTCAGTGCGGTTTTCAATGCTATTTCCATATACTGATCTTCTCTTCATTAGATAATCATACACCGTGCCAAATACCTGACTCATTGCTGCAAATCGACTCTAGCATGTTTCACACAGCACCACATCCCCCATCCCCCAACCAACGATAAAAAATATGCGTTTTGTGCCCCCCCCCCACGTGATCTTGTTCAGCATGCAAAATCCATGGCAAGCGCATCCCTGGATAGCTTTACGGGCTAAATCGCTAATATTTGGGACCTGGAAATTTGACACAAATGGGTCGCAACGCATATAGTAATGTAATATGAATGTATATAAACTGATTTACATTCAATCGTTTCCGTTTTTACTCCAATTTCAGATCAACTTATGTTCGGCGAAATACGCCAAAAATCTCAACCGAATGGAAATCTCTAGCGTCTGGTTATTCCAGTCTACATAATATTTATTGCGCATGCTCTCCAGATAAGAATGGTGTCACCGTTTGACATGACTAGCCTCGTTCTTCGAGTCCCTTGTTACAAATGGGACTGAAACGCATTATGATACACGATTCGTGTACCAATCGTAAAATGTCTATTTTGTCTTAAATATTGGATATCAGAAGCCCATCTTTTCCCGGTAAGATCAAAACATCAATGTTGATTTAAATTGACAAATAATTCATGTTTTCAATGTCGAAGACTTTGGATGATATTGAGTTAGAGACTTAGCTACTTTAACACCCGTGTAGAATAGCTTTACTTATGCCCACTCCACATGAGGTGATCTCAGACATACTGCAGTTCCAGAGGCGTGTGCAGAAAAACTCCAGATTCCCCTGGCCACCCTCCTGAGTTCTTACCTCTCACTTTCTCCGTTTTGCATGGCGATTTTTGATGACTTCTATTTGTGTATAATCGAAGACAATGCGTTAATGTTTTTGCCACGTTTTAATGAATATTTACATGAAAAATAGAAGTATACGCCCAGTTCGTTTATTTTCAAGTTGAACCACAGTACCCGTTGTATTTAAAGCGTTCAATGAATATTTGCCATTCTTGGGGAAAATCAGAGCATGACAGAGAGACGAGAATTAATATTACAGTCAAAGATAAAATAATTAGTGGTCTGATCCCGTATTACACGCTGCGCTTGGACAATTTGTTCCCTGATATCGGGTGATCCAAATGCGCGGGTGGACTGAAGTCAATATAATAACTTGTGGGGATTAAAACCTAGGTTTCTGACAATTGTATGAAATATTAACCTCTTAGTAAAGACGTAGGGTGTCTTACACAGCCAGGTATAAGCTTATATAAGCTCTAATAACAGTTGAAGTTTAGTGATTACATAACAGCTAGATTCGTTGCACGTGCATTCGTCTGGGATATCTTGTATAAATAACAATAATGATTTGCGCTGACTGGTCCATATTGCAAACTCCGCTCCAACATCAGGGTGAATATCTGATTTTTCTAAAGAGGCGGGGCAGAAACATGTCTTGCCGAACAAAGAGATACGAAAAATAAATTTGAATCTTTTTTTAGTAATCTTTCCTAGAAAACAACCTCGGCACTGTCGACCAAACAGTTCAGTTTATTACATGTTACATTAAAACATTTTGGTGACATACTTATTTCCGTTGTATATGTTCGTGCAATATAGTTCGATTAGTGTCATTATGATCTGAAAAAAGAAAGTGTTCGAGTATTAACAATTTAGCGCGACGTATGTAAATTTGCCTCCAAGGCCACAGAGGCTATTTGGAGCATATTTTGGAAAGAACATGACTTTTATGCAAAGCTACCCAGATAACTGAAACTTCAATCAGGAATGATCGTACACAGAGTGAAGTTTGTAGGGTTCATGTTCAATAAAATTTGTTATGGGTTCTGTTTGGTGGGGGCATGGGGGGGGGGGTCACCCTGTACTACGCTTACCAACTATTCTGAACTGTCGGAAAAGTGTTTTTTTTCGGGTTTGAAGGATTTGAATTACAATACAACACCGGCTCTCGGGATCTTAAATACTGTTCATAAAAAAAAAACGGTTTCGCATCGTTCGGCACGGCTGGTCGTTTATACACATAAACATACAATGTTCTACTAACTTAGCTTGAACTGTTGGAATTCAGAAACATGCGATTAACTTACTACTATAATTTGCCAATATATTATAGAAAAATATTATATAAAATGCTATACAATCTTAAAAGGCACAATCAACATGTCATTTATTATAAAAAAAAGTATATCTGTATAAAGATCTAGAACATATTTGATAGGCTGAGTCCGCTCGAGGGTCTTTCTTTTCTTATTATATCCCTTTGCCGGGAATGATAGGTGTTTCCACATATCGGAAAGAAGAAACCAAAAACTGCGCTATGGACAGTATTGTCAGAACACATGAAACAGAGGCGTGCTGGGGCCTCGACCGAGGGTAGGCATACCAAACTTAGGTATGCTAGAATTGCAGTATTAGAAAAATAAATAAAGGTGTTTAAAGTATATATCTACATGTAGATAAAATATTTCCTATTTAGTGTAAATGGGTATATAAAATGAGTAAAGCTTAGGGCACCATTCTGCCCGGACCAGTCTACGCTACAACGTCTTATGTAGACCATGAGCGTGCGACTAAGCCAATGATCGAAGCCGCATGATGTGAGGTCACCTGTAGAAAGCATACTTGAACTTAAAGGTCAGTCATCTTATACAGAGTTATTAGAAGGCTTTCGCAATAACTCTGTGAAACAGATAATTCCCTATACAAGGAAGCAAATTGATAAAAGCCTGCTTGGCTTGTTTTTAGATCAAATTCTTTATGCCTTTAAATTATACAATACTTTCGAAATAATTACTGCTTGAAGCAAACGTAGGACGTCAAACCCCATTGCATTCCATTTCTAAAGAAATCAAGCAATTGAAGCTTTTACTTTTACTGCATTTGCAAGACGATTTTTTTTTTTTAAATTAATAAATATATTTTAATGTTCCAATTGATTGCCTCCAAACCCCCACCCGCTCCTAGGATAAAAATAAAGAATTTTAGAAATATTAAAAATCTATAGATCAAAGAGTTAGTCCATAATAAAATTATGCATATTGAAAATCTGGGTCAGCCTTGTGTACCACGCAACGATTGCCATTAATGGTATAATGCTGGAAAACCAAGTCTATCTTAATTCTTTCAAGTCATGAATGCGCACGCGTAGTCAAATATATAGACTTCCGCTAAGTCCGCGTTTTTCAATTTTGTTGTTGATTGTAACGAAATGTGATCAAAATATGTTAAGAAAGAAAGAAATCTTCGTGAAATCAAGTAGTGTATTCTAATCTGAACAATGTCTAATCCCGAACAAGGAAAGGGGGACACGGAAGAGGAAGATATGGAACAGGAGACTTTAGAAAGTGACAAAAGTTCCGATGAAGAATCGGGGTCGACCGAGGAAGAGGATGAATCTGGTACAAAAATGTTTTTTTTCTTCCAGTTTTCGGATTTTGATTTATGTAATTGTTGCGTCTCCAAATGGACGTGTACTTTGCATTTCCAGTTACCTCATTCATGAAAAGTATTAGGCAAATTTAAAGAAATTTAAAAACGAGAAAAATCAAAACGTCACAAATTTTACACAAATGAAATGATGACAGCCCGGTCATTGATAATGTCAGTTTAAGTATTTACATTAGATCTAGGCCACTATTGTTATATACAAAAGAAAATGAATTTGGGTTTAAAAGTCTTACATTTTTGCTCCCAGCAGACTAACGAAGATCTTTATACACCATGCAGTGTGCTATCCCATGTAACTACTCTTAGTCTTACACTTTGTCTATCAAATTCCAACTGCCAAGGATTCTTTTCTGAGCATGTCAGCCAATGTGTACAGTGAAGGTCTGTATTTCATCCCATTTTAACAACTAAAAGCATGGATACATTATTTAATAAATTTATTTTTATTTCAGAAATAGATGAAGAAGAATGTGAAAGAAAAAGAAATGAATGTTTAGAAGATATGGCGGAGCTAGAAAGACAATTTAATGTATTGAAAGACGAGTATGTATTCTTTGAATGCCAGTCAAGTCGTCCACACGAAAAATCTGGTTAAGTCGTCCACACCCGTTGGTGGAGTCGTCCACACGACTTAGAGTATAATTTCTGGATATAGTAATACGTTGGAAAAGAGTATAATTCCTGGATATATATAGTAATACATTGGAAAAGTCGTCCACACGACATAGTTTACTTTCGGGACACATAAGATATTCTTAATTAGTATAGTTTTTCTGCGTGATTACCCTTTCTCCCGGCAAATAAACAACAAAGTAAATCATTTTATTCAATAAATAACAATTTCATAAAACAAATTTAACAAATTCAATATAACAATTTCATTAATATAACAAGTTCATTAATATAACAAGCCCCATGCACAAATGAATTTCTACACCGCTACCAAACGACCCACGTCCTTTAAAAGCCCTGATACACTTTTTTCCCGCTGTTCATACAATTCCCATATTTTAAAGATTTTCCCTGCTATTGTCTCAAATTTATTTCTTTGTCGCGCAGTATCACCTATAGACAAGAATACGTTGATATAAACTTACATATAAAATAATACCAATTAAATACTAGCTACATGTAATTAAATACTAGCTAATCAGTAACTTACTCTTCCAATATTGGGGTTGGTCTCGTATATTCGACGACAAATGCGATGTTGCCAGCGGTCACAACCATCACATTGCAATGCCTCTTGTCGGGGACGCACGTCCTTGGAACAAACTACACAGACACTAGCCATAGTAGCAGGGCTGCCGACAACCAGTATCGCAGCGCAATTTGCGATACATATTTTGTCTGTTGCTAATCAAAAATTAAAATCTAAAGTTTTTGATTCGCAGTAACTGCGAATCATTAATATGCCTGTCATTTTGGATTTTGACAGAAGGATAATCCACATTTGAAGACTAGAAGGCTTTCTGAACACTTTCAACGTGTATAAAATGTTGAATAAAATTTTATAAACAAAACTGAATTCTCCGTGTGACATTTTTTTCTCGAACTACCCAGACACAATTCATTATACGGTACTATATACTATTCAAAAAAAGTAGGGGATATTTGATTTTTAAGTGTTGTTAAAGTCACCTAATGAAACTGACGAAGAAACAAATGACAAAATGAAATGAAGTTCACATTCATCGATTTATTCCAAATGATCGTTAGACTAAGTAAGGCACAGACTGACCATTATAAGGGTAAAATGATACCCGGGGTCAAACAGCAGAGTTACCACAGCATCACAACCAAGTCAGTAACGGGTAAATCCTCCTCTGTTTGCCAAACAAGCATTGATCCGACTCCTAATGAGACGTCTAAGGTCATTTTGGTCCAGATTGTCCCATTCCTGTTGCAACGCAGCAGCAAGTTCTTCGACATTGGCAGGACGCTGTTGACGTTGACGTAACCTCTGTCCAAGCATGTCCCAGACATGCTCGATGAGGGAAAGGTCGGGACTCAGTGCTGGCCAAGGTAATGTGGTGATGTTCTGTTGTTGGAGGTAACCTGTAACGATCCTGGCCCTGTGACATCTTGCGTTGTCATCCTGGAAGATGAAACGGCGGCCATGACGTCGTGCGAACGGCACAACATGGACTGCCAAGATGTTGTCCCGGTAGTACTGGCCTGTAACATGCCCTGCAACAACATGGAAAGCCGTTCTTCCAGCAACAGTGATGCCTCCCCACACCATAACAGAACCACCCCCAAATCGATCATGTCTGATGACGTTAACGTCTTGGAAGCGCTCGTTTCGACGACGCCACACCCTCCTACGTCTGTCCAAAAAATCAACAGTGAACCTTGACTCATCTGAAAACATCACATTGCTCCAGCGTCGATTATCCCAGTGTTTACGATCCCTACACCAACGACGTCTTGCCTGAATGTGATGATCTCTCAAACAAGGGATCACGTGAGGACGTCGGGTGCGAAGGTGACCCCTATGCAGTCGATTCCGAATCGTCTGGTCACTCACTCTCACACCAGTGTCTGTTTGAAGACGAGCGCTGATCTGATTTGCTGTGATGACACGATTTCTCAAGGCCAAGGTACGGATAAATCGATCCTGGGCTTGAGTTGTCGCCCTTGGTCGACCTGAGCGTGGTCTGTCCTGTACAGATTGTGTATCACGGTATCTGGACCATAGCCTGCTTATGACAGACTGAGAAACATTCATCGTCCGCGCCACAACCGCCTGTGTTGTGCCGATCTGTAGCATGCCAAGGGCACGTAACCTTTCATTTTGGGTAAGCCGACGCATATCAAAATTTGTTTTCTGGTCACTAAAACAATTAAACTGATGTTTCCACCCTGGAATTCAATGCCACAATGACTGTAACATTCAAAGTCAGAGTCGTGCAAATCTTGGGTTGGACCCCGATGATGATCCCAAGCATCACCTGCATTCCATGCGGTAGTTATTGGTGCGTTTGGGCGTCACATGTAACTGGAAATGTTTCTTCTGTTAGGTTCTATAGTGACTTTTTTCGTAGTCATTTGCATATTTTAGTATTATGCCCCCAAAATCAAATATCCCCTACTTTTTTTGAATAGTATATAATACAGGGACATAACTCTATGAATAGGGACTATTAAACCGAAAATAGGGAATCAAGTAGTACCACTCACGTTGCGAGACATCAAGTAATTATATTATATTCATTTTGAAAGAAATAAAGCCAGTGTATCCCCCACGTATTGTAAATAAAATATAAAAAAATAAATATATGTTAACGTATTGTAAAATGATAAATCAAAGTAAAAATTCCCGTAAAATATCGCGTGTGTCTAGTTAATCGAGGTGCGCCCGATTGAACAAAAATAGCAATACACAATAAAAAGCAGACGAAATTGTTTTCTAACGAAGATTTCTAACGTAACAAAAAATAACAATTAAAATGATTGGGGCCTTGGAAGTCACTGTTAAGAATTGGATTCAGACATAAGACCTAACTAAATGTCTACATCACATTCACAAACTGTCACAAGTACTTGTGGCAGTGCTAAAAAAATCTAAGAATAGTAAGAATGGAATCTAATCATATTTGTTATGAACTAAAGTAATATCTTGTTATTTAGGCTAATCAATTTTTAAATTTGCTAATCAAATTTGGCAAAATTGGACTTTTTGATTAGCAGTGCTGCTAATCAACTGTGAAAAATTACCGACAGCCCTGCATAGTAGATAATTAGAGCTTATGATATAGATCAGTAATGAATCTTAAATTTTACGGTCAATATATACCCAACTTCTGATGAAGCCGTTTTACAATTATTATGACAATGAGTTGCATTTAGCTAATCTTCAATGGGCGACATGTTTGAACTTCAGACAAATTATGACTAAAATCATAACGCAAAATAATAATCAATACTTTATTACAAAAACATCGATAATACTAATCAAACAAACAAAAATACAAGTATACTTCATTACAAAATGTGAATATACTTTATTACAAAAACATCGTTAATACTAATCAAACAATCAAAAATGTTACAATCATAACGTCAATTAAAAGCGAATAACCCTTATTACACAAACATCGTTAATACTAATCAAACAATCAAAAATGCTAAAATCTAACAAAACAAACTAAAATCTAACATGAAAAGAAAGATCATACAATAATTCAACAATACGATTAACTTTATTACAAACAATACAAGTATACTTCATTACAAAATGTGAATATACTTTATTACAAAAACATTGTTAATACTAATCAAACAATCTGAAATCAAATAACATCGGCGTTTCGAGTACGAGTAAATTGTGTACGACTCTTATACTTAGTTGTGGACGACATCACCAATAGTTGTGGACGACATCACCAATGCCTTGTGGACGACTCCACCAACGGTTTTGGACGACTTTGCTTGTGGACGACTTCACTGGCACCCTATCTTTTACCCTGTACAAGAATATATTGGTCTTTACTTGTTATATTTTTAAGCGATCAACTGCCATTATGTGTTTGCAGTTTCTGTTATATCCCTTTAGATTGACATCAGCAGACTATCTATGTTTATTAGTTTGACTAATCTTTTCAGTTGGAATATAAAGTGTTAGGACTGTTCAACCACAAAATCCCTATCAATTGATTCATCAAAAAGCTCATCAATGGGCATCAAGCAGACAGTGTGCACCTCCTTGAAGTTTTTGTCATTTTTAAATTCCCAGTTCCTTTTGAATGTACCAGATTTCAAACTGATAGTCCATGATGTTTCAGGAAAACTTGATTAAGGCTGATATCATTTTATAAATATACAGTAAACCTCGCATAAGTCGGATCTTTGCTCAACTCGGATAAAATTGTTTGGCCCCTTTGATCTTGCATGTTTTTCTTATTAAATTTCTGTGTTTAAGTCGGATCTTTGCTCAACTCGGATCAAAATATTTGGTCCATTTCATCTAATTCTGATTTTTTCCTTCAACCTAAGTCAGATCGACAGTATAGTATGTTCATAATTTCACTGTCAGTTTCGTCCCGATGGTCTAAAACACAGTTAGGTATTCCATGCTCGAGCCCCAAAATACTTTCCCCTATCATTTTGACTCAAATCAGCCTATTTGACGCGACGCAATAATAGAATTTTCCTGGAAAATTCGAAACTCGCTATCTGCTGTATGAGACACTTTCCGGGAAAATTTAGGACATTTTTCAAAGATGGCGACAAAACGGAAGGTACATATATCTACTCGCAGTCGCACTAAAACGGAAGTTATCTACTCGCATATACAAACAAAAGCTTGAAATGTACCTTTGAATCAATTATTATCCAGCTTTTGCTGTTTATTTCTAATCGAACCAAGATTGAATTTCGGTCTTCGGCTACCTCGGATCTTTGCTTAACTTGGATAAAATTGGTCAGTCCACTTAGATCCGACTTATGTGAAGTTTACTGTAGTTTTGTTCAAGACATGATAACAATGAGTGTGCTTATATATTTGTAATTTTAATTTTTGTATTTTAACCAGATTATACAAAGAGAGATACAATCAGTATGAAATAAAACTAGTGGAAGTAAAAGAAGAAAAAGCTGAGGAATATTTAATGCCATTAGCACAGTTGGAGCAAGAGAGTAAAATAAAATGCGATGTTGCAGGTAATAAAAGACATAGTGAAAGGATGATGGCATAAAAAAAAGAAGAAATCTTTCTTCAAGTAACTTTAATTGTGATGGGGAAATGTCTGCTTCAATTTAGAGAGACTTACTGGTGTTTGTTATTTTGAAGGAAAATTTCTTTATGTTAGAGTAACTTTACTAATTCAGTCTGATACGCAGGTTTTTTGGAAAAATCTATTCAGATAAGAACTATCTAGTGTTAATCTTCAACCATCATCAACAATCATTCATATTACTGGTCCTGGCAAAGGCAGCTGGGATGAAAAACTGAGGTCCCATGTAGCTATAGTGCCGCTGCCCGGGCATAGCCCAGTCGGAGCAGAACAGTAGAACGTTGAACCCATTTCATTTCATATTACTCGTAGCAACTATTGAACTATGATATTTGATACCATTTCTGCCTCTTTAGTCTTTTATGTACAAAAGTTTTAATTATGTGACCTTTTAATCTATGACCATGGTTTATATAATAATGGGACTTTTTTGCTATTAGGGTGCTTTGACTACAATCTGATTACATTGACAGCAGTCAAGATTTTTCTGAAACTTAAGTTGAGTAACTGTCCTAACTTGTGAGTAGGACTGAGTGATATAACTTTTTGTACAGATATCAAAACTAGGGCAGCTTAAAATTGTATGTGAAATTTCTTCTGTCTGAGATTGACAGCAAATATCATTAAAACTGTAAATTTTTTATCATTTTATGATTGATATTCATGTAAATAAAGATGAAATAAAAATATTTTTAAAGTAATCTTTAGTTTATATGTTTATTATAAAAAGAAAAGATTAGAAAAATGGTTCTGTAGGAAAGGTGGGTTTTGAGTGGCTTTTGCTGGCACTATCAGACAGAAGAAATTTTAAAAGGGCTGGTGAAAAGATACATGTATCTAATGAAATTATTGAATTATATACAGTAGGTGACTCACAGATTTGTCCATATAAAAAATTAACCCTAATCATCAAGAGATTAGGCATATCCCATTTATTGTACAAATAGTAATCAAGATTTTTAAATGAAGGATCTGTGTCCTTTAATATATTTGTACTGTTGCTCAGCTTTTGTTGAAAAGGTGGTTCTTTGATGGTGTGCGTTTTAGATAAGGGAGATAAATAATGCAGATGAATAATGTCTTGCTAAATTGTTTTGTTAAGCAGTCTTTACATCTTGTATGTAAGGCCACTGTTTGCAATTTAACATAAAGTTTGACAGCAAAGAAATAAAAAGTGTGTCATATTTCTTCAAGATGGTCTTTTCATTGGGCCCTGGTATAACAAAGCCTTCTCAGACTTAAGTTAAGAATTTACTCAACTTTTAATCACTGTTAATGATAAATATCTTTGATCAAGAAACACTAAAAAATTATGCATGGCTTCTTATTGATGTATTTGATACATTAAAACAACAAAATTTTTATAATGGGCTGTATTTTAGTTAAAATAAAGTGAATAATTTTGAGTAAATTCTTAAATTAAGTTTGAGATTGTTTTGTGAAACCTGGGCCTGTTATTTTAAAGCCACTGATTGTCATTTGAGGGATTTTCGAAAGATATTTTCTGAAATCAGGATCTGTGACTTTAAAGAACTTTAAATGGAGTTACTTCCCCTCTCACTTGAAATTTTCCAAAAATTTAACAGCGAACAGTCAACTTATTGTTTGAATGACTTAATATTAATAATATAATCTATGTTAATTATTCTTTCTCTTTCAGCCATTTTTCGTGAACATAGAATTTGTTGTATAAAAATAAACTTTGAAAGTGAGGAACTAGCAGCATTTCAGAATCTTCAGGTATTTATTATATATAGAGAAGGGTGTTATACTAGATGTTAGAAGTGGAAAGCAATTCTTTCACATGTAGATGTCATTGTTACTAATGGCTGTATTATGGTGGTTTGATCATTAGTCTTTGTTTTAATAAATGTCTATCAACACCTCCATAACAATTACATTACTCCAGGATTTACCCTGGTGGTAATTGAGGTCCTGTCCGTGTAAACCCAAAGCTTCCTTTTGACTATCGAGGCATCCAATCTACTATTCAAACAGATGGTTGTAAGGTTTATTGTGACTGTTGACTCCCGCCACCTGGGAAGCTCAGTGAGTGGTTTCCCCTTGTCAGTGGTGCAGTACGGTGGACAAAATATAGTCATTAGGATGGGACAAAAAAGGATGGTCCCGTGTACACATTGACTTTGCATGTAAAAGAACCCTTGACAGTTGGAATCCAAAATAAGAGCAGACTGTAGTCTGGCTGTCCTGGCAAAATTCCCCTCATAGTAGTCATAGCATACTGCATGGTGTATATCTGTCTTAATTAGCACAGTTGGTGCTGAGAACATTAGGACATTTAAACCCCATTTCATTTCATTTCCGCTCTTCACCACTACTACTGATAATGCTAGGTTTATGTTGTGAATAATAAATATTCTTGTGTATGTTTGTTGACAGAGTGAAAAGATAATACAGGCTGATACAGTTCGTCAAGAGTTAGAAGATAAAATAAAACGTTTAGAAGAAGATAGAAATAATATAGATATATCCTCAGGTAAAGTTATATATTTTACTTATAAACAGTATACAATTCTATGGAATACAAATACAGTTTATTGTTGCTTGGTAAAGACTAAGAGTACCCTATTTGAAACATCACCCACTAATAAATGGACCCCATTTGAAATAAGCAACAGAGGTTATATACTTAAGGCTTTATGGGCTATTCTAAATAAAGGTCTCATCATGACACCATACCTATCATACTTCTCTATTCTTGTCTTATATCCTTTCCCAATCATACATTTGTACAATGCAGCACATAGTTCTCATTTTTGTTGTCATGTTGTGAACTTTACTTGAAGAATAAATAAACAAATAAATAGATTGTCTTCCACAGAATTGTGACCTGTTTATTCCCCGTTCAGTTTATTCGGTTTTAAACAGGTTTAATTATGTAATTGATGGTGTTTGCTAAAGCACATTATTCTTTTCATAAATTGTGACCTGTTTATTCCCAGTTTAGTTTATTCGGTTTTAGATAGGGCTAATGGTGTATTTATGTATCCAATGTGGTGTATTTATGTATCCAATGTGGTGTATTTATGTATCCAATGTGGTGTATTTATGTATCCAATGTGGATTAATGGTGTATTTTTTGTTAGCTAAAGCACATTATCCTTTTCATAAATTCACAAAACTTTTTCCACAATCTGGAAAATTGGGGTTCAGTAGTACATACTTTGTTGGTATAAAAAGTGTTTTTTCCACCTGCACCTACAGATAAAATCAAAAGGAGCAGCGCTGAATAGACTTATCAGAAATAAGTAGGTTGCATTGATTGTGCAAACGATTGTACCACTTTAATTGATCTGCATATTTCCATTTTTCTTCTAATATATTTTTTTTTCCTTTATTCACTTTTAGATCTTTGGCATGAATCACAGAGTCAGAAGAAAAGAAAGAAATCCGACCCATTTCACAGAGACAGACGGCGGAAACCTATTGTTGTTACTGATATCCTTTTACTTATAATAAAATCTAAAATAATTTTATCCCGTTACCTTTTATTCTCTCTAATACTTTCTTTAAGTCCTGTGTAAAGAAAAGATGGCTTTATACAATTTTGAAACATGCTTTCTCATGATTCTTGTTTTTTCAAGATCGGATATTTACGTTAGAGTTAGAACAAATGCACATAAATTGTTTGATTTGGAGGGTAATTTAACTTGTCTAACATATCACCCTAGGTGGGAGAGTTTGGCAAACAATAAAAGATTGCTGAACTTAGGACATAATCTTAAATTCTCATTTAATGTGATTTAGCTCGACCCACAACAAACTTTAATGAAATGGGTAAAATGTCTTTCTCTCTGCACCAACGAGACTATTGAAGACAGACATACACGATGCAGAGTGCTATGATAAATTTTGCCTGGTCAATGGCATACAGCCTGCTCTTTATTTCAATTTCTACAGTGGATCTTTAAGTTGTCATGGGTTGACTACACAGGACCTTGGTTTCCCATTTCACTCGAATAACTGGACGCTTTGCCTTGCCAGGTTCTCAGTTTCTGAAAAACTGACAAGGGGAGACCAAGCAGGAAAATCCTGAGGAATGAGGATCAAACCTGGAACTTTCTGGTTGGTGATCCAGTGCTATACTTGTTGTACAATCAACGGATGTGTTCTTTTGAAACTCTTCCGTTGTACATGGCAACCGGTTTCCTCCCTATGGTCAAGCGAATTATTAAAATGAAGTTTAACCATGTGTTAGTCCCAAAATGACCTAGTTTGTGTCGAATGGACGTTTAACGCCATTTCTCTCTCTCTTTATGTGGTAAGGAGTAGGATTGCCTGTCCAACCTTGTTGGTTTTCTCTGGGTCCTAGTTTGTGTCGAATGGACGTTAAACACTATTTCTCTCTCTCTTTCTGTGCCTTGCAAGGAGTAGATCATCTGTCATACCTTGTGGGTTTTCTCCGGGTCCTCCCGTTTCCTCACACTGCTAAAGACACATACGCGCAAGCGAATTATTGAAATAAAATTGAACCATATGTTAGTCCCGAAATGACCTAGTTTGTTTCGAGTGGATGTTAAACCCCATCTCTCTCTCTCTCTCTTTTGAAATTACAAGCGAAATCTTATTTATTTTGTTAATTTTGTAGGAAATGATCGTTCTGTAGAATATTTTTTATTTTAGTTTCCTTAACTATAATTACGACCCTATATTGTTTATATGTTAAAAGATGTTGATATTATTGATGATTGGACAACAATAAAAAAGGTAGGGAAATAATTTAACTTTATTATTTTAGGGAAAATTAAATTTTAGATGAAGTTGTTGTTTATAATGCACTGTGACAACCTGGTTCACAAATGTTATTGCATGTCCGCTCTTAATTATGAAGAATTCAACATTTTTCAAATACATTTATTTTTGTACTAATGAATGTTTGGTACGGAACAGAGTTCTTGATATAATTTTTGGGGGATTATTCTGTAGGTCAAGAGGAACAATCCTATGGAATTTATAAATTTTCTGATTATAAATTTTAAACTCATCTTGTCAAGTATTCTTTCCAGTCAAATTTTGATTTTTAAAGCTTGTGGGTGTGTTACAGGACACTGTTCTTTAATTTTAAGAAAAAAAACAACTTTTAGCAGGAATCCTATGAACATTTTAGAGCTGGTAGTGGGCATATTAGAGAACCTACCTAACTAGCCTACTTCTCTGTTTTGTACACCCAAATTATATTGTGGTTGTATAATGCTGTCAAAATTACTGTCCAAGTTATTGGCCTTGATCACCTTGAGAAATCTTGTGGACACTAGAGGCTAAAGTTGACATCCAATTGACTCAAAATATATGTGTTGTTTATGTTACTGGTACATAAATAAGTTAATGAAATTTAGTATCATGACTAAAAGACTTAGTATTTGATAATCTTTGTGGACTATCGGGAGGATATAGCTACTGTGGAAATATTCATTGCCTGCCAACCTATCTTTTGTTCACTTTGAAGGCATCCAAATGAAATTATATATTGTTTGGTGTATTTTGGATTTGGGTGGGTTGGATGGCCGAATGGTTAGTACGTGCACGCTGTATGATACGGCCTGTCATTGAGTCAACTGGCGGGGGTTTCGATTCCCCGGTTGTACGTGACAAGGAGTGGGGTCTCCAGTCCAATCTCATTGGTTTTCTCTGGGTCCTCCAGTTTCCATCCACTACTAAAGACCCCTACGCGCAAGCGAATTATTGAAATAAAATTGAACCATTTGTTAGTCCCGAAATGACCTAGTTTGTTTCGAGTGGACGTTAAACCCCATTTCTCCCCATCTCTTTCTGTATTTTGGATTTAATTTTTTTAGGCTTTAAAACAACAGAAACAACAAAATCAGAAGAGAAAAATAGAATGTAAGTATAAATAAAGTTTTTGATTAGAATTTCTGATCTGACGTTTATTTTTTTCGATAACCATGTCTTTATACCAGGACAGGACAAAGTTCACACAGAAGTTTTTATGCGCCTACATTTTCATGTGAATCATCACATTTTTACGTGTATCCAAATAAAATTTCAAGAGAGAGGAATCCAAAACCATTTGAATAACATAAACTTTGATGGGATTCAAGTCATAATAAACTTGATACTGTGACACCAGTAGGTACTAGCGGTTAAAAACAAAGTCATGGGTATCACAAAACCATATAAAAGATGGTTATGTGATACCTATGACTTTGTTTTTAACCGCATTTTCATGTGGAAGTATATTGTCGTTGCACCTGTCCGCCCAGACGTCAGTCTACAATTTGTTTGTTGACACCCAACAGATCACTGTTGTCCGATTTTGACAAAACATAAATTTAGGTTTATATCCCAAAGATCTTGGTTCCTTTCGATATTAGCTTGTATCGGGCCACAACTTGATATTAGGACCTCTGATTGTACAAAAAATCATGTTTTTATCTTGTGGACACTCTATAGAGGTCACAGTTTTTATCCGATATTGATGTATGTTTATAACCCAAAGACCGACCCTGGTTAATTTTTCAATATTTGCTCATATCGGACTAACTTCCTGGATTATGGCCCCTGATTGTACAGCAAGTCACTTATTTAGCTTGTGGGCCCTCTAATTCTAAAGGTCACAATTTTTTATCCGAATTAAAAAAACATTCCAGATATATCACCATTACACCATAATGATGGTTGAGTTTGAATTTCATGAAAATCAGACAAAAACTGCCCAACAAAATAGCCACTCCCCTTATGCAAATAGTGTAAAGGTATTTAATACCAAGGTTGTTGACACTCTAGATGTTATAATTTTTATCTGATTTTAATGAAGCTTAAAATATATGTTTACATCCCAAAGGTCTGTGTTTCTTTCAATATTTGCACCCTAACTTCCTGGATTATTGCCCAAAATTGTACGAAAAATCTCTTTTTTTTTAAAGCTCATTCTCTGTCCATCTCCTGCAAAATGTAGGCGTATTCTGCTCACAGACATTTATTTCGAGAATAAATCTTTGCCCTAAATGGCCACCATATCCAACAATAAGTCTACTGTTTTGTAATGTGGTTCTATTCTGGTTCACATCTGTTATACACAAAAAGACTAATTAAACCTTTTCAATTTTTATATGCCCACATTTTCATGTGGACATATATTTAAATCACCCCTGTCTGTCCGTCCGTCCACAATTTGTTTGTGGACACTCTACAGGTCACAATTTTGATCCGATTTTGATGAAACTTGAAATATATTTTTATAAACCAAAGACTTTGGTTCCTTTCGATATTCGCGCATATCGGACTGTATCGTTCTGAATTATGGCCCTTGATTGTATGAAAAAATGCAATTTTAGCTTATGGTTCCTCTAGAGGTCACAATTATTACCCTATTTAAAAAAATGTAAGGTCAGTTGGGTTCGAATTTCGTGAAAATTGGACCAAGACTGCTGGACAAAATGGCCGCCCCTTGTATGCAAATAGTGTAATAATATTGGTATATCAAGGTTTTGAACCCTTTGGAGGTCACAATTTTGATCTGATTTTGATGAAACTTAAAATACATGGTTCTTTTCGATACTAAAATATATCAGATCGTAACTTCCTGAATCATGGCCCTTGATGGTACAAAGAATCACGTTTTTAGCTTGTAGTTCCTCTAAATTGTCGATTTAGGACTTAAAATGTCGGTCAACTAGCTTAGTGTCATGGAAGCTTAAAAAGAGTAGCACATAACCACTTTGCTTTTGGCAGTTATATACAAGGAACTTACAAACAACTGTTTATTTTCTAAAATAATTTGTGATATTTATCAATGTGAAATTTTGTTTCAGTTTAATATGGGAATATACAAGTGTATGCTGTGATTAAACCTAATTTCCCTTGTGAACTATCAGTTTCCTTCTAAAAGGAATCCATGTGTCTACATATGTTTTGAAGAGATCAAACTGGATGTTCCATTGGTTTGTTTAGAAAAATTGTGTAGAAAAAATAGACAATGTTGTTAAAGAAGACGTAAATAATAATTAACATTGACTAACGCTCTTACTGTCATTAACAATTCCTATGTTCTGTTGTTAGTTATAGAATTTGCCATTCTATGGCTGATATTGGTGCATTTATTGTTTCAACATTGTTTAGTAATATTTCATAGCTGTTCATATCAATTGACTGGAGATGTATTATTGATCTATACTGACGTCCAAAAGAAAGTATACACACTAAAAGTATGACTAAGTTTTGTTTAGATTAAAAACATTTGATAAAGCATTACTGAGTTTGTCTCTTGCGTCCAAACTCAACATTTGTAAGCAAAATAAAAATGTGAAACAAATTGACATTCTACCCAAATACCGTATACCATGGAAAAACGACTTTGGTTGATGCAGCACAAAATGCACAGTGTATACTTTCTTTTGGACGTTAGTATACATTATAATGTAATTGACATATTTCACTATATTAACAGCATTATGTTGGTATACATGTACTAGGCTTAGGCATTAAACTATTGTATAGTTTGAAATATGCTTTGATAACATTCTTTTATATCTTTGAAATGAAAGTTACTATCAGATATAAAATAATCCTATCACCCTACCAATATCAGATTTTAACTAAATAATACAATGCACACACACATACATGATTTAATATTTCTTTTACTGAATTCCCACTTTTAATGAGAATCTAATAATTATTTATTATACTTTGTTTCAAAAATATTAGTTTTGTCATTTGTGCAATGTTGTTGGGGGTGGGGTGGGGGTGGCTATGCTACTATGATAATCCTCCCCTGGCCCCCCATATCTATCCAGAACCTCCCATTAACTTGTATGCTTGCTTGAAAGAATGGAGTATGAAGTATCAACAAAAGGGACTGTTGAAGGAAATCTTTAGAAATAAAGTAGATTAGGTCATCTGCTTTCCCTATGCTTGTTACATTTATATATACAGTCAACTATAGACATATATATATATATATATACGACGTATATAGATCAGAAAATAAAGGGTTTATGATAATAGTCAAATTATTTTGTAACGTAGACATGAATATTGTTTATCAGATTTTAACCAATCATGATGATATTCAATCTGATTAAAATATATTTCGTTTCGTTTTTTTATACTTTCGATGGCCTACACTACATGAAGATCTGACTGGTTGTAGTGATAGGTCGCGTCAGAGGTCATATGAGCGACTTTTGACCCTATTACGTCGGACATTCGATTAACCAATCAGCATTGATGTTACTAGTGGATTACCCACAGTTCCTTGAAAAACACGCCTAATTCCTCACACCGTTCAGAACACGTCAATGATAATAACTCTTTCAGATCCTAGTGTAGTATTTAGTATAGACAAGTTAAACAAACTTTTGACCCTATTACGTCGGACATTTGATTAACCAATCAGCATTGATGTTACTAGTGGATTACCCACAGTTCCGTGCAAAACACACCTAAAGCTTGCCTTAACAGATTGTTTCATCGGCTAATTCCTCACACCATTCAGAACACGTCAATGATAACAACTCTTCCAGATCCTAGTGTAGCATTGACAAGTTAAACAAAATTTTGAACTATAAAAATGAAACGAAATAGGATCTGTGTTTTAATCAGATGGGATGATATTTTGTATCGGATATGAACTGAGACAAATTGATTTCTCTATTGTAATTGCAGCTATATTTATACTCAGTATGTTATTATAGTCAAGGATTATTTTACATGTTGCATAATTTCTTGATGCACAAACAAGTATTTTATTATATAACGGAAAATGTCTTTTGTTCTGAATGTCAACCATGTCCAAAGATAGATAAAAACAATTTGAAAACAAAAATAATTGTTATTGTATATATTTTTTTTTAAATAAAATTATTTACAAACATATCACTATATTTCTCCTGTTTTTTTTATACATGTCTATTTACGAAATAAATTGTATTGTTTGGTCGAACCAGTTCCTAGAATATATCACAGTGAGTAAGACCTCGGCTTGCTAACCAGGAGGGCCTAAGTTTGCTCCTGTTGTTAGCCTTAAACACTGTGTATAAATTTAAAGTCAATCAGATATTGACTTTAGCCTCTAGAGCGTCCACAAGCAATTTTGGACACCGTACGGAGGGACAGGGGTGACGAAAATATACAACCACATTTCAATCTGGGCGTATAAAAATTAAATTCCGAAATAATATTTGAAATTGTGTATGGAAAATTCCACCAGTATGATTCAACGTGGACGTAAACATAATCAAAGTACATGGGTTAGTAACATATTGTTAGTGTTTTAACACTAACAAAATACATGTAAAGCTTTATGTTAAATTCTGTTTGATATTTTCAAATAATCAATAAGTTTATTGGATAATATTAATTCCATTTGGCTCCGGTGTCTGGTTTAGGTTCGAATTCTCCTTTTAGGTACCATAATGTCTGGAACTAACCTTCCTTTCTGGTGTCGACGAGACGTTCTACCCCAGTCTATCTCACAGAGTAGCATGCAAAAGGGGGCAATGGCTCTTGACATCCATTTTAGGGGGCGTCCAATCAAATATTGAAATTACATTTTAATTTCAAAAGTGTGTTCAAAATTTGAAATTATGGTTAACTGTTGGACATAAAAATATCCTCCTTTCTCACATTTCTAATCTGAGTACCATGTCCTATACTTCAGTCTTGTTGGCATATAAAATCAAGGAGTTGGCCCGCAGGAGTGGAATGGAAGAGTCTGATGTCCACTCTCAACAATTAATGGGGGGGGGGAGGAATATAGATAGAAAGAGGATGAAAAGGAGAATGAAAGAGAGAGGGGGTGGGGGAGATATATAGATTTTTATTATTATTATAGCATATTAATAGTGGGTGCACATAAAGTACATAGAGTCGGTTAAGACGTGTTTAAATAAAATTAAGCTGTGTTAGATTATTCCATAACACATGGGCTTGAAAACGCGTTGAGCAGTTTTGTTAAAAGTAGTCTATCTGAGATGAATAAAGGGGTTTGGGTGGGGTGGGGGGAAAATCTAGAAAAATGAAGAGATAAAGGGAAGATAGATTGAGAGGAAAATAAAGGGAAGAGATAGAGGAGAGATAGAAAGAATAAAAGAGCCAGGAGAGTCTTATTTTTACATTTAAAAGGGTGGTAGGTGTGAGAGAGAGAGAGGAAAGATGGAGGATGAGATGAGACAGGGGAAGGAAGAGAGAGAGAAGATATTTCCGGAGTGACATATAGAGCAATTTACTACTTCAAGCGGTCTTTAACAGTGGAAGGAAGAGTCTAGTGTCCAATCACCACTTAACAGGGGTGGCGGTAGGAGATGAGAGAGAGATAGGTAATACAAAATATCATCCAATCTGATTAAAACACAGATACTATTTCGTTTCGTTTTTATAGTTCAAAATTTTGTTGAACTTGTCTATACTACACCAGGATCTGGAAGCATAGGCGTACGGGGAAATTTTTGACTGGGGGGGGGGGCGGTGGTGGTTGGTGCCCAAAAAATGTAGTTAGGTTCTTATTATGTTACAGGGGGGTTGGATGGCTGAATGTTTAGCGTGCGCGCGCTGTATCATAACGTCTGTCATTGAGTCGACTGGCGTGGTTTCGAATCCCCGGTTGTACGTGGCAAGGAGTAGGGTCGCCTGTCCAACCTCGTGGGTTTTCTCCGGGTCCTCCCACTGCTAAAGACCCCTACGCGCAAGTGATTTATGTAAATAAAATTAAACCATATGTTAGTCCCGAAATGACCGTGCCACATGAAATGTGTGGTAACCTGATATCACCGAAACGGCTAACCGAAAGTGGTCGCAATTTTGGCTACTCTGAGATATGATTAAAGTTATTATAATCTGCAAGTTTCATTGAAATCGGTTTAAAATTGTGGTCTGTAGCCGTGCCACATGAAATGTGTGGTAACCTGATATCACCGAAACCGCTAACCGGAAGTGGCCGAAATTTTGGCTACTCTGAGATATTATTAAAGTAATTATAATCTGCAAGTTTCATTGAAATGGGTTGCGAATCCCCGGTTGTACGTGACAAGGAGTAGGGTCGCCTGTCCAACCTCGTGGGTTTTCTCCGGGTCCCTCCCACTGCTAAAGACCCCTACGCCCAAGCAAATTATTGAAATAAAATTAAACCATATGTTAGTCCCAAATTGACCTAGTTTATGTCGATTGGACGTTAAACCCCATCTCTCTCTCTCTCTGATTGTAAAATTCAGTTTCTCTCCCTATAACAATAACCGTTTTGAAAAAGTCAAAGTGTTAAAATAAAAGAAAAACTATTTGTATTATGTGGATATATATATTTTTTAAAACTTTTATAAATATATGATACATTACATATTATGTAGCAGAAAATCAGCTCGATCTTGAAAGTAAAGGTTTTCAGTTAATAGGTAAAAAAATAGCATTTAATGGATATTATTTCCACTACACTGTGTGACAAAGTGCTTCATAACTTTAATAAAATTGAACGATCATTTAGGTGCATAGAACTTACTGATCTCAGCTGGTTTTGATAATAGATGATATTGGCTTTTCAAACTATACACTTTGTTCTAAACACCTCGAACTAATTAGAGACTATCAATTAATAGGTAAAGAAATAGCATTTAATGGATATTATTTCCACTACACTGTGTGACAAAGTGCTCTATAACTTTTATCAAATTGAACGATCATTTAGGTGCATAGAACTTACTGATCCCAGCTGGTTTTGATAATAGATGATATTGGCTTTTCAAACTATACACTTTGTTCTAAACACCTACACACTAATTAAAGACTATCAAATCCACATGTATATATTTATTATATCAGTCAGCAAAATTAAGATAACTTGTAAATGCCATAATATATAATAACGATCTCGAGTGTGTAGACCCAGTTGAAAGGTATATAACAACCAGTTCACTAACAGTTAGGGAGACGAGCAGAGAGGAGGAGAGAGGGAGATGAAAGATGAGCAGGGAGGAGAAGAGAGGGGCAGAGACCGGCGAAATGGGCTCATCTGCTTTCAACTGCTGCCGAGACAGAAGGGTGGAGAAGGGCAGAATGGTTAAAATATAGTCACATACTATATTAATGTACCATGTTGATGTTTAATTTATTTTCCAGGTGTAGTTTAATTCCTGTTGTATTGATGTAGCTGTTTTATATTCTGTTCCGATGTAAATAAATCTAATATTTACAAAGCTGATATCTGTTATCACTAGAATAGTGTTACAATTGTCTACCTACCCCGATCTCATCAGATAAAAATAATAATATAAAAAATACAGATCACTGCACAATTTGTTCACACATAATCATGCCAATTAAAACTGACAGCCGGTTTTTAAAAAAGAATATAACATTTTTAACCGTTGAACTTAAATTTGATAGAAGACACTGTCTAAATATCACCATAGTACATTTTCGAACACAAGATGCATATAAACTTCCCGAATCCTTTTGTTACTAGTTTTTTGTATAAAATTTATTTTTCCCCGCTATATAACAATACAAATATACAGTAAATTAAATTGTACTAAGACTTCTGATTAATTGGTTCATATCCTTCCTTTTCAATCTTTTCTTTATAACGTAAATAATCCTTTCTTCTTTCAAAGTACTTTACCTGAAAAATAATTTGGACATGGATTTAAATAGCAGTGATGGATCTAGAGAGGGAGAGAAAGAGAAATGGGATATAACGTCCACTCAACACAAACTAGGTCATTTTGGGACTAACATAGGGTTCAATTGTATTTCAATAATTTGTTTGCGCGTAAGGGTCTTTAGCAGTGGGAGGAAATGGAGGAACCAGAGAAAATCCATGATCATTTTACTATGAGCAGTGAAAGGTGACGTTGCAAGTTAAATCGCTTTGAGAGACTCGCGGACAGCAAGTTCCCAGACTGGCTCATTGAGGAAAGCAGTGGCTCACTTACTAGGAAGTCCAGGGTTCTATCCCTGTGATGGCAGAAAAAGTTCCCCAGGAATTTTCAACATGGCTTCCCCTTTTCAGTGATGCAGGATGGAGATCCTGACATGGAAAGCGTCTAGACATTCAAATGGGATGAAAATTCAAGCTGGTGTGCACGTAAAAGAACCCTTGACAGTTAGAACTTCGAAATAAGGGTAGGCCGTAACCTTGTTGTCCAGTTAATTTCTCTCATAGCACACTACATGTATATATTATCTTGCCCATCTTAATGAATAAATTGAAGCTTTAACTTTAGCCTCTAGAGCGCCAACAAGATATTTCAAAGAGGTCAAGGGCCATAACTAGGCTTCTACGTCTCATGACCTTAAACGCTGTATATAAATTAAGAGTCAATTGGATATTAAATTTAGCCTCTAGAGTATCCACAAGATGTTTCAAAGTGATCAAGGGTCATAACTCTGTCAGTAATTATTGGAAATTGGTGAAAATCAATAGGCTTTTTTGCCCCATGACCTTAAAAACTGTATATAAATTTAAAGTCAATCGGATATTAACTTTAGCCTCTAGAGCGACCACAAGCAATTGTGTACCCTGGACGGATGGACGGGGGTGACGACAATATACAACCACATTTCACTGTGGGGGCATAAAAATCATTATTTAATCTGAGTAGAATTCGTCTACATTTGAAACTCTTCTACTAAGTGCATGTGCATATTATTGTACCTCGATCCCTTTCCGTAGGTGCACATGTATCCCTTTCCATAGGTGCACATGTATCCCTTTCCATAGGTGCACATGTATCTCTTTCCATAGGTGCACATGTATCCCTTCCCATAGGTGTACATGTAGGTGCACATGTATCCCTTTCTGTAGGTGCACATGTATCCCTTTTTTTTCTTAGGATTTGAAGTCTTAAACATATGAACTTATGTATGTTTTTTGGGGGGAAATTATTTTCATACCCAAGCTTTAGTACACTTTGCCTCAAATCCTTCTCGCACTTTTAAACATTTTGTTTTATCTCCTCCATTATCATCAATACATTGCCAATATTTATCTTTTTCTTTCCAACAAGCCTCTCTTTCTTCTTTAGTTGGTGCTGCCATTCTGTAAAACATTTATAACAGGTTTTTATTAAGTTTATTAATTACATAATAAATTTGGTCTCAACACTTTATTACATATTTTATATCAGTTAATTGTTCACTCTTGGAAAGCATTAACTACAGCACTTCTACATCCATTTCTTCTTTTGGTCGTCTTGATCATGCCAGCCTATATTGTCTCATCTTCGACTACCATGTATAGTCTCGAATGATCAATAAATCTTTTACCAATTTTCTGTTATTATCTATTTCTCAGACACTAATATTTTCCTGATCATTACAATTTGATCTTCGTTGTATAATACAATTGGCATAAGGGGAAAACCCCAAGATGTCTTAATGATAGTTGATGACTTTATCTCTATAAAGAGGTATCAGTAGCGCCTTTGAGATTTTCACTCACTGGTATAAGAAATAATTCTTCATTAGATTATATATAGACTGTAATTTGATTGTGTCATTCGAATATGATTGCATAATAATTATTTTTAGCTTAGGTCAAATTAGGTATCTCTCTGATTTTGAACATCCAATCCAGTAAATAGGTCGATTTCATTGCATGCCATCGTGCATCACTTAAAAGCAAATATTTTTTTTACAACAGAGGAAAATCTCCAAAGTACTTGTGATACTTCATGTTTTACTTACTGACACTCTTTTATTACTAGATGATAGTATAGATCTACTTATTTTGAATTTATTAGCATTACATAAAAATAAAATGCCTTTTTTTGTTTGCTACTTTCTTTGAGTTGAGTCTATAGAATCTTCGCAAATATCAAAAAAACAACCAAAAAAAAAAAATTAAATGCCAGCTTCTGTCTAAAAGATTACTTGACAATTTAGTTGGCGTGTGTCATGTTTTGTTATGTTTAGGTGTAATCGTTTCACAAAGCATGCCAAAAAATATCACAAGGACATTCAACACTTGTTGTCAGACAGGAAGTGACCAAGCAACTCCTTTCAATAAACACACGCATATGCAAAATAGTTCTCTCTCAATACGGTGGGTGAACTACAGTGTATCAAGAAGAGAATATATAATTTTGAAATATTATTTTATATGGCAGTTTTTTTGTTGAATAGAAAGTTTAAGAAATTTCAGACGCATAATTATATTTTTTATGGTATTTTACAGACGGCGCTACAAACCGGACACGCACTGAGTCCCACTAATCGACGTATGAATCTTCATTTTGCTCACTCGAGATATGACAAAATTTATATTTATTCCAAATTAATAACAGATATGGGATTATATGTCTAAAGCTATAACAAATTCACTTGATTATAACTGTCTAAATTAGATCTTAGGCAAATATACACGCCAAATATCATCTAAAGATAGTCCAGCTAAACAGGCTTTTTTTTCTAGCAGACGAAATTTCATGCGGAAATGGAATATAGCTGAACATGCGCAATACAATGTTGAATAATGGTGGTTGACTAACAACATGGGAGATCTTATTTAACCTTTGACTGTTCGCGATTTGGCCCCTTAATCTTTAAAATAATCATGAAATAATATGAAATTGTTTTAATCAAAATCTTCAACAAGTATTTCGGCATGGAAGGAAGTGGTATAAGTATTGATAAAATCGGCAATTCGTGTGGAGACTGTCTAGATTCGACATCTGCTCCTCTTCTGAAAACAGAAATAGTCAAAGCAGGGTCAGGGACTGGGTGCCTTTCACCTAATATTGTTAAAGATACAAGTATTATTGATGTTAGCAATCAAATTAAAAATAATGGAAAAAGAGTGAATGGGCTGGTAATACCAGTTCTAAAATCTCAAGATGAGTATGAACACACAGAGAGTGCGGATTCCGGTCATGGGAGTAGCTGTCAAGACTGTGAATGTGGCTCCGGTGAAACTGAAGTGACTATTTTATCAGAGGGTTTAGGGGCAGTTAGTTTAGATAATCAGTTATCAGAATCAGAGACAGAAATTCTTAGATCTCCATTAGACGTTATAGACGGTATCAATTATGTTGTGTACGAATCAGAACATCAAATGCCAGAAATTATGAGACTCATAACCAAAGATTTATCAGAACCTTATTCTATTTATACATATAGATATTTCATTCATAACTGGCCAAGATTATGTTTTTTGGTAAGATTCAAAGAAGTTTTAGACTGTGCCAATTTAGTGCATAGAGTGTAAGGGAGCAGGTTGTCTCATCCCACTACCGGTTCATCTTGGACTGTTTCATCCCAAATTTACACTATAGTCCATGATGTATTTTTGCGAGTGATTAAGCTGTCAATATGTAATTATAAAATACCTTTTTATAAAGAAGATAAATGATGTTAGACATCATAAACTAAAAGCAATACGAGTATATTTTATTACAAAAACATCGTTGAACTGATCTAAAATCATAACGGCAATAAACTAACAATTCAAATATACTATACTACAAAAACATCAAGGAACTAACCAAAAATCTAAAATCATAACCCCAATTAACAAGCAATACAAATATACAGCGGTGAACTAATCTTAGTCTTGACCGGTAATTAACCAAAAACGACGAGGAAAACTTATTTATTCCATACATTATTGTTTATTTAACAATAAGTAAGTGTTAAACAGTTTATTTAACAATAAGTACCACTCAGTTAATTGACTGCTATTATAATAACAAGGGGGATGAAACAGCTCGGGATGAAACGGCCCGAGTTGAAACGGTTGTGGGAGGAACTGACCCGCATCCGAGTTGGAACACATAGATAGAGTTGAATTATTAAGGCAGGGGATTTACACAGATGTTATCTGTATCCCAGATTGTTATTCAGACCTTATCTGAAAATCATTTTTTATATTGTTCATGTCTATAGAGGGTATTTAAAGATCATATGTTTCATCAAGATCAATTGGGTCATCTGGTTCTCTCTCCAGTATTTTTTTTTCTTATCAAAAAGTGAAATTATCTAGATGGAAAGTAAATAAATCCCATCAACTGCCATTTTGGTGAAAGTTCAGAACTTGTTAGCAGTGAAGTGTTAGCCTAAACAGATATATGTACTTAGATAATGTGGTGAAGTTTTCAACTGTCGCTATGCTATCCTTTACATGCGTTACAGCTATTTTATGTTTTAAATGATGTTTCAGCAGCAAATGTTACTTTCCCAGTCATTTGGTTGTTTTGTTTTTTGTAACCAATCAATGCTGATTGCGATGTATGTCAGTAGGACATCCAACTTATTTTGAAGAGGATAATATCTTTACAAATAAGCGAACAGACCGGATTTTCAGACGAGTGTCTGTTAAAAAGATTTTAAAAACTCATATCAATGGTAACAATATGAGCCAGTGTTTAGACTAGAAGTAATACTTAAAAAGGGCAAAATGTTACCCTCCACTAAATGAATGAACTAAAGCAGATTCCAGATATGATTTTAAAGTGAAGGTCTTTGCTACGGTTGATCCCAAAGGTGGCAGAGCTCCAAATTTGACATAGATTAATGGTTATTGACTGAAGAGAGCTTGTGGTCGCAGCTGCACTACACAGATGAATTCAGCTCTCAAATAATTAATAACTATACTATTTTCTCCACCATCTACATGTAATAGATTCATATGTCTGAAATCACACACTGCTTGCTGTCAGACGTGGATTTGATAAATTAAACACTATTCTGCAATATCACCTTAGTTGGCTTTGGATTTAAACTGCTATGAGAATTATTGTAGTTAAGATTTGTATTACATTTTAAACCTTTTTTTTTTAACATTAAACTGTATGTTCTTTTTTTTTTAGGCTAAAGATGTAGATAAGTGTGTGGGAGCCATTGTGTGCAAATTAGATATGCATAAAAAGATGGTACGAAGAGGGTATATAGCTATGCTTGCTATTGATTCAGATTTCAGAAGAAGAAAAATTGGTAAAGATATATGAATTGTTCTTGCTGATGCTGTGCAGATCAGCATCTGCTGATCAAAAGCTCTGACATTTTCATGTGTGATTAAAGGTCAAAGGTTTTCATTATTAAGCTTCCACTTCACACGAACCTGGTTGTTGCCTTAATTACTAACATGTGTATGGTATATTATTTATTTCATTGATTGTTTGGGAACCTAAACTAGAGTATTGAGAGAAAGCCTACACGGTAATTAGGTAGGGGACCCTGGTCCTTGTCTTGTACAAACCAGGAATCAAACCATAGATAATATGCTTTATGATCTACAGGCAAGGAATAATTTGTGGTCATACTGAGGTGATAATGGAGAAAATTAATGATGGTATTGATCTTTCGTTTCTTCCGTTTAGTTTTTATTGATCTACTAGCGGATGACCCGGTGCAGTGTGGGTTGAAAGTAGTATGACTCCGAAACAGGAAGTTCCGCGCCACCTGGTCCATGTTACCCCCCGGCCCGAGCTGCCCCTATAAACCAAATTTCAGCCTCGGGACAGCCCTTGTGTAGCAGCTAATGACTGTCAGAAATATTAGTATAGATTATTTGTCCTTGAATTTGATTATTTCCTTTATATGACTATGAGCATAATACAGTTTAACCATAATACTTATTCTCAACTTAATGGGTTTTTTTTGAAAGAAATTTCACATGTACGTGTGGTTGTCTAGGGTAGGTTGGTATTGCCTTATGGTATGTAGTCTAAATCATTGTGCTTTCAATCATACATGCCGATCTGTCATACATGTATGAACAAGAGTTTGAATCAACAATTGTATGTGACAAAAAGTGAAGTCTATAATGACTGAAAATTTTAATGTTAGCATTTGATAAGCATGGATTTCCTGGAAGTATTGCCATATTTTATACAAAACAATTAAGTGGTTATATATACTATTCAAAAAAAGTAGGGGATATTTGATTTTGGGGGCATAATACTAAAATATGCAAATGACTACGAAAAAAGTCACTATAGAACCTAACAGAAGAAACATTTCCAGTTACATGTGACGCCCAAACGCACCAATAGCTACCGCATGGAATGCAGGTGATGCTTGGGATCATCATGGGGGTCCAACCCAAGATTTGCACGACTATGACTTTGAATGTTACAGTCATTGTGGCATTGAATTCCAGGGTGGAAACATCAGTTTAATTGTTTTAGTGACCAGAAAACAAATTTTGATATGCGTCGGCTTACCCAAAATGAAAGGTTACGTGCCCTTGGCATGCTACAAATCGGCACAACACAGGCGGTTGTGGCGCGGACGATGAATGTTTCTCAGTCTGTCATAAGCAGGCTATGGTCCAGATACCGTGATACACAATCTGTACAGGACAGACCACGCTCAGGTCGACCAAGGGCGACAACTCAAGCCCAGGATCGATTTATCCGTACCTTGGCCTTGAGAAATCGTGTCATCACAGCAAATCAGATCAGCGCTCGTCTTCAAACAGACACTGGTGTGAGAGTGAGTGGCCAGACGATTCGGAATCGACTGCATAGGGGTCACCTTCGCGCCCGACGTCCTCGCGTGATCCCTTGTTTGAGAGATCATCACATTCAGGCAAGACGTCGTTGGTGTAGGGATCGTCAACACTGGGATAATCGACGCTGGAGCAATGTGATGTTTTCAGATGAGTCAAGGTTCACTGTTGATTTTTTGGACAGACGTAGGAGGGTGTGGCGTCGCCGAAACGAGCGCTTCCAAGACGTTAACGTCATCAGACATGATTGATTTGGGGGTGGTTCTGTTATGGTGTGGGGAGGCATCACTGTTGCTGGAAGAACGGCTTTACATGTTGTTGCAGGGCGTGTGACAGGCCAGTACTACCGGGACAACATCTTGGCAGTCCATGTTGTGCCGTTCGCACGACGTCATGGCCGCCGTTTCATCTTCCAGGATGACAACGCAAGATGTCACAGGGCCAGGATCGTTACAGGTTACCTCCAACAACAGAACATCACCACATTACCTTGGCCAGCACTGAGTCCCGACCTCTCCCCCATCGAGCATGTCTGGGACATGCTTGGACAGAGGTTACGTCAACGTCAACAACGTCCTGCCAATGTCCAAGAACTTGCTGCTGCGTTGCAACAGGAATGGGACAATCTGGACCAAAATGACCTTAGACGTCTCATTAGGAGTATGCCACGTCGGATCAATGCTTGTTTGGCAAACAGAGGAGGATTTACTTGTTACTGACTTGGTTGTGATGCTGTGGTAACTTTGCTGTTTGACCCCGGGTATCATTTTACCCTTATAATGGTCAGTCTGTGCCTTACTTAGTCTAACGATCATTTGGAATAAATCGATGAATGTGAACTTCATTTCATTTTGTCATTTGTTTCTTCGTCAGTTTCATTAGATGACTTTAATAACACTTAAAAATCAAATATCCCCTACTTTTTTTGAATAGTATATGAGTTGTTCCAAGTATATTTTCTTCCACCAAAGTTCAGCATGAAATGAAATGAAATGGGGTTTAACGTCCTACTGTTCTGTTCCTAACCTGGGCTAATGAAGACGGGCATACGTCATACAGTGTGCTATGAGGGAAATTTTGCCCGGGCAGCGGCGCTACAGTTCAGCATGAACTTAAAGGGACAATAACACTCTTGCTGGCTTGACAGCTCCAGAAAAAAAATAATATCCTTATTCTAAGTATTAGATGTTTAAGTATCCTAACTGTCGTGTAAATTATCCATTAAATCCTATTTTACTTGTCCAGAGGGTTCGAAAATATTTTAAAATCCAAGTCATATTTGAAAAGCTTTACGTTGGGCTTTTCAAATCATTTAGTTGAATTTTTCCAATTTTTTAAATTAGGTGTGTTAAGATGAAATTTGTATCATCAATTAATTGGAATATTGTAAAATAGTACAATTTGTTGACCAGAATAAAGATTGGGACATATTATTCAGTTACAACAAGAGTGGTATTGAGCCTTTAAATGTCATATCCCTGCTAAATATCATTTGTTGATGTACGTACGTGTATACTGATTTTGGAATGTTCTTTTTACAGGGTCTAATTTAGTAACGAAGGCAATCCGAGCTATGATGGCTGATGACTGTGATGAGGTAACTATTTAAATAGTCTCTGTTTTATTTTGGTGCAAGATATAGTCATTGATTTAATATATGAGTAAATATTTCATAACAGCAAAAACAAGATCATACACATGTACTCCATCAGTTTCAATTGGAATTGGATAATGAATATTATAATATTAGTTTGAAAAACCTTGAAAATCTTTTGTAAGATTTTTAACAGAATCCAACCATGTTCTTCTTTTATAGTTTCTTTCTTTTTTGCTTTTAGGTTGTCCTGGAGACAGAGATTACGAATAAGGCAGCATTGAAACTTTATGAAAACCTGGGTTTTGTGCGAGATAAGCGACTCTTTCGATATTATTTAAATGGAGTTGATGCTTTGCGACTAAAGCTATGGCTTCGATGAATTTTAAAAATGAACTTCCAATATATATTTTGATCAAATAGAATTTTAAAATGGAAGGATTTGTAAATTATTTGTGAATTTTATGTGCATCTTACAATAAAATTGACCATAATTGGTGTGATAATTGTTTGTATAGATGTGTGTGACAAAAAGTAGTTCCACCATGACCTATCCTATATGTTGAACTTAAACGGGGGTTTGTTAATTAAAACTAAATACATGTTTGTTTTTTTAATTAATGTCATGTGTTGTCTATTAAGAATGGTATACAGTAAACTTTGCATAAGTTGGATACATATATGTCGGATCTTCGCTCAACTCGGATAAAATCGTTTGGACCCTTTGATCCTGTACGTTTTTCTTATTAAATTTCTGTGCGTAAGTCGGATTTCCTAAGTCGGATCTTTGCTCAACTCGATCAAAATGTTTGGTCCATTTGATCTAATTCCAGCTTTTAATTTTTCCTTCACCTAAGTCAGATCGGCAGTATGTTCAGAATTTGACTAAGTCAGTTTCGTACCAATGGTCTAAAACTTGATTTGGTATTCCATGCACAGAGCCCCAAAATACTTTCCTCTATCATTTTGACCCAAATCAGCCTATTTGACGCGACGCAATAATAGAATTTTCCAGGAAAATTCGAAACTCACTGTCTGCTGTACGAGACACTTTCGGGAAAAATTTAGGACTTTTTTCAAAGTTGGTGACAAAATGGAAGTTATCTACTCGCACGTACAAAGAAAAGCTTGAAATGTGCCTTTGAATCAATTGTTATCCGGCTCTTGCAGTTTATTTCTAATCGAGCTAAGACTGATTTTCGCTTAACTTGGATAAAATTGGTCAGTTCACAGATCCAACGTATGCAAAGTTTACTGTTTTTATCAATTCATTTAAAGATTGAAAATTTACCTGTACTTGTATGATGTTTATTAATGAAATGGGGTTTAATATCATACTTTATTAATGAAGATGAGCCTACGCCATGCTGTGTGCTATGAAGGGATTTTGCCATGACAGCAGTAATCGCCTTCTCCTAACCGAATTCCAACAGTACAAAGGACATAGGGTTTCCATTTATCGATATCCAGCTATCAAGAGCTCTTTTTCATGCAAACTGAGGATCAAACATGGGACCTCCTGGTTAGTGAGTAGGCACCATATTCGCTGAACCACCGTGCCCCTATGGAAAAGGTGTATTTATACCCATTTCCTTGCTGGTATTCTCTTGAACATGGTCCACTATGAACATCTAATTTGAAACATTTTACTATACAAATCTTTGTCAGACAAAATGATAGGTACCAGATGGATTGTGCTTACAAAGCCTGAAATTGTGACTGAAGATGTCTTGACAGTAGAATCATTGTTGAAATGCTGCTCACTATTATATTCAGCTTCTGTGGGTTGGATGGCCAAATGGTTAGCGCGTGCCCTTTGTATCATAAGGTCTGCCATTGAGTCAACTGGCATGTTTTGGATTCCCCAATTGTACGTGACAAGGAGTAGGGTCACCTGTCCAGTCTCGTGGGTTTTCTCTTGGTCCTCTGGTTTCCTCCCACTGCTAATGACCCCCCTATGCGTAAGCGAATTATTGAAATAAAATTGAAACATGTCAGTCCCAAAATGACCTAGTTTGTATCGAGTAGACGTTAAACCCCATTTCTCTCTCTCTCTCTATTCAGCTTCTGCAGTTATCCGCTGGTGTGACCACGAAGACTAGACCAGCTCAGTAAGAATTGGAATATAGTGAATTATCCGAGACTTGGCTGGATTTTTGAAATTAGTAATTTTGCCCCTCTATTCCCCATTTACATCTACAGACTACAAGTCAATTAGCTACTATAAAAGGAATAAGGCAAGCACCATACTCAGGACATTTTGCTCTATAAAATTCGACCAGGCAGAGGCACTCTCAGAATTGACATAGGATATTGACGTTGTCTTATTCATGCTTTCAGGCACAAAATTTGCCAGTACCTTGATAGTTTAAAGTGGGTTTCCTCCAATGACATGGATCAAAACAGCATTTCTGGTGTTTGATTCCGCTGATTTTATCTGAATACAAATGAAAGTTTGGCAGATCTACCCCACCCACTAGCAGCAAAGTCGCCTGTCCTAGATCTAAAATCAGTGTCAACAAATCCTGCAAGTCTTTAAAAATTCTGTTGAGAACTTGCACCACTTTCACTAAGCTTTAAAAGTAAAAATGAGAAGGCAAAAATAACTAAGCCATAATCTGAAATTCGACAGGGCTTTTCTACATGGCCTAATGAACACTCAGACCAATTTTTAAGAGAAGAACTATTGTACTGTGTTCATGAGAGTTTATAAACAGGGAGTTTATTGGAAATTTATGATCAAAAGTTCTTCCTTATATTATATCTGCATCAACAATTCCAAAATTTAAGATTTCTGTCCTGTTTCGCATTTACAAGCGAATCAATATACCATCATATTAAATGTGGGTATATCAAAATCTGAACATAAATGGATAAATTATAAGGATTATCTACTACAGACTCAATTCAAAATCTTGAGAAAATGGGGCTAAATTTTTTCTAAAAATTCTTCTCGAGTAAAGATGTGATTAACACAGAGCTGTATGTAGGAGCCTCTGTAGTTTACAAATGGGCTAATGGAGACATATGCCATGCCATTCTGATTAAAACACAGATCCTATTTCGTTTCGTTTTTTTATAGTGCTGAATTTCGCTTTACTTGTCTTTACTATACTAGGATCTGGAAGAAATATAGATCTGTATTTTAATCAGATTGCTACCATACAGGGTACTATGAGGGGAATTTTGCCCAGACAGTGGCATTAAAGCCTACTCTTGTATCGAATTCCAATTGCCAAGCGATCTTTAATGTGCATGCAATGTGTACATGGCACCTTGTTTTTGTCCCGTCCGAATGACTATACATTGTCCCTTTGTCCTGTACTACTGACAAAGAAGAAAACCCTCCAGAAAATCCCGATGGACATTCTTGGCCAACACAGGGATGGGACCTCAGAATGTCTTACTCACTGATGCACTGTGGCTTCCCCTGTAACTTACATAAAACACACAGTTATCATACACAGATTGTAATTGGTCATTTTATTAACAATTATGTGATAAATTATTTAAAGAATTCATAATTCAACATTAAATAATGCATATGTTGGTTTCCATAGCTCTAGCTCAAATTACCTCCACTTCAACAAGAGAGGAGTCATTGAGACTATGGGTGTGTAAATGTATATACATGACTCTTAAATTTGGATTCATTATTAAATATTTCTTTAATTTCTTAATAATAGAATAAAAAGAAAAAAAAAATCTTGTATACATTAACAAATTTAAGTAAATTGTAAAAAAACAAAAGGCACACATCAAAATAATGTACATTAATTGTAGAAAAAAAAAGTTATTTGCATTATCAACTTTACATCCCAAAACAAAAAAATAATTTACTAAGATTCTGTTTCTGTGAAAATTGAAATTCTACATAGTTATTTATTATAAAGCCATAAAAGAAAATCAATCTTGAATATTGTCTGTGGTCCACAATTTGTAACGAATACAATATTAGCTCAACTGTGTACTTCTAACCAGAAAGTCTTGGGTTTGATACTCAGAAAGTACCCTTGAATTTTCCAGTGTGGTTATCCCCTTGTCAGTGGTGCAGAACGAAGCCCTGGCAAGGAACAGTGTTGAATGGGACAAAAACCAAAACAATGTCCTCCGTCCAAGTAGAGCATAAAACCCTTTATGCAAATGTTCTCTTTTTTTTCAGAGTGGACATAAATTTCATGACATGATTAGAGGAAAAATGGAATTGAGAACCTTAAAGGTTAGTCTATTCGTTGAGGTTTAACGTCTACTTCCACCAAGGGTGATATTGCAGATAAGTGTTTCCAGGGAAACTTGAAAGAGGAGCCAAATGAGAGGTTCGTCTTGAAACCTTAAAGGAGATGGCCAACATGTTTCTATGATTTTAAAATAGATTAGACTACAATGACGGCTATGTATATCAACATCTAACTCTTATACCTAGACACTTTCATTTAAACATACATTATGCAAGAGCTAAATCTGCCAACTGCAGGCCTTTTGTAGGCCTGAAATGTTGTCTAAATTATTAATTAGACATTAATTAACATATCTAGACCATAATCAACTCTCGTTGTCATCGCTAGCCTGCAATATATACTGGATTAGAACCCAGTCTGCTGCTTCTGATTAAATAAAAAAATGGATAATCAAGACTATGTTTTTTTATCATATCTACTTGAGTAATGATGATGTGGCTAGGCCCCAAATTCAATGCTAAATACTCGGTTCAGGGTGGATCAATTCGGGTGAAATGTTCAGCAAATTCCCTTCACATTATCTAGTTTTTAACTATTATAGTGAGAACTATCAGCTCTTTATCTAATCTCCCATAATGTATCTTTAAATATAACTGTAAAAAAAACATTATGTTTTTGATTCTTATACCCAGACACTTTCATTTAAATATAACAGTAAAATAAACATTATGTTTCTGACCTCAATTGTCTTATGACTGGAAGAGTAGAAAACCGAGTAAAAACAAGTTACATCAATTTCAACACACCAAATAAACAAATTTGACCAATTTGCTAAAACATCACCAATTTTCAATGTGGGGACGGATTGTTGAAAGATTAGATAGTATTGATGATGTTAATTAAACAGATTTGATAGTATTGATGATGTTAATAAAGCAGATCTTGTTAATAGTAGACCTTCAATGGTGGGCAGCTGGAAACAATGTCTATATCTATCATTATCTATCTTTTGTTAGAATCTGACGGACCATCTCCTTTAACCTACTATGATGAAAGGAGGTTGGGTGGATGAATGGTCTAAGACTTGCTCTTTACAACCTAAGGTCTATTAATTAATCAAGTGGCATGATTTCGATTCTCAGCTTGCACGTGACAAGGTATAGGCTCGCCTGTCCAACCTTCCAGGTTTTCTCAGGTCCTCTGGTTTCCTCCCACTGTTAAAGACCCAACCACCCCAGCGAATTATTGAAATTAATTTGAACTGTATGTTAGTCCCCATCAGATGATAATTACTGCTGCTAAATAGATTGAAAAAAATAACCTTTAGTGTTCACAAGAGTTGTCGTATATTTGTTCTTTTGTAGGTAATTAGGGGGCATTTAATAGACAATTTCATACAGATGACATTATAATTTTCGTCGTTTGAGGGTTCACAAGGTTCTAAAAACTAAAACAAGGGCTGTAACTCTGGAAGTAATCTACAGAAATTGTTGAAATTCGACAGACTTTTTCGTTTTACTAATTCAAATAATACATATCAATTTCATACAGATCGGATGATAAATTTTGTCGTTCGAACATTCACAAGGTTCAACAAAGTAAAACAAGGGCCATAACTCTAGAAGTAATTGACAGAAATTACAGACATTCAATAGGCTTCTTCATTTCACTAATTTAAATGATGCATATGAATTTCATACAGATCGGATGATAACTATTGTAATAAGAGCGTTCAAAAGATTCAACAAAGTGAAACAAGGGCCATAACTCAAGATGTAATTAACGGAAATTGCTGAAATTCAATAAGCTTCTTTGTTTTACTAATCTAAATGGTGCATATAAATTTAATACAGATAGGATAATAACTTTTGTCGTTAGAGCATTAACAAGGTACAACAAAGTGAAACAAGGGCCATAACTCACGCCGTAATTAAAGGAAATTGCTGAAATTCAATACGATTCTTCGTTTCACTAATTTAAATGATGCATATCAATTTCAAACAGATCGGATGATAACTATTGTCATTAGAGCGTTCACAAGATTCAACAAAGTGAAACAAGGGCCATAACTCTAGATGTAATTAACGGAAATTGCTGAAATTCAATAGGTTTCTTTGTGTTACTAATTTAAATGATGCATATAAATTTCATACAGATCGGTTGATAACTTTTGTTGTTAGAGCGTTCACAAGAAGCAACATAGTGAAACAAGGGCCATAACTCTAGATGTAATTAACAGAAATTGCTGAAATTCAATAAGCTTCTTTGTTTTACTAATCTAAATGATGCATATAAATTTCATGCGGTTCGGATATTAACTTTTGTCGTTAGAGCATTCACAAGGTACAACGAAGTGAAACAAGGGCCATAACTCACGGCGTAATTAATGGAAATTGCTCAAATTCAATAGGCTTTTTCTTTTCACTAATTTAAATGATGCATATCAATTTCAAACAGATCGGTTGATAACTTTTGTTGTTAGAGCGTTCACAAGGAGCAACAAAGTGAAACAAGGGCCATAACTCTAGATGTAATTAACGGAAATTGCTGAAATTCAATAGGCTTCTTTGTTTTACTAATTTAAATGATGCAAGTAAATTTCATACAGACCGGTTCATAACTTTTGTCGTTAGAGTGTTCACAAGGTGCAACAAAGTGAAACAAGGGCCATAACTCCAGACAAAATTAACGGAAGTTGTTGAAATTAAATAGGCTTCTTCATCTCACTAATGCAAACAACATATATCAATTTCAAAACAATCAGATGATAAATGTAGTCTGTAGAGTGTTCACGGCGACGGCAATATACGACCACATTTCCATGTGGGCGTATAAAAATGATATAGGACTATTTTCACATGCGGCGAGTAGCGTTTCTGCCATTTGTATTTCAATTCCAACTTAAAAGCAATCTTTTATGTGCTGTACACAAAAACTCTGGGGTTTCTTTGGTTCCCTTTTAAATGATTTGTATTCAACTCCAACTTTAAAGCAATCTTTTATGTGCTGTACACAAAAACTCTGGGGTTTCTTTGGTTCCCTTCTAAATGATTACACACTTTTTGGTCCGTCTTACAACAGGTACCTCCGACAAGTAGGAACTGGGCTTACAACTAGAAACGTTTCATTGACTAATTAATTACTGCGCGTACATATAAAAACTGTCAAAAAATCAATAAAGTTCAGTAACATTTTTACATAAAATCTTTCTATTTTTTGTCCCGTTCAATTTTTTTTTAGGCAGACACACTTCCCTTGTTCGCCATCAAGTACGAGCCAGATTAATATTTACAACTGGAAATTCTTCCACTGATTATTGAGTTGTAAAATATAACCACCTAAATTACCATATTCCTTAAATAATAGATAATCTTGTACAGTTCGTGGTAATAAAAACGATTGTATTCTTGACTCTGTATATTTTCCTTTCGATCCTAAATCTTTTACTATTTTTCTTCTGCACATATGACTCAATCGATGTGTGGACTCTGAAACGAAATAAAATAAAATCATTTTGAAATAAAAAAAAATCTTCATTAACCATGCATTATGCAGGAGCTAAATCTGCCTATTGCAGGTCTTTCTTTAGGCCTGAAATGTTTTCTAAAGTATTAATTAGACATTAATTAACTGGTCAAGGCCTTAATCAACTCTCAATGGCATCAGATTTCTCCGATATTAAATAGATTAGAATGGTTCAGCGATACTTTGATTAAATCAAAAATGGAGGACTGAGACTTGGCTTCGATCAACCAGTACGGTGGTTGAAATTATTACACACGTCTGTCAAACCTTCAAAGGTTAATATTTCGCTTGCAATAGAGTAATTTGAATGAAATTTTCAGTTTTATTCATTTTACATCATCTACTTTCGAACTATTATAGCAAGAATGGCTAGTTCTTTATCTAAATCTTAAATAATATATCTTTAATATAAATCAAATCTACATTCATTATGCTTTAATAAATACAAATTTGCTACAAGCGGTAAAACTGAACCTATTATGGATTTAACCATCACTCGACACAAATCAGGTCATTTCAAGACTAACATATGGTTCAATTTTATTTCAATAATTTGCTTGCGCGTAGGGGTCTTTAGCAATCTGATTCAAACACAGATCCAATTTCGTTCCGTTTTTATAGTTCAAAATTTCGATTTTACTTGTCTTTACTACACTTGCATCTGGAAGCGTTGTTATTTAACTCTTGTTCTGCTTGAAATGAGGGGTCAGCCAATCAAATGGTCTGTTCAATCGAGCGATTGAAATTTTTTGGCCGGAACTGTGGGTAGACATTAGCGGCAATAGAAATCAAAACAAAGCAAAAGTAGATAAAAAATACATGGCGGTTGATAATTGGTTAATCGAGTGACTGACGTAATCGGGTCAAATGTCGCTTGCTTGGTACCTGACGTCATAGAACGTGAACTCCCACTATAACTTGTAAGATCTACATGTAGTGTAGGCGATCGAAAGTATAAAAAACGAAACGAAATATAGATCTATATTTTAATTAGATTGGGGTCTTTAGCAGTGGGAGGAAACCAGAGGACCCGGAGAAAACCCACAAGGTTGGACAGACGACCTTACTCCTTGTCATATTCAACCGGGGAATCGAAACCACGCAAGTTGACTCAATGACAGACCTTATGATACAGCGCGCACATGCTAACCATTCGGCCATCCAAGCCAAACAACAACAAAACAAACACAATGGTAATGGCAATTGGCATTGTTTAACTCATGTACATTGGACATTTTAAGGCTGATGGGCGTATCAGTAGGATCTGCATATTTTGCAAGTAAAGTAATTTTGTTGTAATTTGCCTGAAAAGTATGAATCTTTTGGAATGCACAAATCTGAAAGCTAAATCTTACAGTTGTTTTTTTCAATGCCAGCTGAACAATGACTAGCGAAAATTGGAGATATTAAGCATGGCTGAAAGCAAAGCGATTTCTAGAATATCAATCTGATCAAAATAGTTTGTTGTGTTTTTTTATACTTTCAATGGCCTCCACTACATTAAGATCTGAATAACTATAGTGGGAGATCGTGTCAGGGTTCATATGAGCATCTTTTGATCCTATTATGTTAGTTTTTCGACTAAACAATCAGTGTCTGTGTTTTAAGTGGATATTCAGAGATACTACTTTTGCTCTGATTTGTTTTTAATCCTGACCAATGTATACCCATAGTTCCTTGTTCTACACACCATTTGATTGACTAATCTCTCACATCAACTAGAACATCGGTTATTCAACAAGTCTATCAAATCCTAGGGTAGCGAAGACAAGTAAAACAAAATTATGAACTATAAAAAAACAAAACGAAATGGGATCTGTATTTCAATCACTGCTGTCTTGGCCAAATTCTCCTCCCTGGCATTACACAAATGACCTTAGAAAATAAAATTACATTGTAGTCTCAGAATAACAGAAGTATTCTATTAACAAGACGTTAAACTGAATTCCTTCCCTTTTCCTGTCTTGATCAGTTTACATACATGTAGTGAAAAGTGTATAAACCCACCTTCAAGACACTTGATATTTTTCTTATCTTCAAATGTGAAGATTTCCAAGATGGCTTTATCAAGCGTTACATCATGCGATAAACACAATAATAAAGAAACCATAAACAGCACTAATTGGTAATTAGATTTTCTGAAGAGTGTAAATAACATGTTATCATTAATATGGTTCACTGAATCTCCTGATGTGATGTTGAACAATGATTCGGATTCAGCACCTGCCATGAATAAAGCCCAAATAAATATACTCCGTTCCACCACATCCACATTATCCATCGGACAATCCTTTAGTCCAGCTCTCGCAGCTAAAATCATGGCCAAATTACCATCACTATTGTGCAAATAAATATTTGGGTTAGCACCGGACCGAAGAAGAAGAATACACAACGCGTAGGATCCTTTCCATAATGCTGCCATTAATGGTGGCATCTCTTTAGGATGACGACTATTTGGACTGAGACCTGCTTCTATTAATAATTTGATTCCACCAATTGGACAGTCTGTCTGTAACTGGCACAAGACGGAACCGTGGGTTAATGGTGAGAATATTGATGTTAAGCGATCTAAGTCTGTTTGATCACTGTGTAATGGAAAGGACATGTGGGGATCCACTCCGTTCATGAGTAATAATCGTAGTATTTTTGTGTCTGGCAAGTGTAAGGCATTAATCAAGGGATGTAACTCTGTTGTATTTTCTAAAATTGGTGCAATATTGGTTACTGGAAGGAGGTGTTCAACACAACTGAAATTAAAGAAAGAGATTTTCTTAAATAAGGGTTACACTTTGCCTTTCATCATGGTTTAGACTTTGCACAATCTAATTCAAATTCGATCTTTAGGGATGAACTTGATTGATAAGTAAACCAACCTTTTCTTTGAAAAAAATTGATAATCAAATGTAATTTTTTTCTTCTTCTAAATTTCAGGTCTTTGGTTTAATTTTATTTTGAGGATATACAATGCTGATATAAATTTATAATGGATTTGAAAACAAGCTGAGGTCTTTAAATCAACAAATAATTTATGTAAATCTAATATAAATAATTGTTAACATTCTACCTCAATTAAAAGCAGAGTTATTGTTTCCGAAACACCATGTGGGATGGATGGACGGACAAACCCATAACACATATAATAGTCCTTTGCTTTCTTTGAAAGGCAGCTGACAAAATATATTTAAATTCTATTATTAAAATCTCAATTTAAATCTAACATCAATGATAGAAAAATCACCTATAGTGGCCTTTGTAAATAGCATATTGTAATGGTACACCTCCATTTTCAGACACAGCAATATTACCATCTGCCCCATATGATAATAACAAACGAACACATTCACTGTGACCTTCCTGTGCTGCTATCAGTAGTGGAGTAGCATTGTCAAAAGCTGCTACATTAACAATATCTTTTTCTGGAATAAATACAGACACATATAAATACCCATATAATTTTTTTTTTACAGAAACTGATTCTTTCTCCTCTCTTCATAACGGCTTTATTATATCTAGGTTCAGAGATTCTCAAGTCTGGTCTGATTTCCATCAATATCTGGATCTTGGACCAATAATAGTAGTGTTTGTAGTATGTTTTGGACCAGTAAACAGAGAGACAAAATGATTCGAACAGTTGGAATCATGCCATAAATATAAAGGGGAGGAGGGATGGGTCTTGTTTCACCTATATATGTCGGACATGTCCTAATCGAGTTTCCAACGGGAATATGCGTGATTGAACATCAGGATGTGGTTAATAATAACCAAAATTCTCCCAAACTATTGACCATTCTATTAAGGGATTCAGAATGAAAACTTATTGACACTATTACCTGAAGCTGACAATGACTTCTGGTAACCAAATTCTGACAACTATCAGCCACAAATAAAAATGTCCCTGGTCTTAACCAACCAACATTTTGCTGACATGGTAAAATATGTTTCTTTGTAAAACAAGGACGTATTACTATCAGTTGTCATGGAATCTTTTAGATAAAAATGGCCATTTATCTTTATCTTCTTATACAAGGAAATAGAGAGAGAGAAACAGGGTTTAGCGTCCACTGGACACAAACTAGGTCATTTTGGGACTAACATATGCTTTAATTTTATTTCAATAATTCGATTGCGCGTAAGGGTCTTTTAGCAGTGGGAGGAAACTGGAGGACCCAGAGAAAACTAACAAGGTTGGACAGGCAACCCTACTCTTTGTCATGCACAACCAGAGAATCGAAACCACGCCAGTTGACTCAATGACAGACTTTATGATACAACGCGCACATGCTAACCATTCGGCCACCCAACCCCGCTACAAGGAAATAAATTTTCATGGTGCTCCCAGGAATTCTATTAAATAAAGTTAGTAGTAACAATAATATTATCTTACCGTTATCATTCATTTCGGTGAGAATCAGTTTTAAACATTCAACATGTCCGGTATGAGCTGCCAAAAAGAGAGGACTTAATTTATTTTCTGTGTAAACATCAATCTGTGCATCATTTTGTAAAAGTAGGTAAAGAATATGTGCGAAACCTTTCTCGGCTGCGGCATGTATTGGTCTGTAACCAGTATATACCATACAATCTACATCAGCTTCACGTTTAATCAGCAGTTTAACACAGTCAATACTCCCATAATTCACAGCTGAAATAATTCAATATCATTTAAGTTCAAATCAGAGAGAGAGAGAGAGAGAGAGAGAGAGAGAGGGAGGGAAACCAGAGAACACAGAGAAAACCCATGAAGATGGACAGACCTTATGATCTAAAGCAAAGATGTTAGACTTTTCGGTCACCCAATCAACTAAGATCAAAACAGTAGGAATCATCCACAGCTGCATATACTACATGGCTAATGTTCTGTCCATTAATAACTGACTATCATCAAGACTTTCAGCATGTGATCAACTCCAAAAGAATCTTTCAACTTTGTTTCTAAATTTGACATAGCTTGCCAGACCACGAAACAGCATGGCGCAAGATTTTTTGGGAAAAGTTTAAGTACTATGAGATGAATTTCATAACAGCCAAAATTTGAATTCCCATGGCTCAATTCAGAATGCTAAGAGCTACTGCCTATGTCTATATTACAGCATGACATGAAATCTACCCTTTATCTTACCTTCCCATAATGGTGTAAAGCCTTCATTAGTAGCCATATTAACATCTGCATTAGTACATAAAAGTGTGTGAACACAAGATCTATGGCCTTGTCTAGCTGCTAATAGCAATGCTGTTTCCCCTTCAAATGTCTGCCAATTTACATCTACTGCCTCTAAAAAGTAAAGAAATACTTTGATTAATTAGTGATAAAAGTACTTAAAATAGTAGTAGAGTAGAGCTTGTGTTGCAGAAAAACCCAAATGCCCATTGGTTAGAAGTGTGTACACTATAAGAGATGGGGAGGGGATCTCCCTTAAAAGAGTAACAGAAGTTAGATTTGTGTAGCTGCTGAGTCAAAATCTGTTGCAGGCAGAGAGAGCAGACACAAGACTGGACTACAAATTATGGAGATTAATGTATGTCTGAATAGGAGATTAAGAACAAAGCTGGGAGATATTAAATATTCAATGCATCAAGGAGGAAAGGGAGGGGGGACATTCCAGTATAATTACATATTCTAAGTACAAAATTTATATACAGTAATAAATTATGCATTTATATGGTGCATCATATACAAGTAAGTACTACCTTGTCGCAGAAGAAATTCTAAACATCCTGGATTGCCATGAAAAGCAGCATCATGTAATGGTGTCCAACCTCGGTTATCTTTCACATCTACTGGTCTTCCTAATAAGCAAATGAAAATACTTTTTAGGAATCTGGAGATATCATAATCAAAATTATTATTCCATCATATACAGACTAAGCAAAAGGCATAATAATGAGCTCAGCTATCTTTAAAATGAACCCACTGAGAAGTAGAATTTACTGATAAGTGAAATAGCATGACAAATCTTGTGCTTCAAGATATATTTCTTTGGATTACTAGAACTGTAATTACTGGTTCATGTATTAGAATACCCTTCATATTTCATAAATAACCAGCCAAATACACACCTTCAGCATGGGATTTTATATTTCGAGATAGCATTTTAATAAGGTTTTTATGGGTTCTACAGAAGACCTAATAAATTTCCATTCCTGGAAATAAGGCACCTGTCACAGACATTGTCAGGGACCAAATCAGGCTTTATCGGGCACAATCCCTCTGGTGCCCGTCTTTTTGTCTGGCACTGATTTATCTTTTTCTACATTTTTATGAGTTATTAAAGATTCAGCATGTAAGATTTAGATAAAGAGCCAGCCAATGTTGCTATAATACATGTAGTTTAAAAATAGATAATGAAAAATGAATATATTGAAAATTTCGGTAAAATTCTTTAATCTGAGCAAAGTCATGACAGTTATATCAGACAACTCTTGATATAAATCTTATTGGTAAATGTAAAGATATTTACCATGCCACACTAGTTCTTGAAGATCAATCAAATCACCAGCCCTAGCAGCAGAACCAACAGTAGAACAACTATCAGGGTAGGCTTCTGTAAAATCCATCAGTACATCTGGGAACTCTTCTTATTCTATGGAAATACAAAGCATAGCAATCAATCCAATGGATATCTTCAATTTCTGGTGGTTTTTTTTCAACTAGTTTACTCTTAGCTTTTGAATTGTAAATGGGTCAAAATATATCAAACTGGGTTGATCTAACGTTTTATTTTCCTAAGTCAAGGGGTAAACTCAATACGTTTAAATTTTTTGTTTAAGACCATGTGGAAGTTGGCTTACTTAGTTTAGAGAGCCGACAGTGAACACAAACGAATATATAACACTGACTTAAAATTTTAGTGAATCAAACGGGTTTAGAAAGTGTGTTGTCCTAACAGAATTAAACCATAACAATCAAAATTAACTTTGGTCATAATGACCCAAAATTTTGTCATAATGGCCATAATTTGATCAAAACAGCACAAAAATATTAATATTACATATAGATACTTTGGAAACCTTAATTCAATTCCTGTAGAATAATTTATTCAATTCCTGTACAACTAAAATTCCTCTGAGGTACAATTCCTGTTTTATAATGCCTCTTGCACATTAAAGCAAATTTTACAACCATTTCCGCATGATTCAATATTTAATATTTTGAGGTGAACTTTCAGACAAGTTATTTTATCACATTATGGGATTTAATCTGCATATATATGTTATTAAACCCAGGTTTATCAATCCGTAGTCTCTGATAACTGGGGATGGGTCGGATGTTCGAATGATATAACATGTCACTTTTCAGGACTGGAAATAATGGTTTTAGATGTACTTGACAAAATGTAGCCTACGTCAGGCACTAATGCAATAGTACCTGACATAGACATATTAATATCAATAAATAAGACATATCAGTGCCAGACAAGATGACAGGCACCAGAGGTTTTGTGCCTGACGAAGCCTGAATCTGTGTCTGACATTGTAGTGTGACAGGCGCCTTAATTATTTCCAGGCTTGCACTTTTGATCATATACCGTCTAGACCGTACCATTGAGTACCATGGTTTTGATCCCACATTGTAAGTGACAAAGAGTATTAAAGGCGTTGACACCTAAAGACCTGTATGCGGAAGTGAATTTTTGAAATAAAATTGCATCATAAGTTAAGTCTCGTAATGACCTGTTTGCGTGGGAGAGCATTGATTCATTGAACCAAGTTTCTCTTTCTCTTTCTGAAAACTGGGACTGTTCCTTAAGTTTATCTGTTGACCTAAAATTTCTTTGAGACAGATTGCCACCCTACATAAAGCAAATCAACTTAGAAAACCCAATGAAATGGACAGTTTTAGTTATGACACAATTCAAACGGTTTGATCATTTCAAAGACTAAGAGCTCAAATCAAACGATTTAATCATTTCAAAACCAATTTGTTATTGTTAAATATGTTCTTGCACTTGCATGATCTATTTCATTCAATGAAAAATATTATTTATTAGTCATGCTTACTCAGTTTGTTGACATTATTTGTTGACTTGTATGATTATTATTCATTAATTGAAAATAAGTAAAACACCATTAATTATTCAAAATCGAAATGCAGAATATGATTTACTTACACCACACAATTATAAGAAAAACTTGGTTCATTCACAAGTTCAACGTCGACTTTTCTTGAAACTTCCTGACATTTGATTGGACAAAATTAATGTAATTGCGTTTACCGCGGACCTACCGGAAGTTTACATCGTCCATGTTGAACGTGAACGATGCGTCTTTGCGTCTTTGTATGAACTAAATCATTTATTAGAAATTCCTTAGTTATTTATGAAATAAACTAATTAATTGTCTATTGAACTTGATTCTTTATATACCAGACACTCTTTCTATTCCAACCATGGGGACATCAAAAAAGCACAAGGAAAGAGATCGAGACAGGGAACATAAACGTAAACATAAACATCGCGACCGTTCTCGTTCAAGATCTAGGTCCAGAGACCGATCCGATAAACACCGGCGTCGCGAAAGACGCCAACAAAGACAAGAAACTGCACCTGTAGAAGATGATATTGAATATATAGGCACCACTCCTGCTGAAGAAAATATCAGAGAACCACCAGTTGACCGTATGTGTAATGATAAACGATAAAAACGTTTTAGTAGTAGCTTTGTTTTTGCGCACCATCCAAAGGATAAGATACTGTTCTCTGCCAGGTCCTCCGTTTTGCACCACTGACAAAGGGGCAATAGGGATGGTGATAAGGCCTGATATGGGAGCAGGCAGCTTCACCCCAAAACTGTTTCACACTGGGCTGTTTTGGTAATCGTCTGATGCGGACCATCACCATGGCTGATTCAGACAAGTTTCTTGGCTCAATCCAACCAGACACATTGATAAAAACCTGTTAAACGTCTCAAATAGCTTGACTTTAGTTCCCAATCAGCTTGGTTTCGGCTATTTCATCCCATAGTCGTTTTATCCCTCTGAAGTTTTGTTATAAACATATGCACGTATGCTTATATTAATGTCCAATGCAGCAGTATATCTTTTATCTTCCCAAATATACATTTGTATTTCACTTTAAGCTACATGTAATTTAAATTACATCTAAAACAAAATGAAATAGGATTTTAGCATCCTACTTTTCTGCAGCAAAAAAAGGGCTAACGAAGAAGAGCATACATCTTGTAGTGTTGAGCCAATTATTCTTTAAATTTCAACTTTCAAGGCTTGTTTTGCATGCACATTTAGTGTTGCAGTGCATACGAAAAGAGATTTTCTTTGCCAGGCAATTCCAGAATAACTTGTTGGTTGGAACAAAATACATGCATTGTTATAATGAATAAAATTAGGTTAACATCCTACTTTTCTGCTCCAACTGGGTTAATAAAGATGGGGTATCATTATATATCTAGCTGTCTATTGTATAAAATTATACTGTCTGAGAACAGTCAGATCTCTACATTATTTATAATTACAGGACGAGAAGTAATAAATAGCGGTGGTGGTGCTTCATCTGGTGGTGGAGAATCCTTAAGTGTAGAGGAAACAAAGTGAGTCTTCCTATTTATTGTAAACAGCCAGCACCATGACACTATGACCTTTCAAGAATTTAAATTTAGAACACATTCTATTGTGTTTTTTTGTGTCAATTGAGTTTAACTTTAATATTGCATAATTGTATTTGATATACATGGATTACATGTACATATACTGTAGAAATATTTGTAAACCATTTTCAATAGGCATCTATTTATTTATGTAAAATTGTAATGGTCAAGGGTCCTTTTATGTGTACACTTGACCTCGGCTTTTCAAAACATTGAGTGGAAGTTGTTTTGTTTTATTCTTGGTTTAAACTGTCAAGTGTCAAACACATAATCAGTTATATGTCATGACAATATTTATGTCAGCTTTATGCAAGCACAAATTTAAACAAAGTCAAATTGTCATTTCACAGAAAAAATCAACACACAAAATGCAGTCGATTGTCAGTTTTATATTTTTACACTAGTCAAATCAGGGAGTGCCATGCTATAGTTTTAACTTGTTTTTTTTTTTTTTTCAGTCGCCTACGGGCAAAACTTGGACTCAAGCCCTTAGATGTGGGTGGAAGTAGTGGTGGTGGTAATGGTATGATTATTATAATTCATTTATTACGATATTATCAGAGAGATATAGCTAAGATAGATGCCTTAAATTTGATCAGAAATGTGACATGATCCTATATGATCATTTGTGTATTGATTGTCAATGCATTGAATAAATTGAAGCAGAATTTTAACATAACCCTGTTCTCGATGTCTGTCAAACTATTTACATGTATGGCAGAAGTTAAATATGGCAGAAGTTAAATATGGCTAAATTACAAAGTTTTATTTCCTTTTTGTGTATTTATTTAGACGGAGCTTCAGTATCGAAGGATGAAGATGTCCATGCACCAGCGGTTAATTGGGCGGAACAGAAAAAAACAGAATCGTTACGAGAAAAAATGGCGGTTATGAGAGAAAAGCGTCTAATTAACCAAAAATTAGGGTCAGTGTTACACTTCTATTTAAATTTGATGTCTGAATAGAAAAGGGGGGTTGGATAGCCAAATGGTTCGTGTGTGCGCTTTGCATCATAAGCTCTGTAAATGAGTCAACTGGCGTGGTTTCGATTCCCGGGTTGTACGTGACAAGGTCGCCTGTCCAACCTTGTGGGTTTTCTTTGGGTCCTCTGGTTTCCTCCCACTACTAAAGACCCCTACAAAAAAGCTAATTATTGAAATAAAATAGAACAATATGTTAGTCCCGAAAAGATCTAGTTAGTGTTGAGTGGAAGTTAAACCCCATTTCTCTCCCTCTCTGAATACAAAAAATACAGTAGATAATTGGTGACCTTTACTGGACACACAGGACTGTATATGTATTTAACGATCCTATAATTAAGTAGTAACCCTTATTTTATTGTTTCCAACTTTAACCCCATGCCATCCTGGTAGAAGGAAATAATAAATATGTTTACTATTTGGTATATTCTAGTTTATTTCGTAACTCATGCCAAGCCATTCAAAAGCATCAGAGTTTTTCTTTTTCTTCTTTGATTCCAATGGATTGAATGAAAGTCCATACTGAAACTAGTTCAAAACAGAACATCAGAGCAGCTCACTTAGTACATTTTTGTTAACCAAATGAAAGAGGTCTAGCTTGTTTAACTTTAACCCTTTAGCCCTTGGAATGCCTGGAACCGCCTGTGACTATGGACCCTTATAGATTGACCCACATTTACTGTGTTTATGGCTACTTAAACTGCACCAAAAGCTGTAGCACGCCAAAGATCTAGAATATGGTCCTACAATATAGGATATGCATGCCTATATGAACTAGATCACTCTCTATAGTTTCTAAGGTACTGGGGTATTAAATATTTATATGTACCAAGTGCTAAAGGGTTAAATAACCTTTTCTCATTAATTCTTTTTCAGGAAAGTAAAGGCATTAGGGGACAGTGATTCCGATGATGATGGTGTTCTAGGATGGGTGAAAAAGAGCCGAAAACTAGAAAAAGAAAAGCAGTTGGCTGCAAAAAGGGTATGAATTCTGTAGAATCTATTTTAGTTGCTATTTCTTGATAACTGTGCTCTAGTTTACGATTATCCAGTGAATGTCAGTAGTATTTATCAGTTTTGTACTTGATAAGCAAGTCTACTGAAACCAACGAGGTTGGGGAGGTGACCATACTCTTGTCGTGTACAATCTAGGCACCCAAACCACCAAAGTTTTATTATTTGCGATAAAATTAATTCAAAATGTATTTGTAGGCCAAGTTATTAGAAGAAATGGATGAAGAGTTTGGTATTGCGGATTTGGTAGAGGAGGAATTTAAACCCACCAAGAAGGTGAGACGACTTTTATTAAATAAAATGTCATATTGTTATAGTGATTTAGATGCCAGCAGAAAGGCATCAACAATCCCAGGGTCCATTCATGTTTGTCTGACTCTGAAGATATTGAATTCTAGCATTCTGATTGGTTCAAGAACCACACACACATATCGGGTGACCAATCACGAAGCAAGTTGACTGTTGAATTGTGATGTAGGATGACCAATGATGTGGTATGCGGATAAATGATCTGTCAAATATAAAGCGAGAGAAAAAAATGGAGTTTAACGTCTACTTGACACAAGCTAGGTCATTTCGGGACTAACATATGGTTCAATTTTATTTCTGTATTTCGCTTGCGCGTAGGGGTCTTTAGGAGTGGGAGGAAACTGGAGAACCAGGAGAAAAACCACCAGGTAAGACAGATGACCCTACTATTTGTCACTTACAATCGTGGAATCAAAACCACACCAGTTGACTCAATGACAGACCTTATGATGCAGCGTGCACACGCTAACCATTCGGCCATCCACCCCCCCTATCAGATATAAAAGATTAGAAATAAACAGTTGTGTAAAGAAATTACTAATGGTCAAACCAGAATAATTTTTATGGAATTCAATTAATTTATGTGAAACGTTATCTCTTCAAGGGGGGGTTGGATGGCCAAATGGTTAGCACATGCGCTGTATCATAAGGCCTGTCATTGAGTCAACTGGCGTGGTTTCGAATCCCCGGTTGTACGTGACAAGGAGCAGGGTCACCTGTCCAACCTCGTGGGTTTTCTCTGGGTCCTCTGGTTTCCTCCCACTGCTAAAGACCCCTACACGCAAGCGATTATTGAAATACAATTAAACCATATGTTAGTCCCGAAATGACCTAGTTTGTGTCAAGTGGAGTTAAACCTCATTTCTCTCTCCCTCTCTCTCTCTCTCTCTCTCTCTCTCTCTCTATCTCTTCAAATGTTGAAACATGACTTAAAGGACACACATACATACATACATATGTATATATTCATGTACAATCGATTGTATAATAACAAATCACGCACATGTATATAACCAGACAATGAAAAGACTAATCCATTTGGAAGACATTTTTTTTTTTTGCTCTTCATCGCCCTTTGTTTGTATATTTGATGTAGAACTCTTCACACTCAGTCAATACCTGCAAAAAGTTTTGACTTTATTTAGCTTAATAAGCACCAGTGTTTAAACCTATCTGAAATAAATCCTTTAATTAACTTATATTCCATATAATTGTGTCATGTGTTATTCTCATTCAGTTACTAAACCTGTCTTGTTGAAACATAGTTGAGATACTGAGGATTATAAGACATATGTATTTTGTATTGTAGAATTATACATCCAAGGATTTAAAGGGATTAAAAGTAAAACATGAAGCTAACAGATTTAAAGAAGGGAAGACAGTTATATTAACATTACAAGATAAAGGTAATTTTAAACATATTTTTTAAAAATTTTGCAATTTTGAGGTTAAAGGTCCGTCCTCATATGAAAAATCAAAGTATTATTCTTTATCAATTAAACTCGGTGTAAGAGCTAACATATTTTCGAAAGAGTCATTGTTGATAAGATCTCTTGTTATTTCTAGTCAACTAAAGTGTCTGTAATTATTGGTTCAGTTGTGAAAATGAATGTTGATTAGACGTCTTTTCACATTTATATACATCTAAATAATTTGAGATGGTAAAATATTACCTTGGATACGGAATATCAAACAAAATGTGTATTTACATTCTTCGAAGGAATTACTAGTGAGCAGAAATTCACCTGTGTACCTGTTATCGCTTGTTATTTCAGTCAGTTATATAGAAGGATAACTCGTGTTTTCCTTTGCTTTCATCACTTCTGTTTTTTCAAATCTTCATTATGCATCTATCGTAGCAATGATCTTGGTGTTAAAATTATATTTGGAACGTGTTTAACCAGTTCTATCCCATATATGATAATGGCTGACACCAATATTGTCCTTTAAAGCAATGTAAGATTTTGTGAATAAGATCCAGTTTTTGTAAGATAAAGTATTTGACTGATACTTTCAATTTACAATCTATTACAGTTTATTAAAGATTTTGTGAATAAGATCCCTGTTAGTATTAGCTTGATAATGTAGAGAGAATACTCTTCGAAACTCTCCTAAATAAACTAGTAGCTGTATTTCCATTAGTATGTGTTACAGTTTAAGATCCCTATTCTTCAATAAAGTATTCATCTGTTAAGCTTATGTCACTTCAATTTACATGCTTTTTATATATTTATCTAGGTATATTAGATGAAGAAGATGCTGATGAGTTAATTAATGTTAATATGTTAGATGATGAGGTTGTGGATAGAAATCTAGAGAATAAAAAGAAGAAACCCGATTATAAGCCATACGATGAACCTGAATATGATGAATATGGAGTGGTATGTAATAATTATTTTAAAATTCAAATAATTTAAGAAAAAGAATAGTCCCACACATATTCAATAGTAGAGACACTGATCGTCATTTTTCAGATTGATTATTTCACATAGTAAAGATAATAGAATCAAACTATCAATGCTAGATTATCTCACGGCTTGGATTCAATATAATGAGAAAAAGGCGTCCATCAAAAGGTTTTTGGCTGATATTCTTGTTAGAGAATCAACTTTCACAGTATTATAGTTTGCAAGGAATTCAGAATCCTGCAAATAACAACAAGCAGCTTTAAATTAGAGAATAAAATAAAGGTGTGTGCGGGTGTGTATGTTCACCCTTCACACTTTGTCTCCGTGCTCCACCCCTACAATTGTGGTATCAAATTAACCAGCATGACCCTGTGAGTGTTTTAGGCCATCGAATTTGGGCCCTGATTGAATGATGCTTCGTTGTCGCGCTCCACCCACACATACATGATATCAAATTAACCAGCATGACCCTGTGAATGTTTTGGACCCCGGGTGAATTTGACCCCTGGGCTAATTTGGTCCCGGGTGAATTGTACCCCATATGAATTTGGGCCCCGGGCGAAGCCGGTATCCTGCTAGTAATCCAATATTGCTGTGCAGTTTCTTGCTACTACCATGAACATATACAATGATGTGTATAAAAAAAGGTGTTGATTCACATTTTAAATGGTATTGAATTGTTTAGACCTAATAAAATACACACTGTGTTTAATGTGATGATAGAAATATCTGTAACTCTTTATATTTTTTAATTCTTTAGTTTAAGCCAAAAAGTATTTTAGAAAAATACGATGAAGAAATAGATGGAAAGAAAGCAGAGTCATTTGAAATAGGTTTGTACATATCGATATTTGTTTACACTGTAAAAGGGGGGTGGGGGCGGGGTTGGGACCAGAAGGAGTAAGGCCCCCTGGCCAACCTCATGGGTTTTCTCCAGGGCATCCGGTTTTCTCCCACAGCTAGAGATCACTACACACAAGCGAATTATTGAAATAAAATTGAACCGTATGTTAGTCCCAAAATGGCCTAGTCTCTCTCTCTCTCTCTCTCTCTCTGCATGGGTTCTGTGTAGTGCCGTGAATAATAGGTCTGTTATCTATGCAAGATGTAAGAATGATTACACATTTGTATTTAACATTGTGTAAGGATAGCTGCCTAACCTCATAGACTTTCTCTTCTGGTGCTCCAGTTTCCTCACTGTATTATATAGAGCCCCTCAAAAATAAAAATTAAATGGGGTTTAATATCCTACTGTTCTGCTCCGACTTGGCTAATGAAGACGGGCATATGCCATACAATGTGCAACTGCCAAGGGAAATTTAATGTGCTCACCGATGTATACATTTGACCTCGTTTTTTTTCCCAGCTGTCTTTGTCAGGACCTACGTCCTTTACCACTGACAAGGGGAAACCACACCGGAAAACCTTCACAAATACGAATTGATGAAATGTTGTGTGGAGTCAACATTAATCACCATTAATTTCTGTGTCTCATGAATATTTTGATAATATGAATTTATTATTAATTAAAGGAGGTGGAGGAAAATATGATGGTCTACATGAAAAACAGATGAGTAGGATACGAGCGGAATTAAAGAAACAGGAAGTATGTTCATTTATTTCTTATATTTAACTTATTGTTTTTGATACTACGAATCTCTCAGATTTTACAGAGAGAATGTTGGTGTAAATATATATGTTGTTGATATAAATAAAATGCAATGGGATTTAACGTCCTACTTTTCTGCACCAACTTTTCTGCACCTTCTGATGTAACTGACAAAGGGAAACAACATTGGAAAGTCCTGTGGAATTTGCTCCGCCAACACCTGGATCGAACTTTTGACCTGGTTATTGTGCCAATACCTTACTTACTGAGCTATAGTGGCTCGATATTTTTGGACCAGTAACTGGTCGATAACCGCTACTCATCAACTTGTTGTTGTTGTTCTTCTTCTTGGGGTGACGCTCTTTGAAAAAGCCTAAGGCTCCATCAATTAAGTCCGATTGACATGAAAATTGAACAATTCTGCATCGATTTGGTGAATTAGATTTTTGAATTTCATCCAACAACATGTTCAGTTCCTGGTCATTAGTACAAGCGCGCTTGTTGTAGATCAAATGTTGAAAGAAATGGCCCATCCACCAGCTGGGGGGGGGGGGGGTTGGATTGCCAAATGGTTAGCATGCACGCGCCGTATCATGCGATCTGTCATTGAGTCAACTGGAGGGGTTTCGATTCCCCGGTTGTACGTGACAAGGAGTAGGGTCGTCTGTCCAACCTCGTGGGTTTTCTCCGGGTCCTCCGGTTTCCTCCCACTGCGAATGATTGAAATAAAATTGAACCATGTGTTAGTCCCGAAATGACCTAGTTTGTGTCGAGTGAAAGTTAAACCCCATTTCTCTCTCTCTCTCTATCCACCAGCTTACAACTATTGAGTCATTCAGATATGATTACATAAAATGTATTTTTTTTTATTTACAGCAATCGTTATCTTTATCAGCACCACAACTAGCCAGTGAATATTATACACATGATGAAATGGTAAATATTAATTAACATATTATATTCTGTTATTTTAAATATATATTACACCAAGATTAGAGTTTTGGTTGTGCCTGACATTTACATCTTCATGAAAAACTGATAAAATCACAAGAGACCAGACAAACTGTGTCTGTGAAAGCCTGAATTTGTGACGGACAATGCCTATAACAGGTGCCTTTTTCCTGGGTGGTTTATAATTTCCTAACAGAATAAAACCTGTGAAGGAACAATAACTGGATGGAAATCTGTTTATTTTAAATATTATAGACGCTTTCAAATTAAATTCTCTTTGTTTGTCATCAGTAAATATCATTAAGAATTGTAGGATTTAGTTGGTTATATTTATTGTTTATATTTTATAGGATGCCAAATTTAAAAAAGTTAAGAAGAAAGTTCGTAAGATTAGAAAGTTGAAAGCTGATGATTTGGTTCCATTACCAGAAGAAGAACTTAATATAGATCCTTTTCAAACGTTAGTTACTTACCCTTTTACAAATTATGAAAGTTTTTCCCGTATTATTATCCGTAACATCATATCCCTGGCTTTGAAATCACAATCTGATCATTGTCTTTTTGACATGCCTAATGCAGGGTCGGTTGTAGAAAATACAGGCCCAGTTTGGGAGGCCCGAAGTTACAGGATATGAATACATTGTAGGATATGAATAACTTTAACTAGGCCTATATTCATTCAAATTTAAGGCCTACTATATATGTTTTACTTCATAATTAGTTATTGATTAATACATGTATATAGTTAAATTATTGCTACCAGATTGCCTGGAAAATTTGATGAGCTATGGGGCAAGTGAATTATTGAAATAAAATTGAGACAGGTAAGTCCAGAAATGACCTAGTTTGTGTCAAGTGGATGTTGACACCGATTTCTCTCCCTCTCTGTCTGTATATATTGATATCGTAATATTATAATTCAACTATCAGGCCTTACTTTATATGTATAATTTAATTTTCAGGCCTAATTTATCTGGTACGAATCATATACCTGGTTTAACACTAGTAAAACAAGTTATGGAAGTTGATCCTCAAGGTAAAGTACATAGATATGTTTGCTTTAAACAGATGTCAATGTGTAACTTTGTTGGATTAGTTTGATTTATGTAGTGACAAAGCGAAATGAAATTAAATGGAGTTTAATGTCCTACTGTTCTGCTCCGAACTGGGCAAAACCCTGCACACAGTGCCTTATTTTAAAAAAAAAAAAACCAGTCCAAAAATGATCTGCTTAGTATCAAATTGATGTTAAACCCCATTTTTTTTCTCTGTGTTGTATCTATGTTGTATTTGATACCTGCTGTATACTGGTCTATACAGGTATGAGTTTTGGTTTTCTGTTATATTACACATATAAATATGCATACATTAATAAATCAAATACACACTACATAACAAATAGTAAATATTAACAAATAAAATATGAGATTTCCCAAAATATTAACAAATAAATAATGAGATTTGTGAAAAATTAGCAAAATTTTACAAAAACAAATTCTTTTATTCTGTAGAAGAAGATTTAACAGGTGTACAAGTTGAAGATGACGGAGCTGATGAACTACATACAGCTTTAACTAAAGCTAGAAAACTTAAAATAAAGAAAGAAAGAGATAGTAGAGTAGTACCTGAGAAGGTTTGTATAGATATATCTAACTATCATTATATTATAACCATCTAATAACTTACACTGTAGCCCGACTATCATTTAATCTTGTGTATTTACCACTAATTTCTTTCAGATTGATTTAATGTCAAATCTTTGTTTAAAAATTAATAAAAATCATTTAAAATCCCCCCAAATTGATCAATTTTGTACTTGTGTCAAGTTTAAAGCTGACTGATTAATTTTGATAATGAGAGTCCAATTAACAAGTATCTAATTTCCTGACCACTGTTCAAAAATTAAACACAATTGAACCATGTGTTAGTCCCAAAATGACTTAGTTTGTGTTGAGTGGATGTTAAATCTTTAATTGATAGAAGTTTCAAGTACTTCAAAGAAAATATTTATTGTCAAGTAATGATATATAAAATTTAATATTACAAGGATAATAAAAGGTAGATTTGACTGGTCACACGTTACGTAAATCAGATAAACTACTTTTAAAGCCTAAAACTGTTCAACTAGTCTCCTATGGTCAGTGCTCTTTTAATTCTCAACCCCCTGTTTAAGATGCTGCACATCCCTATATTATTTTAAAAAAACAACTTAAAACACATTTATTTAAACAAGCTTTTATTTGACTCTGTATACACAACTGTTAACATGTCCATAATCTTGTTTTTTTATGATTACATTGTCCCTTTGTAAAGTGCCCCTGAACATGTGTTATTATAGGGTGTGTTATATACTATTCAAAAAAAGTAGGGGATATTTGATTTTTAAGTGTTATTTAAGTCACCTAATGAAACTGACGAAGAAACAAATGACAAAATGAAATGAAGTTCACATTCATCGATTTATTCCAAATGATCGTTAGACTAAGTAAGGCACAGACTGACCATTATAAGGGTAAAATGATACCCGGGGTCAAACAGCAAAGTTACCACAGCATCACAACCAAGTCAGTAACGGGTAAATCCTCCTCTGTTTGCCAAACAAGCATTGATCCGACGTGGCATACTCCTAATGAGACGTCTAAGGTCATTTTGGTCCAGATTGTCCCATTCCTGTTGCAACGCAGCAGCAAGTTCTTGGACATTGGCAGGACGTTGTTGACGTTGATGTAACCTCTGTCCAAGCATGTCCCAGACATGCTCGATGGGGGAGAGGTCGGGACTCAGTGCTGGCCAAGGTAATGTGGTGATGTTCTGTTGTTGGAGGTAACCTGTAACGATCCTGGCCCTGTGACATCTTGCGTTGTCATCCTGGAAGATGAAACGGCGGCCATGACGTCGTGCGAACGGCACAACATGGACTGCCAAGATGTTGTCCCGGTAGTACTGGCCTGTAACACGCCCTGCAACAACATGTAAAGCCGTTCTTCCAGCAACAGTGATGCCTCCCCACACCATAACAGAACCACCCCCAAATCGATTATGTCTGATGACGTTAACGTCTTGGAAGCGCTCGTTTCGACGACGCCACACCCTCCTACGTCTGTCCAAAAAATCAACAGTGAACGTTGACTCATCTGAAAACATCACATTGCTCCAGCGTCGATTATCCCAGTGTTGACGATCCCTACACCAACGACGTCTTGCCTGAATGTGATGATCTCTCAAACAAGGGATCATGCGAGGACGTCGGGCGCGAAGGTGACCCCTATGCAGTCGATTCCGAAACGTCTGGCCACTCACTCTCACACCAGTGTCTGTTTGAAGACGAGCGCTGATCTGATTTGCTGTGATGACACAATTTCTCAAGGCCAAGGTACGGATAAATCGATCCTGGGCTTGAGTTGTCGCCCTTGGTCGACCTGAGCGTGGTCTGTCCTGTACAGATTGTGTATCACGGTATCTGGACCATAGCCTGCTTATGACAGACTGAGAAACATTCATCGTCCGCGCCACAACCGCCTGTGTTGTGCCGATCTGTAGCATGCCAAGGGCACGTAACCTTTCATTTTGGGTAAGCCGACGCATATCAAAATTTGTTTTCTGGTCACTAAAACAATTAAACTGTTGTCGAAACGAGCGCTTCCAAGACGTTAACGTCATCAGACATGATCGATTTGGGGGTGGTTCTGTAACATTCAAAGTCAGAGTCGTGCAAATCTTGGGTTGGACCCCCATGATGATCCCAAGCATCACCTGCATTCCATGCGGTAGCTATTGGTGCGTTTGGGCGTCACATGTAACTGGAAATGTTTCTTCTGTTAGGTTCTATAGTGACTTTTTTCGTAGTCATTTGCATATTTTAGTATTATGCCCCCAAAATCAAATATCCCCTACTTTTTTTGAATAGTATAAATATGCTGTAATAACAAAGTATAATTCAATAAATAATTAATTCTCTAGGTAGCAGAAATGGTTCAGAAATCAACAGTTAAACAGGAAAAATCACCTAATAAACTTGATAGTAATATTATTCTCAATTCAACGTCTGAATTCTGTAGAAATTTAGGCGAGATACCAACGTATGGTTTAGCTGGTAACAGAGAGGAAGAGAGAGATGAAATAATGGTTGGTATATTTTTATACGCCCACATTTTCATGTGGGCGTATTATGCCGTCGCCCCTGTCCGTCTGTCCGTCCGTCCGTCCAAAATTGTTTGTGGACTCTCTACAGGTCACAATTCTTATCCGATTTCGACGAAACTTGAAATATAGGTTTATCCCTATATTGTACGAAAAATCACGTTTTTAGCTTGTGGACCCTATAGAAGTCATAATTTTTATCCGATTTAAAAAAACGTTCTATTATGTCACCGTTACACCCTAAGGATGACTGAGTTCGAATTTCGTGAAAATCGGCCCAAAATTGACAGACAAAATGGCCGCCATTCGTTCCCAAATAGCGTAAGAATATGGTATATCAAGGTTGTGGACCCTATAGGGGTCACAATTTTTATCCGATTTTGTTGAAACTTGAAATGTAAGTTTATAACACAAAGATCTCAGTTCCTTTCGATATATGCGCATATCGAATTGTAATTTCCTGAATTATGGCCCTTGATTGTAGGAAAAATCACTTTCTTGTTAGCTTGTTCTCTATCCATCTCTCGAAAATGTGGGCGTATCCTGCCTGGCAGCCGCTGGTTATTATTCTCAATTATGATTGTTATAAGCTGTAGATTTGGACTAAAGTTTAAATGTTTTCTTAGTGAAATTTTCGTTTTCAGTATAACACCAGTTCAGAGTGCTTAAAAGAGTGCATTGAATTAGAGAATTTCTGTATTTGCTCTACATTGAATTAGAAAATTTCTGTATTTGCTTTACATTGAATTAGAAATTTTTTATATACACTGTACATTGAATTAGAAATTTTTTATATTTGCTGTACATTGAATTAGAAAATTTCTATATTTGCATATTTGCAGTACATTGAATTAGAAAATTTCTATATTTGCATAACATAGATGAACGTGTTCTATCTTTGAATTACATGGAATTGGAAACTGTCTTTTTGCGTTTGCACTACTTGGTGTTAGAAAGTTGGATTTGACCCAATTTTATGTTTGTGAAATATGAAATTCTGGTATTATTTCATTTTTTGTATTTAGGAACACCTTCATTTGTTTAGTTGGATCAAAACAGTAGGACGTTAAACCCGATTTCATTTCATTTCAATTTGTAGGATATGGAATTACGTTGCTTTATTTTCCATTTGTAGGATATGGAATTACACACAATGTTGCTTTATTTTCATTTTCTATCTGTATGATATGGAATGACAATATTGGGGTTTTTTTTGATTTGTAGGATATGGAATTACAATGTTGCTTTATTTTATATCTGTATGATATGGAATTACAACATTGGTTTATTTTCTATTGGTAGGATATGGAATTACAATGTTGTTTTCTTTTCTATTTGTTTGATATGGAATTACAACGTTGTTTTATTTTCTATTTGTAGGATATGGAATTACAATGTTGTTTTCTTTTCTATTTGTGGGATATGGAATTACAACGTTGTTTTATTTTCTATTTGTAGGATATGGAATTACAATGTTGTTTTCTTTTCTATTTGTGGGATATGGAATTACAACGTTGTTTTATTTTCTATTTGTAGGATATGGAATTAGAAATAATGGAACAGAAAAGACGACAGGAAGAAGAAGATAATCCAAGTGGTTGGAATGAAGTAGATATAGATGATCAACCTGTTGATATAATGGTACTTTCTTATACTCTATCTTATATATATAGATTACCATGGGATGGGTCTCGGGTATAAATGAGGGAACAGAACAATTGCTCCATGGACAGCTGCCCCGCTGGACATCTGCCCCCCAAATAATTTTTGTTTTATTATAAATGAGATTGCCAACCTGTTTCTAACAAAAGGTAGATATTGACAGCAGCTTCGCAGATTAATTTTTAGAAGAGTTCTAAAACCACCTGGTCCCGAGTTCACTAAGCATTCTCCGACTTAATTTAAGAATTTACTCGACTTTCAATCACTGTTTATTAGAAATGTCTTTGATCCAGAAACACAAAACTTTGCGCATAGTTTCTTATTGATGTATTTGATACATTAAAACAACAAAAGTTTTATAAAGGGCTATATTTTAGTTAAAATAAGGGGAACAATTTTCAGTGAATTCTTAACGTCTAAGAATGCTTTGTGAACTCGGGCCATTTCTTTCAATATGGTGTCCATAAGTTGACAAATAGCAGTTTTAGTAAATTGTTCGGATTGTTTATTAGAGTTTTGAAATCAAAATTGTTATTTCTGATTCAGCAAGTGACATCATAAAAATGCAATTTTAAATTTATTATGGTATTTGAGCAGAGACACAGAGAAAGTTTTTAAAAGTTTATTCTAGTAGCTGTCGTTATTGTCTATTGTTAGGATTGAGAAATAGTTCTTTAACATGTAAATATCTCAGTAAGTCGTTTTTTAAGCAAGTTGTTGATGACTAAAATATTACACCCCTGTATGTATTAATGTATAGTATGTATGTATATTTTATAGGGAGAAGAATCGGCTGTATTAGAAGAAGAACCTATTGTCAGTGAAGGTGTTGGAGCAGCATTACAGTTAGCTATGAAAAAGGGTTGGTACAACTATGTTCATTTATTTATGTTTATTTGTTCTTTTATTGACGCCGGTGGGGGTGGGGGGTGGGGGCGTGTTACGGCTTACGACAAGTTGTGAGCTAGGCTTTAAAGCATGCAGAATCATGTATATGGTTTTCTAACTATAAATCACCTCAGTGCGTTGCCCTGTATACCAATACCGACAATTTGATGAGGCAACAACTCACAGGATCTGAATGGTCACTTTAAAACGTTTACCTATAATGAAATTATACTTTAATTGGATAGACAAACTTTTTTGATAAAAATAATAAGTTGATATTTTAACATTAAAATTTCGATTCTAATTTTAAACATAAGATTGGAAGAAAACTTGGGAGTGGACCAATCAGAAGCTGTGTATTACTGAACATGCCATATAAAGAAAAACAAACACAAAATAAGACATAATATTTGTATAGTTATATTATTTAATGTGAATACTTTAATACATTTCATATATTCCTCCAATCAGTGATATTTTTGTCTATATATTTTATAGGATATTTGGAGAAAGAAATGATTAAGCCTACTACTAGTAAACGGGTTGATTTAGAAGCCAAGAATTATTCTATTGAAGATAAACGATACGAGTAAGTATTCAGTATTTATATTTGCTGAAATTTTTACTGTGAAAGAGTTAAGTCTCCATGCTGTCTGATCAAATTAAATCCATTGTTTAATTCTTTTATTGAATTCTCTTACAATTCCTCTTTTGTAACTACTGTCTGTACTTTATAAAAACTAAAAATTAAAACTGTGACAAAGTACAATTAATGATATATTGCAAACCTTTTTGATTTAGGTCGAAATAAGTTGACATGCGTTTATCGAATGTGTCATACCATTAAGTGACGGAGCAAACTCTCTACGATTAAATGGTTAAGCCAATGTGTCGTATCTGAACACTTACATGTATTTTGGTTTCCTGTTGACACAGGAACATACAATCAGATATATGTCAACATTGACTTTTTGGAAGTAAAATTTGGAAAAAATCACCATTTAAAATCCAATGAAACTGACACTTTTAGGTTGAGATGAATTGAAAGGCACAACAAGTTTTTATTCATGCATATTGTAGCTTTTAATTTAATTCCCACTTTTTTATTTTTAGTGATTTAGATGAGAAATTCCGTAAACGCGATCGTTACTCTGGTGGCGTTGTTAGTGACTTTAAAGATAAAGATGGATATAAACCTAATGTCAAATTAGAATACGTCGATGAAAAAGGAAGAGATCTCGATCCTAAAGAGGCTTTTAGACAATTATCTCACAGATTCCATGGTAAAGGATCTGGAAAGAAAAAGACAGAAAAAAGAAATAAAAAACTTGAGGAAGAGCAGGTTAGTATATTTATTTAAATTTTTTGTATAAATGGACACATTCATGATGAAATAAATAGACAGATGAAATTAAAATATGAATTAATTAGCTTTTTATGGATAACTGACAATTACAGCTGTCTAGTCGTTCGGATGGTACGGAAAACCGAGGTCCTGTGTACACATTAAATCCCAATTCATTTCATGTTGTACTTTTTTTTGAAAAATGTATAATATTATTTTTCTATTTCTATTTCTAGTTAATGAAACAGATGAGTTCAACTGATACCCCATTAAATACACTATCCATGTTACAAGACAAACAGAAATCTGAGAAGTCACCATTTATTATTTTATCTGGTAGTAAAGGATTAACTGCAGGGTAAGTTTGTACCTTTTATTATTTTACCTGCAGGGTATGTTTGTACCTTTTATTATTTTACCTGCAGGGTATGTTTGTACCTTTTATTATTTTACCTGGTAGTAAAGGAATGACAACAGGGTAAGTGAGTGTTTAACTTTTTATACAGCTTCCCTTGTTCATTAAGTGTTTGAGGTCTGTCATGGAGTCAAGTAGCTTCCCAGCTTGGATGTGACAAGGATTAGGGTCGCCTGTCAAACTTCATGGGTTTTCTCCGGGTCCTCCGTTTTCCTCACACTGCTAAAAACCCCTATTGAAGTAAAATTGCAGCATATGTTTGTCCTGAAATGACCTTGTGTCTTTCTCATTTGTATTGGGTTTTGTCTGGTTCTCAGTTTGGTGCAGTTCCTTGTGTATGGGACTTGAGTAAAAGTAGTTCCATTACCTTTGGTATAACACATTGTCAACAAATACTAATGCAGACATAACAATTTTACAAATTAAGACATAATTAATATTTGGAATGTTAAAGGTTTTTTGTTAATGCTGCTGAACGGTCAACATGATTAAGAGTGAATGTTACCCCTCCCCCCCATCTCTCTCTCTCTCTCTCTCTCTTTCTCTCTCTAAAAACTATCTGTGAGTTCTACCAGACTAATATACTGAATACCCACTTGCCTTCCCATTGTAATATCAACACTGTTTTTGTTTTCAGCCATTCTATCATGAAGTCTCGTTGAAACCTTTTAAGTTAAAGCAAATCTGTGAAGAGTTACCAGTACCAGTAAAGATATCTGTTATAATGGATATTGGAGTGATGATTGGAATAAGTTACTATACAAAGTTTTACTTATAAATACATATGAACACCTCAAAACAAGAATTTATGCTACATAAAAATAATGCTAAGAGAGTCTACCTGAATTAGTATTGAAAATAGTGCTACCCACCTTATATTAATTCTAAGTGACTGTTGTCATTGTTGGGAAGAGGCATGATATAATTTTAACAGTATTGGTCAGATGCATGTACATTACGTATGGTTTAATGGTCGAGAGCGAGACATTAGGTAATATATTGATACTGCACTAGGCGTTAGCCGAGTGTTGTTTCAATATATTACGCAATGTCTTTAGTTCGAGACCATTAAACAACTTAAAATACAGAAAATATCCCGCACGTGCTTATCAATGAAATACGTCACACAAGTCCAATATTTCATCTAGTATAGATAATGTACGATTAGCAAGTTGCCCATACATTATTGGAAATAATGGTACGCCAATATCAAAGGATGATGTCACCTCTATATTTTAAATCCATATATTAATTTGTTATGAAGTGTTGATATTGTGTATGTTCATACATCACAGAGTATCAGAGTAACTTCCAGATCAATAATAAGCATATGGCTGTATTCTAGGTGGGGCCCTATTTATGGAATTTTAAACTTAGTATTTTAAGAATTCAGCATTTTTATTGGCTGATAGCTAAAATCTGTGCTATGATGTTAATGTTCAGCCAATGAACAGCCTGTATACTTAAAATATTTGTTTGTAAGATATTATAAATAAGGTCCCTGGTTTTGTGAATTGAAAATGAACACATTACATTTGTTCATATTTTAATGTACATAATAGTTTGTATATGTCTTTGTATATAAAAATACTTTAAGACATATTTTGAGTTGTATTGTGAAATCTGTTCTATTTTAATTAGCCCACATGTCGTCAGCCATGTCCGTCGGTCAACAATTGGCTCGTTTGATATACCTTGGTGTGTCACTTTAGCATGAGGTTAGCATGACGGTGTCAAAGGGTTGCTAAGGTAATTGGAGTACATAAGGTGACAGTTATTGTCTGAAATTTGTACAATTCTTCCTCTTGCCAAGCTACATCTTCTCCAACAATTTCATAAGGATATATTATATTATATTTCAACCTATACAATATTATTAGCCTAATAATACAGTAATAAAAGACCCTCAACCTCCCCAAGTCGGATACCAATAACGAACGAACGTCATACCAACGACGTGCACGCTATCGGGTTTGGCGCAGATCAATGTTTTTTCGTCTCCGATGGAAAATCTTTTACAAAGAATTCTTGGGGTGAGATGTTTAAAGGCCCCCCCCCCCTCATGTTATACAGCCTGGACGACAATCCATCGCTGACAAAGATCGCCATGTAGCCAAGCATGTGACAAGAATTCTCTTGCGAGACACTAACGAATTGTATAGTTCATTCGGCAAACTCAGTTCGGGCCATGCCCTCGTTTAGAAGGTTTAAATCCTTATATGTGTCCTCGATAAAGACCAACCACTAACACACACACAGACAGGACGACAGCATAATACATCCATATTATTAATATGGACGAATAAAAAAAATCACAACAAATATCAATTAAAAAGAAAGTTTCACAAAACTTTATATAAATACAAAAATTAAAAAATCACAAATATACAATTAAAAATTTCAGTAATAATTTGTCTCTCTTAAAAAGTCTAGCAGTTTACAATACAGACGGGGTTGGGCAAACAGCGTGGACCTAAAGGGTCCCTTGACAGTTGGAATTCGATATAAGAGTAGGATGTAGTGCCGCTGTCCGGGCAAAATTCCCCTCATAGCACACTGTATAGCACACATTGTTTTAGGTGGTACAGATTTGAGCGAATCTAGCCTAGCTTTGGTCTGGAAATTAGATAACTCTTGTCAGGGATACTCCGTCCCTACAAATGTCTGGCAATTACATAGCTCTGTCAGGGGTACCCCCACCACTAGAAATGTCTGTCAGGGTGTTTTTGTAATACCTGAAGATGTACCTTACATTGCTGTGCGATTTTCATGTGGATCACTTTTGAGCTAATCTAGCCTAGTTGGGGATCATGGCATTTTGGGCGTGGAATACCACACCCACCACCAGAAACCCGGCAGACTTACATTCAGATGATACCAGATATACATACATTGATACCATATAGGAGAAAATTCGTACACTTTTCAGCTAGGTTAACCCCCTGGGCTCCTGCTCTATACTGTGTTCACCTAGTCGCTCACGATTTTTTGTCACCATCGTGGCAATGGTCGCTGATATCTGACATGCTTAATATGATCGCGCAAGTCGTCGCTTCGTCGGTAACAAATCGTGTAATGTGCTCACCTCGGTGACAAGTTAAAGGGGCATTATTGAAGATTAGATAAATTGATAATGAATAATGAATAGGGAATATGTTGAAAATTTCAGTCAAATTACCTCACTCTGAGCCAAGATATCGCCGTTACAATAACCCTGCAGCCGCGATTGTCATTGTTACTGAAGAAAATCTAGACTATCCGATGATTGAGTTTATATAACATTTAATGCATAAAGGAAGACCTGCAATAGGCAGATTTAGTTCTTGCATAATGCCTGTTTAAGCGGCAACCAAGTATATCAAATCACCTATTAAACCAATCATCTTGGTTATTTTTATCATGTGACATAAACACACAAGAGGTTTCTCTGGAATTTTTTCTGTTACATAGAGTAATTAAATTAGGTCTAACTGACTTAATGAATTAAGTTTGCTGCACGAGAAAATTAATCCGTAAGGTTACATTGCAGTCTTGGCACTAATTCAACGAGTGAACTATAAATAATATTTTGTTAGACTATGTCGAATACATACAGTGTGTGTGTGTGTGTGGGGGGGGGGGGGGGGTGGTGGTGGCCGAATGGTTAGCACGTGCGCGCTGTATCATAAAGCCTGTTATTGAGTCAACTGGCATGATTTCAAATCTACGGTTGTAGGTGACAAGGAGTAGGGTCACCTGTCCAACCTCGTGGGGATGTCTTAAAAAGTATGACCTATGCGAGAGCGACAAAACAACTTCATCCCTACATTTGGTTCTATACAGGAGTTGAGTCAGTCCCTTTAGATTAAGTTTGGTTGTGCCTGCAAGTTTCCAAGACCGTTGCCAGCGGCTATAAATGAAATGATTAATAATTAGTTTAAAATACATGAAATGTGTTAAAAATTCAGATATGTATTATCTAATAAGGAGCTGGGTATATAGACTAAAACTATTTATGTATGGAATATAGTCTGAGGTTGAATTTGGAATCAATAGGTCCAATGAATAGTTGCGGATGGGGTTGATGTTATGTTGTAGAAATGAAAATATATTCTAAGTTTGATCAAAATACATTAATATAAACGCAGTTACTGTTCTTTAATTGATCGGGAGTATTATCTTTTATGTATATAGGATATAAATGGTTATATAAACAAAAAAACATTCTTTTTTCAATAATATCTACAAGCAATATGAAGAATTTTTTGCGACTGCGAACATTATTTTTGCGTTTCAGCTTGTCATCCTCATATAAAAAAACCCCTTTTTTTTTACAATAATATGTACAAGCAATATGAACAATTTCTTGCGATTGTGAACATTTATTAGGTACTGTAGTTTGTTACCCTCATATCAACCAACACCAGAATGCCAGTTACCAAATACAAAAGACCACCAAATAATGCCAAGAAAAACGAATACGAATAGTCAGGATTGAAGTAAGTATCGAATATGATCACACCAATTAATATTAGTATTCCTGAAAAAAAAGAGACCAAAGTCATAAAGAAGGCAACGAGATTCGACTTTAAATATGTCAGAAATGGAATGTTACACAAAACAGTTAACAGATAAAACATTGGTGAGGGTTGCATAGCAGGAATCATTCTGCTATGTAAATTACAACGTAGAGCCTGCTACAGGCGAGGAAGGTATTCATAGTGGTTAACCATCCTATTATAAATAATAAGCACAGTGGTTAACCATCTTATTAATAATAATAAGCACAGGAGCACCGCACCACAAACAAACAGATAAAGCGAATAGATCAGGGGTCTAGCCGTAAGCGTCCACTGTGCTTCTACAGTCACAGGCCTGTGGTGACACGAACTTCGCTCAAACTGAAACCCACTAAAAATGAGGGAAGTAATCCCACAATATGCTTAAAACACAGATTCTATTACGTTTCGTTTTTTTTTACAGTTCAGAAATTCGTTTAACTAGTCTTTTTCTACAGTAGGATCTGAAAGCGTTGTATAACACACGGTCTGGTTAATGTGAGGGCTTAGCCAATAAAACGGTCTGTTACGGCGAGTTCTTGGCGTGCGGTGCAAGGAACTGTAGGTATGCCACCAGAAACATCAACGCTGATCGGTTAATCATTTACCTGACGTTATAGGGTCAAAAGTCACTCGTATGAGCCCTGACGCGACCACACACTACAACTGGTCATGTCTTCATGTAGTGACCAGTATAAAAAAACGAAACGAAATATAGATCTGTATTTTATTCAGATTGGTAATCCAAGGAAAAGGGAGAATATTTTCTAAACGTTGTATCATTCTGGGTTGAGTCATTATCGGTTATTAGCTACAACAAATCTCGATGTCAGCACATTGAAGAAAACACGTTTTATAAACAACCATTATCATGAAATGTAATAACAAGCCCAGTAAATTGAAATGGTTTTATATAGTAGTCAAAATAGGGATCAAAATAAAAGCGTGTGAAACAAATGCAAGTGTATTACTTGTCCTCCAACTTTCACCCCACAGCGCATTCCCACTGTTCCGCCATTTGAAAGTTTTTTACATAGACCATCCCTATTTTTGTTTTTGTCAAACAAATAAGCAGCAAATGAGGATAACAACAATAAATTCCCTTTTGACAAATCTTCACATTATTAACTATCGGCTACTGAATTTATAATAACAACTAATATCGACCTATTATAAATATACGTGATTTTAAATAGTCGTAATTATCAAAGGAATATCTTTAATTTATTCGGTTTTATCAAAGGAGGTATCTTTAAATTATTCAGTAGTTTTAAATTAATCAAATTACACTTACCAGCTAAAAAACTACTTATGGCTGATAAAATTCTCACCACTTTAGTCTTCTTACTCGAGACCATAAAGATTATGAGGAGTATCAAACAGGCAACACCAACAAGTACACCCATGATTACAAATGCTCTTGAGGCTATTGGTACAGCTACATAAAAAAAATACACCGGTCGTAATTAGTAACCGGTGCACACGGTATATACAACATTATGTATGTAATGAACTAAATTGTATACATTATGTATGTAATGTAGATTGTATTCATTATGTATGTAATAAAATCAATTGTATACATTATGTATGTAATAAAGTCAATTGTATACATTATGTATGTAATAAAACCAATTGTATACATTATGTATGTAATAAATGGTGCTCACACAAATATTCGAATTCGAATAGCTTTTCAGAGATATTCCAACTAATGTTTTGGGATTCGAAGTCCCCCTAAGCTAGTATTTAAAGGAGCTAAGTCTCTAACTCAATATTAAAAACACGAGTTGGAATTCAATATTGACCAATTTCAATCAATATTGACGTTGTTATTTTGCAGTGAAACTAGAGCCCTGATATCCAAAATTTAAGACACAATTAACATATCATAATCAGTACACGCGTCGTGTACCCTATGGTTTCGGGTGTTATTTTGTAAACAAAAAGTAATTAGTATTGTCTGGTTCACAAACGACATAATAATACTTAAAGATACATTATGGGAGATTTGTATAGAGAGTTGGCCATTCTTGCTATAACAGTTCAAAAGTAGATGATGAAAGAAGAATATATTAAAAAATTCAGTCAAATTACTTTATTCTGAACATAGTTATCATCGTTGTAATATTTGACTAGAAATGGTAGCGAAATGCGTCTTCACCTTGGCCGATCGTTTGATTGACAGGCGTTAACTCCACCTACATATCTCGATTATCAAGTAAAGTTTTCAATGGCATACGGAAACGTTTTACAGCGGCCTCGCTATGTACACTCTATCATTTAGCCTCGATCTAACTGACGTATTTCATCAGGTTGCCCCATACTTGATTTAATCAATTAGTGAAATCCTATTTAAATCCGAGCTGTAGTCGAGCCATCCGTGGGTCTACAGAGTTGATTTTGGGCTTGTTGTTTAAATAAAGATCTAATTTATAATTTCTATTACATCTGAAGCCTAAATTAAGACTTGCAATAATCAGATTTAGCTCTTAGAAATCACTAAGCAGGCGTTTAATTTGAACTGTTCATGTATTTCACCGAGCATAATTTTATCAGAAATTACAATTTTATTTTCAAAAATTGAATATAATCAGTTCACAAACATTAATAACTACTTTTAGAACAATATTTGTCGTTTTTAAAAAATAGAGCCATACGCCCTTTAGCATGTTAATTGAGTGAAAGGGCCTGCTATTCAAATATTAATAAACCGATGAAGAAAATACATGTACATGTATATTGATATAAAACCTTAAAGCGTGTTACTGCCGGCGAAAAAGTCGATCTAATGTAAATGTATTGAGACCGTTTCAATGTAATCGTTTCTGCTCGATAAGTCCTATTTTCGTAGTTTTTCTCGACGTTTTTTCTCGCGTGAAGTTTTGCGCGTGCGTGCCCATGCGGATGTTTACGTTCTGATGGTGGCCACGATGGTTCTTTGCACACTGACAATCAACCACTTTTGTTGCTTGCAAATGACAGATTGTTTGGACACGGTGTTAGTATAATAATATGATAACTGCATGCCGGGCTCACGCTGTAAATCCCCTCTAATGACGTCATTTACGCGGGATTTCCCCAAACTTTCTAGCGATATTTCTGTACAAATGGAATACAAAAAATCGCGCGCGGAAGAAAAGCGAGCCTTGCCATTTGGAGAAATCTGAAAAGGCAATAACTTGACCGGAGTGGTCTAACTGGTGTGCTTTCTTAGATAATAGGGACTGTTATTGAATCATAACTGGTGGTTTCGAACCCGGCATGTATAACTACAGGGGGATCACGGTGGCTAAGTGGGTAAGGCGCTGGCTCGCTAGCCTGGAGGTCGGGTGTTTCGATCCCTGCATCGGCCGAGAAAGTTCATCCAGATTTTCCGGCGTGGTTCCCCCTTGTCAGTGATGCAGGACGGAGGGCCTGACAAGGACAGCTGTCTAGTCATTCGGATGAGACGAAAAACCGAGGTCCCGTGTACACATTGGCGTGCACGTAAAAGATCCCTTGACAGTTGGAATTCGATATAAGAGTAGGCCGTAGTGCCGCTGTCCGGGCAAAATTACCCTCATAGCACACTGTATGGCGTATGCCCGTCTTCATTAGCCCAGTTCGGGGCAAAACAGTAGGACGTTAAACCCCATTTCATTTCATTTCATTTGTATAACTACAGCAAGAGGATGGCAAGTTATTGACATTATAAATGCTGGGATGTCAATGCGACAGATTGCACCACAGATGGGTCACCACCCCTCGATCACTAGTCGATTATTGCAAAAAAGTCAACGGACTAATGACATAAAAGACCGTCAACATTCTGGTAGACACCACAGCGCGTCTGCAAGAGGAGATGCAGCACCATCGAGACGTGTGCGATGTCATACATTTACGGAAAACACTATATCGAAAAGGGAATGGTTACCTCACCGTTCCAATCCTCCAGAAGATAGAGTCATGGCGAAAAATTCACTAATCGGAGCACGGGTATGGCGACGAAGTAAGATGGCATTTGTACATTCTAGACCAGGTTCCATTCGGCGGCGACCCTATCATGATATGGGGTTTCCTTTCTGGTGATAGTAAGAGGTAATCGCAATGGTTAACGGCACCAAAGCGAGATCCTGGACAGGGTTGTAGTGTCCAACTTTGGCAACCACCCTCTCCTCACAAGGCCATTTTTTGGCGACAACGTTAGACAACACTGTGCGCGTGTTGTTGTTAATTTCCTGCGCCAGGAGGCCGTTGCTACTTTGGTCAGTCAGAAGCCCTGGGCCCTGTTTCTAGAAATCTTAACTAAAGATAAAATCCAAATTTTAGTAGATACTTCAATTTTGATTGGCTAAGCACTAAAATTAATCTAATATTATCTAATCAAATTACTAAAATTTGGATTTTATCTTTGTTAAAATTTCGTGAAACAGGCCCCAGCATATCTTTTACAATCTTGAGCTTAAAATCCACCAGAGGGATCTATCAGTGCAGAATCGTGACCATTTGGATCAAACACTTAGTCAGGAATAGAACAGACTAACGCAGATGCAACGTCTAATTCAGTCAATGAGGACCCATGGGCTGACGGAGGTTACACCAGATATCGACTTTTTCGCGGGTTTGACGGATGTATACACCACTGGAACATGATAGCAATAAGCTGAGCGGTGAGATTTCCTATTGACCTGCACCTGCCAGAGTTGTTTGGACTTGGTTTCACCTATTTCCATCTCCATTTTTAAGCTCTACAGAAACACATTAAGTTTTCTACTTTGTCTTTCTTTGCTGGTTCAATGTTTCCTCGACTCAGTTCAGGAAGATTGAATATCTTCCAGAACGTAAAATAGCTAACATATGATCAAACAATAGCAACATATTTAAATAGGGGTGACGCGTTATTTTATTTCTTTGTGTATATTACGAAGATACATTGAATACTTACAATCTGACTGGTCTTGTTCAGTACCCAACCAATACCGCTTCCACATCCCTTCCTGTATCCTAAAACCTCCAGCTCGTACAGTATAATAAACATACCAGCTATTAGTTACTAAACCTGCTACAGTGAGGCACAATCCGACAAGACATACAAAAATGATAACTATTAGACGAATCGGTATGTTTAGTACTTTTGGTCCAGAATTATTTGGTTCCATCTTTCCTCTCAATATCTCGCTGAACTGAATAGTTAACTGCGATCGTCAATAATTGCGCAACCTCCAATAAAAGAATACACCCGGATCTACATGTATATATATAAATATATATAAATATTTAACAAAACAAAAACATAAATGCGACGTCAACTGCGATCGTCAATAATTGCGCAGCGCCAAGAAAAAAATACACCCGGATCTACATGTATATATATATATAAATTATTTAACAAAACATAAATGCGCCGTAGGGTTACGTCGCACCTGGATGAACATGAATAAATGAATCGAGTTTTTGGGGCTAGAGGGACATTAGTACACTGAAAAAAAACTTGTGTTGGATCTCAACACAAGTACTTGTGTGAAAATTATTCTACACAAGTTATGTGTTGTTTTGCATTGCATTAACACAAACTTGTGTTCTTTTTAATGCATTAACACAAATCTTGTGTTTTTTCCATATAATTAACACAAGTAATGTGTACCGTCAACAAATATTTTTTTTTTTAAATTTGAACTCCATACAAAGTCTTAATCCGGGGGTCCACTAGTAAGAGAAAGGTATTTTTTACTCAGACAATATAGCCAGACAGACTTGAATGCTAATTGGTGTTAAGATGTCTGCGGTTAAAATAAAGTTGGGCCCAATAAACTGGTAGATCAAAGGCCTGTTGAGCGCTCATGCCCGGTGTGATTTTAACAATTGACTCCAAATGCGTTGACAAGAAAATAAGTAAAACTGTTATTGAATGTGATTGGTTGATAAAATCAACGTACTATAGGCTACATTTTGTCTGCGATATCATCTCGGTGGAAGCGGACATTAAATGAAGTGATTTCACACAATTAATTTAACATTTAACAACGTGCTGAAATGATTTTGGAGCAGTGATATGTTTGACAAATGTAAGCTAATGGTCACATAGAATACAAGACCGCAGGTTTGTGAATATTTATATAAAAAAATAATACCATGTATGTAATTTAGCATCGATATTGTTTCTCTGTATAATATTAGTATTTCGTTTCCTTTAAAAAAACTCCAACAATTTAAACCGGAAGTTCATGTTTATAATATGGCGCGGTCAGGAAAAAAATTTCGGCATGTTATTATCAAATCTGTTCAATTTTTCTGAAATCATGCTTAATTAACATTAGTTGTTCGGCGCTACGATGTTGTTCAAATACTTACATTACAGAATCACATTATGATTAAAGCAGAAACGGTTCGACTTGAACCAGCAGGTAAGAATCTGTTTTGAAATTATATCTTGGGAGGTTGGATTGGCGTTGGAGACCCGATTGGCGGCCATTTTGATTCTTGTTTCATGATTTTTTTTTTATATTATAACGATTTTGCCAAGAGTAGACATAAACGCGGGCACAGACTAGAAAAAAATCTTTTTACACTTTTGTGTTAGTTGAATTGTAATCTAATTTATGTTTAAAAAAACAACCTTAAATCTAATAAGCAGACGGAAGATATGGACGAACAACAAGAAGAAGTTATGGAGGTCCCAACAACTGAACCTATGGAAGTAGAAGAATCGTTTACAGCCGAAACCCGATACGATGTGCCAGTTCCGGTTATGGAGTCCTCCATCTCAGACGATGCCGACGTTAGTGTCTTCTGCGACGAAGAACCCGTAGTGGTGTATCACTATAAACCTCAGAATGCCTCGTTCGGCATTTCTGTCCAAACGAGGCAAAAACGTGTCAAAATTTTTGCCCCGATTTTGCCTCGTTGTAACGAGGTAAAAAAAACACGCCCTTCTCAGTTACTACTTCGGCGAATATCATTTGATAATTTAGATGATCAGAATTAAACACCGTTTTGCTATGTTATTATTTTTTTATGATTGGGTGGGGGTATACTTAATTAGGGGATTGGATTGAAAGATTATAGCTACCATCTTATGGAGACATAATGTGTGGTGCATTTACGGTCTTATAAAGCTCTATTCTTACATAAAGAATTCTTGATTCTTGATTATGCCAAGATCTGGGTAAGTGTTAATTTAACTAGATATCAGAAAAGTACCACGTTTTCATAAATGTACTCTTTAGATAAATTGTACAATATTTATCAGTTCACTAGTTACAATAAAATCATGCATTATAGCTATTTTTATTTATTTATCCCTGGTGCTTCAAATTCAATTTAGGGTGCCTCAACATATTTAAAAATATGTTTTAAAGCTTTAGGTCATTTTATTATATCTTTCTACCATAAATAATAGCCCGAATTTAGGTATACCAAAAGTTAAAGAAATATAAACAGTTTTTGAGTCATTCAGATATGACTGCCAAAATTGTCACCAACACACATGTCGTGTTTAGGCTAAAATCTAACCAGAAAAGTATTGTCAATACATAATAAAATATATATTGCATTAATCAATTCCATTCCGCAATTGGTTTGTCTTAAACTCGTCATTTGTGTTCATGGGCATCAGGGTCGAGATGGCAACGTTATATGTTTTATTCGTCTAATTTACTATAAAACATCATTCGGTTTGCCTCACGGGTTAACGGCATATTAATAGCTTTATTCACTGAGATGGTTCCTTTACTTATAGTTTATTTTTCGAATTGCTTTTTGTATTTATTTAAATGGAAATATTAACAACATTCTATAAGTCAATCCACGAACATACCCAATTTCAATATTTGCGTGTTGACCTTTAACATCACACTTAGATCCTGTACGCTTTGTGTCTTACAGTCAATACATGTCATGAAGAACTCTTTAGACATAATTTCGTTTATAATACTTTACTCGTTAGGGTTTCACACTGCGTGAAAATTATTCTTATTAGGGTTTCACACTGCGTAGCTTGTGTGAAACACTATTGTTTTTGTTAAAATTATTATTAGGGTTTCACACTGCGTAGCTTGTGTGAAACACTATTGTTTTTGTTAAAATTATTATTAGGGTTTCACACTGCGTAGCTTGTGTGAAACACTATTGTTTTTGTTAAAATTATTATTAGGGTTTCACACTGCGAAGCTTGTGTGAAACACTATTGTTTTTGTTAAAATTATTATTAGGGTTTCACACTGCGTAGCTTGTGTGAAACACTATTGTTTTTGTTAAAATTATTATTCTTATTATTATTATTCTTCTTTTGTTTTGAGTAGATCTCAGCAACTGATTGTCGGATCGTTACGATTTCTTCGGTTTTATCGGAAAAGTGGGTGTGACTTAGAGGATAAAGCTATTTTGAACGTTCTGCGACAATGCGAAATGTCCGAAATCACCGAAGCTATCGTTTTTAGAAATATTGCAGTAATTTTAACAATAATCATTGGATTTTAACTTTCGATGCATTTTGGCATAGCCGGAGACGGGGCACATAGCTACGCTACTTTTGATTTTTGATTTTCGGCAAATCTTCGCAGATATTAGGCGCTAAATTTAGAAAATTTAAATTTTTACAAAAAACTTTTTTATTTATGAATATTTTTTAATCGTGTTTTACACAAATATAACGAGTCCTCTGACTTGGGCAAAAATGTGAAAATTTTTTGTCTCGGTAATTTTCCTTGGCCCCCATTGGCTAATTCAGTTTTTCAGTCCTAGATTAATTATTTATTGTTCGATTTGTATAAAACAAAGTTCATATGCCCCGTTGTCTCAATTGTCATTTTTTTTGTTACCAATAGTGTTATCTGTCGGCACCGGAAGTGGCGTAAATTGACAAAAAACTACAATTTTGACAGTTAGGTACCATTTTTCGAAAGCAAATATTATTTTTTTCAAATCTGGTATAACTGAAATTGTGCGCCCTTTAAAGGCGCACAAAATGTTGGGACCATTTTTTTTAATTTCGATTCCGTTTTCGGGCTATTTCGATTAAAAGGTGAAAAAAGGTGTAAAATTAAGCTATTTACAACCCATCCAGCGTTTTCATATTTTAAAATATTACTTCGTAACTTTCATAAACTCGTAGCAATAATCTATACGGAGAGAATGTATGTGAAAATTAATTTGTAATATGCGCAGTTGCCGAGAAATGGGCAATTTTGCATGAGTCACTTTTTACGCTAGTTTGCCTGTAAAAGAGTCAATTATTATTCGATTTTCATAAAAGTGACACCATTTGATGTGTAATGTCAATTTTAACTAGGTCAAACCAATTTAACATTTTCAATATCACCGGAAATGACGTAATTTGGGCAAAAATTGTATTTATAGCCTTCGAAACCAGTAATTTATTCAAATGAGTCATATTTGTTATTTGTTTAAAATTTTGATATTTGATTCAAATGAACTAATACAATGAACCCTTACGATCATATAGATATCACAAAATGGTTTCTAACTTGTTCAGTTGCGGAGAAATAGGCAATTTTCAACAGGTCACTTTTTAAGGTTTTTTTGTCAATAAAAGTGTCAATTATTATTCGATTTTCATGAAATTTTCACTGTGTGATACATAATGCCATTTACGATATCATACAAGTAATTTAAGATTTTCATTATCACCGGAAGTAACGTCATTTTGGCAAAAACTGTATTTTTAGCCTTCAAAACAGATATTTTATTCAAATGAATCAGATTTGTAATGTTTTTAAAATTATGATATTTGATTCCAATCAACAAATAGAATGAACTCATTCGATCATACAGATACCTCAAAATGGTTTCTAACTTGTACGGTTGCAGAGAAATAGGCGATTTTCTACAAGTCATTTTTCAAGGTTTTTGGTCTATAAAGGTGGCAATTATTATAGGATTTACATAAAATTTTCAACATGTGATGATGCTATTTCTGATTTCATAAACCAATTTAACATTTTCATTATCACCGGAAGTAATGTAATTTTGACAGGATCACTGACATGTAGCAAATGAATTGATTGCTGGATTTGGTTGTTTCTGCGTCCATTTTATTTCATGTGTGCAATGCTTATGTGGAAACCTGTTTAACGGTTTCATTGGTACCGGAAGTGACATAAGTTCAAGGGTAACGTGGCACCGGTGAAACCCGTCATTACTGCTTCGCAGTTCTAGTTCTTATTATTATTATTATTCTTCTTTTGTTTTGAGTAGATCTCAGCAACTACTTGTCGCATCGTTACGATTTCTTCGGTTTTACTGGGAAAGTGGGTGTGACTTAGAGGATAAAGCTATTTTGAACGTTCTGCGACAATGCGAAATGTCCGAAATCACCGAA